CACATTACATTCAAGACAATTCACTTGCTTTATAACCTGTTGGAGTAAGTCTTTTACGGCCCCCCATCAACAGGAGATCAAAGCCAGGCCATGGTAATGACCCAGTTGACTGGGCTGGCTGGCTGGCTGGAACCTTTTAGCCAAGAAGCGACGATTTCATAGCGACATGCATAATTAAAAACCCGTTACAGGATGTACACGGCCAGGGTTTATGGCTAAATGGCCATGCTAAAGTTATGGCCAGCCCACTCTTAATTGGCCCAAAAAACGTTGACAAACAAACCAGCCACTTTACGTGCAGAGTTTTTGGGCCACGTTCATGTTCAATGCCTTCGAATAAAACCCAAAGAGTTGACCTTTCAAATAGCCATTGGCTACCGAAGATTCTGATTGAGAGAACCAGAAAGCCTTGCTGAAACTCGGACTGGGTTTGAGCTCGGCTCGGCCCAAGCTCAGGCTCAAGGCGGTCAGGTGCATTTATCGCAATTAAACACTTGTTGCTGCTGCTGCTGCCAAAGCAAAAGTAAAGCCAAAGCAAAGCAAAAGCAAAGGCTGCCAAGCTGCCACCGCAGCGCAAAAAACAACGCCACATCTAACAAGAAGCGAGGCAAGATTAATACGTGTATTACGGCCGGGCCACGATTCGACAATTCAACAACTAGCTAGTAGCAATAGCAATAGCTATATATCCATATACACAGAAAAAAAATACAAAAAAAAAAATCGATATGAAATAGGGTCGTTTCTACCTTGTTTTATATCAATAACAATAAAAAGCCGATATGATTAATGTCAAATTCATGATTCAAACATATCAATTTGATATTTTATCATTTCATATAAGTTATAAAAATACGGTTTTATAATACAAAATTTGGTATTTTTGAACAAACATTGTAACATAAGATCATATCAAAATGATATGAATAACTAGATCTGATCTGATCAATCTGATCTTTTGTCAATTTTTTTCTGTGTATATAGCAATAGCGATTTGCTTAGAATGCGACAACCGCCGGGGCCCCAAATAAAAGCCAAAGTGCTGACCTTGTCAGTGGCTACTACAAACTACTACCAGTACTACTTCTACTACCACCAATGTTGCAATCGATTGCACTGCTGAATCTATAGTGGTTTTCCTTGTGTTTGATTTTTCAATTTTTGCAGCACAAAGCGAGCAAACACACACACACACACACACTCAGTCGAGGAACGACTTAAATTTGCCTGAAAACCTAGCGAAATTTAGTCATTTCCATTTTCTACAGGCTAAATTTATTTTACAATTTTATAGCACCAACTAAAACCATAAATAAATAACCTAAGGATAAAAAGGAAGTTTTATTAAAAAATAAACTTTAAAACTCCGAAACATTCTCTTCCATTCGCTTGCACCTTAAAAACCCATTAATAATTCCACTGTTTTGGTTTACCTCTTATCAATGGTTGATCTATAGTTAACGAACATTTCATTTCATTTAAATCAACTGCCTGTCAGTCGGAAACCGCTGGAATTTTAAAATTATATATTACACCGCTCGTTAAATAATTAATAAGTGTAATATGAAATACATCACAGCACGAGCATGTTCTAAATATAATTACACAAATTAAATGAGCAGGCTGAGTTTAATATGACTATAGTCATATGTGTTTAAATGAATTAGTACACTCAAAAAAAAATTTTAGAAAATCGCCTATGGATTTGCTTTACTGGCGATTTTTTTCTATATTTCTGGAATATTTCTTGAATTTAATGAATTTTGATTAATTGGAAGAAAATTTTCTTTACCAGTAGAAAATTTTTTTATTTTAAAGAAAAAAATCGCCAGTGAAGCAAATCCATAGGCGATTTTCTAAAATTCAGGGCGATTCATTTTCTGAGTGTAGGCAAGAAGTGCTACCAACGCAGTGTTCTACATTCTGATTTGATGTTTGCTTTTAGATTTCGAAAAAAGCTGAAATTAAAGCTACTAAAAATTTTTAGTAGATTTTTTTATTAAAGTGATTTGCTTTTGTAAATATAAATAAATAAAAAAAATAATAAAATAATTGAATATATACTAATTAAAGTATATTTTTTACATAAATTTAAAATTTAGAATTTCAGCTTACACATGCAAAAATGCAAATCAAATAGTTCAGATTTCAATCACACATTCTTTTAAGAATTCTAAAAACTGTGCAGACATTTGAGTTACAAATTCTGATACAATGAAAACATCAATCGCCATTGCTTTTGGCTACTAAACAATTTAAATGAAGATGTTCCCAATTGGATTCATGGTCAGGCGGCCGTTGAGTTATTTATGCATATTTTACACGCTCGGCAAATGCCAAAACGAAGAGCGTCTTCGAGTGTTTGGGGCTTGGCTTTAGCTTGGTTTTGGCCTGGCTTGGTTTTGGTTTGGTTTTGGCCTGGCTTGGCTGCTAATACGCCGCAGAAGCAATATTCGCACATTTATCGATTGCAAATCAATTTCGTGCAATTGCACATCTCACGTAATGCTAGCCCCTCTTGGCCAGGTCGGAACCCAGTGGCTCTGGGCTTTTGCTTTGGCTTTGGCTCTACCTGGCTGCAATGCATCGCTGCCGGATTACCCCCCGATTAATGCTGCTTGCATACAAATTGGCGCATTTACGTTCGCCTTCACCTGGTGGAGATATTATGGGGGGGTTTCTATATCCACAAGATACAGATACACAGCTACAGATACAGATACAGACACGCGCCTGCACTCGTTAGCCAGAAGTCTGGGGGCATTTGCTTTCCTTTGGCATTCGCAAGGCAGCCCGCCAAATTGCATAAACAACAAATGAAATGAAAACTGCGCAAAGTGCGAAATATAAATTACAGCGCTATATATGGCATGCAAATTTCGTAATATTCGCATGTTAAAAGTTCTCAACTACGTTCGACTGTCTTCCGGTTTAAGCCTAATCAGTATGACTGGCCCAGTGCCAGTCACATCCAGCAAATCCCATTCCCCATCTCCTAGTTATCCCATCCTCTAGCCAGAGAAATGGTGAAAAACGAAGCGAGGTGACAACATAAGCAGACTTTTCGCGGGATTTGTCAAATATTTGCGCAACGCTGCGCTCTTATAAAAAAGACAAAAAATTCAACGGGGTTCTACACAAAAAAAAATTTCGATATAAATTCAATTCTACCTTATAATAAAAAGCCGATATAATTAATGTCAAATTTATGTTGCAAACAGATCATTTAGATATTTTATCATATCATATTTAATACCAAATAAAGTATTTTTTGAACAAATAATGTAAAATAAGATGAACATAATCTTTATTTATTAAATTTTGATTTTTAAAAAATATAAAATTGACCAGCATATATCAATCTGATCTTTTGTCAAATTTTTTTCTGTGCAGGGGGAACCCAAAAACTGCAGCGTCGGATCCCAAAAACCCTAGACCCCCGAACGAACCTCCCTCCCCATTTTTTGTGTGCGCTTTCACGCCTCTCACAAGGCGGGCAAACTTTTATTATTATTTCATTTTTTTGCGCCCCGCCTCGCAAGTTCAAAAAGTTTAATGCTATTTGACTTTGATTCAATGTTTGCATTGTGCCCGGGCACATCATCGATTATTTTCCACTTGACGCCCCTCGTCAGCCCACTGAGTAGAGGACCCACAGAGCTATAGAGCCATAGCTATAGAGCCACCCACCCACGGATCCCGATCCCAGTTGTTTGTGTTTGTGGTGGACAAATGAAATATGTTTGGCCGAATCAAAAAGCCCTGGCACTGACAATGCCCCGGCTACGAGTATTTTGATAAATTGCGAATTAATTGAATCGCTATGACATGAAGTTTAGCACTATTTTTTCCTGCTATAATTAAAGAGTTGTTGGTTGTCAGTTTAGCTGGGTTTTCCCGCACATAAATGTTAGAGACTTCAACATCCTTAAGAGTCATTAATTGATTTATTTTTAAATTCTTTATCTCACACTACGATTGAATACGATTTTGTACGCATCTTTTATTGCCTGTATTTCATTTTAAGTTGACCATTTAAAATATTTATTAAAAGGCTTTATGCCTTTCACTTAATCTCTTTAAAACTTAAAGAATTTCAAATAGATTTTAAATTATTTATTACAATTTCTACGCCACTTAAGTAACTGCGGCTTACATTTTCCACATATTTTATTCATCGCTATTTCATTGTGTGCATATTAAACCAATTTAAGTTTCGACAATAAAATTGAGATTGAAAGCTTTTGGGTATTTTACTGAAAGCTCTTTAATTTATATGATCTATTAAATATTTAAATTAAAAGGGGATAAATTATTCAGAACTGGGCTAAAAAAAGAAGACAGGATTTAAAAGATTACCTATAATTCTTAATAAACAAATAAGTTAATGTTTAATGAGATATTGCTTTCGTTGCTACTTGATTTATAAGAGAATTGTAAAACCAAATGTCAGCGATAATATTATTTCATTTAAATTAGTCCCCTGCTAAGTGCTAATTTAAATATTGATCGAAAAAGTCTTGATCCAGTAATAAATGTTTTTCCCAATCTAATCAATTATTTTTTTTGGGTTTGGCCATATATATGGCAAATGCAAACCCGTTTGAAATACACAAAGACCACGAGGGTAATATAATAATCCAACTGGTGATTATCGATTCTTTGGCAGCAACTCTCGTTGCATTGGCAAAACAATGAATTATTTCCCAATTGCTGACTGTTTGTTGTTTGTTTGTGTATAAAATTTGGGAAATTCAATGAAATTTCACACATTTTTTCATGAATGCCTGTGTGTTTCGTCTATTGGCTATGAGCTTTTTGTCGGCCCCTCCTGGACGTGTGTGGAGTGGACCTGCGGAGCGAATCCAACCCGTTTCGTTTTTGGGTATTTTTTAGAAAGCCACTACGTAATGGCATTTGTCATACGATTACCGATTACCCACTGCCAATCTGCAATCTGCTCTGCTATTGTCTATAATCCCATGTAATTCAAGACTCACCGATTTGCTGGCTGCACAAATGTGTATATAGAGATCCCACGCCCACAGATTGGAATGGTTGGGATTTCGGAGCTCGGAGTGGATTTCGACAAATTGTTTGGCTAATTACACGAATCTTCCTCTTTGGCACACAGGGATAATATCTATTTCTATTTTTGAGTGGCCACTTTCGAAATATTTTTTTAAGACGCTCTTTTGAAAGCGGCACGCAATGTTGCACAAGTGAGTTATCGAAAATGGTTGCAACAGGTTCGAAAAAACTAGGGAACGCGCGCCACGATCCGAGCGGAATCGATGCGAAAACCGAATTGAGTCCCGACTTAGAGTTTAAAAAAGTGATTTTTCGAGACGAGACTTTAACGAATGTTACGCGTTCCAGAACCGCGCTGCCAGGCAGACGAAAACAGACTCACCTCAAATGCGGCTTGCAAAAACCACAACACCTGACGTCGGCGGCTCAGCGGTTCGGCGGCTCAGGCAGCGGCGTCGACTGCGACTGCGACGGCGACTGCAGCGTTTTGGTGGGCGGTAAGCCGAGCTCGAAAAAAAAACAGTCAAATTGAGTGGCGCAGTTTGGACTGGCGATTGAAGTATGTAACTAACCACAGCACCTGAGCATCGGAGTTAGACAACGCGCGAATGTTATGATCCAATTTTATGTAGCCTCATAAAGAAATCTACATCGCACTCTACTTAAAAGCTGGTCACTTGGGTTAAAATGGCTCGAAATGGCTAAAAACAACTAGATCGTAATACATTCTAATAAATGGGGCACTTTGCGTGACTTACAGTTTAAGGTCTCAAAACAGTTAAATTTAATTATTTTCATGAGCAGCTAAGATTAAATATATTTTTAGGTCATCCATTAATTTCAAATAATAATAAAAACTGTTTACTCTAAATCACATCTATTGTACTTTTCGAGCTATATGAATAGCTATTTGAATAATATTTAACAAAAACATATGAATGTTTTAAAAATTATATTCAAATATCACTCATACGCAGTGTTTTTACAATATAAGTTTAAATGACTATTAAATTATTTTAAAATATTTAATCACTAAAGAATAATTTACATTTTTTAGTGTTCATATATCTTAGGGAAGGTTTCAGGAGTTCCTCTTTAAATTAAATTAAAATTTAAACAGTTTTCTTATCTACCTTTTATTTGTTGTAAAATTATATTCAAATATTACTCATACGAAGTGTTTTCATAATATAATTTAACAAAAATATTAAATTATCTAAAAAAATATTAAATAACTTACTAAATTGTATTTTTTATGGAAAGTTTCAGACATTTTTTTAAATTTCAATTAAAATTTAAGCAGTTCCCAAATTAAATTCTTTTGACAATTACCTGATGATAGCTTATGATTATTTCACTGACCCCAAGATGCGAATGGAAAATAAAGTAATTATTGACTAAGCTCTCGGAAACCTTGCAGGCTAATTAGAGACAATCCGCGAACCTGGACCCCGTCTTTATAGTTTGATCTGTCTGACAGGGCTGAACCTATGCGGACCTCCACCTCCGGCTGACTCACCATTCTCCAGTGCAATCCACATCCGCTCCATCCCAATCCCGATTCCAATCCCAATCGAAATCCCAGCCCACTTGATATTCCTGCTCCGTTCGCCCGGAGACGTCGTTCGACGTAGTTCGCTCATAAATTTTGCATTTGCTGTGTGATTTTCCTTTTTAGACGCGACAAGATTTCACTGATTTCGCGTATATATCCCGGCATTTATAATATATTCGCCAGAGCATTCTATTCTATACGGAGTTCAGTATTTTTTTCAGTTTTAGCTGTTCTGTGGTAATCGCAGGTCCGCCATCAATCACGTAATTCCCAGCATGTTTTGTCGCCGATCCCATCTGTATCTTGACGCAGTATCTTCTCACACCAAAAACCGAAAAGCCAAAAACAAAGCCAGACGCCGAGTCTATAAACTCGAATATATGCTGTACCGAGCCGAAACAAAAGGCCCATTAATGACAAATGCAAAATAATAACAAAACAATATTCGCGAACCAGTCATTGCATATTAATGGTGCCCTCATCAAAAGCCACTCAAGTGCACACTTCACTTGGGTATGATCCGATCTTGTTCGGATCTGTTCAAACACTTGACAATGACATGATTCGCTTTGGATGTTTAATTGCTTAAATTTGGAGGCACAATGGCTTGCAGATTGTTTGATGCCTTCATTATCGTTGTGTAATTCCCTTTTGAATACACAGAAAATTAAATCGATATGAAATAGGATAATTTCTTCCTTATTTCATATCAATAAAAAGCAGATTATTGTCAAATTTATGATTCAAACTTATCAGAATTTCTTAAAAGTTATTAAAATACCGTTTAAAAACCCAAATGTAGTCTTTTTTAATCAAATATTGTAAAAAAAGATAAACATATTCTCTATTCATATCAAAATGATATGAATAACTTGATCTTTAATAACAATCTGATCTTTTGACAATTTTTTTCTGTGTACCATTTGACTTATGGAGTTTTCGAATTATATAAAAAACGTTTAATTTGTGGGCGGATGATAGTTTGCAATGAACAAATAGGTTTTTATTTACACACAGTCAACTAAGTGAGGAAACGTGTCAAGTTTCTAAGCAAGGGTCAAAAAGTTCACATGAGACAATACTTTAAAATTATACTTATCATTAACAAGAACAAGTGCAAAATCTATTTTCACACCTGCTTTTAGAATTTAGTTCCCACTCAAATAAAGGTAATACTAGTTTAACAACTTTGCATCTCAATTAACAGGAAGTCGAAAAAGATCGTCTGGATCTCTGAAATATATTAATACTTAATTCAGTCTTTTGCATAAATTATATGCACACGCTCTTTCTTTTCTTTTTTTTTGTCTCATTTAAAAACTATTTTAAATTCCAGTTGTTTGCTGGTTTGTTTAAAGAACTATTTTTGGGGTTCAATTTAAATTCTTGCACTTCAGTAGCGCACTACGATTCTTTTTCCTATAAGTTAGTTCGTTCTTTGGTGAATTTTATGTTAATCGCACGAAATTTATGGGTCGTCAATCAACTTGCATTGCCAAATCGCAATGGTATGGCCATAATCATGCGGCCTGGCCAAACAGTCAGAGTGAAAACCGAACTGCAATAAACGCAACCGGATTTTGAGAACCCTATAAAATGGAGCAATAAAGCACAGAAACGAAAAAAAAACGAAAGTTGACCTTGGACCGTCGTCGCCTAAGAATCCGGATCGAAATCTCAAATCTCGAATTCGTCTAAATGGTTGCACCCCCAAAACTGGCCAGCTCCATCATCGCGATAATAGCCTAAGCAAATTGCCAAGTCATTCGGGTTTTTGCCATGCGATATTCTGGCAAATCAACAAGCAAATAGCGCCGAGCAAACAGAAAACCGAAGCAGAAAAAACAACAAGCTAAAAGAAATCAAAATCAAAGTCAAAGTCTAGGAGCTGCAAATCCGAAAGGTAATTGCCAGGGCTAATTCGGAATCGGAATACGGAGTACGGAAAATCTCGAAAATCGTCGCGTCACCGCATAATTATTCGAGGAGTCTCGATGATGATGAGAGGGCTAGTGTGCCTGGTAATTTGCCGTTTCAGCGGTGATTTACTATTGACTCTTGGTGTCGGGCTCCTTGATTTATTTTATGACTCAACGCAACGTCTCCAATATGTTCTTATAACATAAAAAATGTCAGCTTTCGAAGGCCGATGTGTTGAGTACCCTTTGAATAAAAATATCTTAAATAAAATTTAATTACAAAAATTAGGGAATATTTTATAACAAAACCTAAAAAAATATATAACGAAAGAATCTAAAAAGCTAAAATTAGAAATGATAATATGAAAAATATTAGCTGATTCTATTTACCGGATCCAGTCTTTTCTTAGTAGTATGACTTACTTTCTAATTGTAAAGTCAACAAATGTTTGCAACTCAATTTTGTCGTAAAAAAGTTATTTTTAGAAGACTTTACTTGGAAAATTTCAAATGGGTATTCCCTTTAAGCTAATATGGTTTATTGTGTTGACAACGTACGATTTTTCGTGCGATTTCGCAATTCCATGCAAAAATAAAATACCCCAACGAGAGTATAAAGATATCAGTCACGGTAGAACGCAAAATTACCAACACATTGGCTGAAAGAAGGCACACACATGGACATGGATGAACGGAATCCATTGAAATTCAGAGCGGGTTCAAAGACGCTCGGCCACGGCAACAAATCGTGCAAACAACAACTCGCCGAATTGCATGGGGCAACATCTTCATTCTGGGGATTTTATTGGAGTATTGGAGAGGGGAGTACGGGGGATTCCGGGTTTCAGGGAGTCACGGAGTCAGGGAGTCGCAGTCGCCAAAGCGATTCAGCTAAATGCATTCGAGTGCTTTATTGATTGGGTTTCGTGTGCCTCGCAGAGAGTGCAAAAAGTATGAAAATGTATTAATTCTACTCGGGGATAAGCAAATGCATCTCAAGTGGGTTCGGGCAGTAGTCGACTGACGTCGACACGGACATGGCATTTGGGCCCGTTGACAGGTGTTGACTGAAAACTACGAGCCGGCGGCAGTCAGGCCATTAATGAAAACAGCTACGAGTTGTAAACAATAGCCGAAGCTTTGAGTTTTTCGACTACCAGATACCCCCAGTTTTAAATAACATCATTTGAAATGGAAATTAGATACAGTGCACTCCTTGCAGTTAAACTATAATTTATTTTGAAATGGTAATCAGAGACATTTGTGACGTAAATTCGTTTGCAAAGCTGACAACAATTTAGCACTGAAATTCAAATAAATACAACTATTAGCAAATTTTTGATTAAAAATACTGATACCATATTTAAAAAAATTATAAAAAATCGTGTAAGTTTTAAAAAAGTTATATTCGGCGAAATAATTAATTTTTTATGCATAGATTTTTTTATTTAAATATTTATATTTATTATAATACCATATTAAACAAATTTATAAAAAATTGTGTAAGCTCTAAAAAATTATAACAGTTGCTCTGTTTATTAATTTAATTTATTTAATAAAACTAATTTATTTTTTTCTAATGCTAAATCTGAAAGACAAATTATTTTCTTAAATAAAGGTATATTTTAAATAAAATATATGGTTAATCTGTTTTTAAATACTTTTTTTAAATATATGATATTATAATATATAACATCCATACTTTACACCGAATATACCCCTAGAACGACTAAAAAAAAGTGAAAATGTTACGCGATCAATTTGTTTGATGATTTAGAATTTTCCTCTGGCAGAATCGAAACTTGGTGTCTACTTGACTTCCGACTTTGACTTCAAAGTTGAGTGTCAGTTAATTGTTTACCGAATCTAATAATGTTTGACTTTCATCAATTGGCAAAAAATAAAGAGAGGAAAACACGCAGGCAATTAGTTAAGGTATCCATAAATCTTGGTGGGGAAAATGAGGAAGCGCACTTTCAAGTGAGGAGGCTTCAACTGACCGGCAGTAAAAGCCAAGTTAACGGCACTGTGACCAAATCAAAGAGGCTGTTTAAAAATAATTACGTCCTAACTAAGCCAAAGGTCAGTTACAGATGCTTAGTCAAGGCAATCGTTATTTTTGAATAGTTAATAAAATTAAGGGTTTATTTTGTGGGATTTTTCAAAGTCAAACAGTAACCTAGAAATGCAAATAAATTTAATATGGCAAACAAACATTGTAAAGTCAATTAACGAGGCAGAAATTGATTGATTACCCGCTAATCTATAAACGTAGAAATAATTATGTCATAATTATTTGCACGAGTGTCTAATTTGTTGTGGCTGCCCGAAAAACGAGGAGGTTTTCCGAAAATGTTTACCACTTTTCTATTGGCAGCCAAACGATGAAGAGAGTGCTGGTTATTTGGTTGATTATACTGTTATTTCAAACCGTAAAAACTTGTTCTTTTAAGTTATATTTTAAAAATAATATAATATACTGGTTTAGGATGCTGTTGTCTTTAAAATGACCAATGCTGTTTGCGAATCCTACAACAAATCCTGGATAGAATTTGGGGTTTGTCGACTGCGCGCCGTGAGTCGGAACAAAGTCTGCCTAAATGTCGATGCCAATTTGCTTCAACCGATTCACGATGTTACAGTGAAGGCCCAACTAATGAAAAAGGCCAATGGCTATAAGCCCTGGCTCTATAGTGTCAGTTTCGATGGCTGCCAGTTTATAAGGCGCAGAAATAATGCCTTAATTCGCATCGTTTGGGACCTTTTTAAAGAGTACTCCACCATCAATCACTCCTGTCCCTATGTGGTAGGTCCAGAAAATAATTAAATCAGTCTAAGAAAATTATTATTAATATTATTTTTGCTATTATTAGGGTCTGCAACAAGTTAAGAACTTTTATCTGAGATCCGAGAAGCTGCCCACACCCATACCCACTGGAGAATATCTGTTGATGATTGACTGGGTGGTCAACAAGAAGCCACAAGCAGCCACAAATGTGTACTTTACCTTCGTGGAGGATCTGAAAGATATTTGAAAACCTTGTCTTTCATCTAAAACCAAAAATAAAAGTCTATAATATTTTATCCGAAAGCTGTAGAAATAAAATTGAGGAACCCAACGGTCGTTTGAATGAAAAATGGTTTTTATCTGTGGCATACAAATGCGATTATTAAATCTTTGTTTTTTTCGAGACCACCAAGAGAATTTCCGCAGCCAGCGCATTAAGGTTATCGTAATTTAAAACAAACAATACAAAAATAATTACCAATTAAGCCTATTTTAAATTCACATTCCGTATTGCACAACACGAAAACAGCCTTGTAGGTGGCATCCACAAAAAAAAATTGGACAATTGGACTGAGCATTCAAAACGTTGGGGTTTTGCAAAACTTGAAGTTTATTTGGCTCTTGTTAGTTACATTCGAATAAAAGCGGTTTAAAAATTTAATGGGTACTTATTTTAAAGATATTTGAGTTTTAACTTAGTATGAGTTAGTATTGCAAAATGAACTTTTTTTCATTAAAGTTACATATTACTACAATAATTAATATGTTTAAATTTCTATAAATAAATTGTATAATCTTGAGATATATGTACGTAGGTATATACATTAACATAAGCCTTGCGAGTAAAGCTCCTAAGATCTTTGTCCAATATTCAAAATATGTGATAGTTCGGAACCCAATCTCTCCTTCATGTGCTCCTGATACTGCAGAATTTTGTGGCCTCCAAAGCGCACGACTTCGAGGAGTTTGTGACCAATTTCCAGGACAGCCTCCTCGTCCTTGCCGTCATTGGTCCAGAGGGAGATCTTATTGACCTTTTTGCGGATCCTAACCGAAGCTCCACAGATCTGATCGCAGTTGTCGCAGGCCTCGCCAATCAGACAAAGCAGAAAGTCCAGCCAAATGATGTCCAGATCGGTTGTGTGCGTCTTGGGAAGTGTGATTATCCAGCGACCGCCATTTATATTGGCCGGATCCTCCCACATGGGTGGAATATGCTTCTTGAAGAGCATATAATCAGAGCCCTTATCGAGCTTCGAAGGCTGTTCGATGCGGTAATAAAGTCCCCAAAAGTCCTCGACGGTGTTGAAGGTCTCAATCTTGCTCAGCATATCCTCCCACGACCTTTTGGGATCGTACTCCACCAGCCAAAGGGTCCATTCGTTCTGAAGCTTGTGTTTTTTCGGGGGGTTCCCCACCTTCGATTTCGTCATGGCGTAGGAATTTAATACATTTTCCATTTTGGAAAACCTTTGGTTTTAGGAGTATTGCTGAGTTGTCCTTAGTAACGCATTGTTCACTAATTCAATTCCTTATCTCTGGAAATTATTGCGCTTTATTTGGAAATATTGTATATTATTGTTTATATTGCGAAATGTAGAATGGCGAAGTGTGGCCGAAGCAAGATCTTTAAAATATGCTCAATATTACTTATTCAGTTTTAAATTTGAAATGGGATTAAAATAACTTATGGTAATAAATATAATAAAACCCTTTAACAAATTCAAGTTTTTGTTTCTTATTTAAAGTAAATATTAACAAAGAGACCCCATAAACTTAAAGTTTTAAAAATTAAGTACTTATAACTTTGAAATTTGTTAGGTGTATAATTTTAAATATTACTTTTGAATTAATTTATATTTTCTTACGTTTTTTAAACAATTTGTTTGTGGAATTTCGTCTATTTAAATCTCATTTTGATCGTTATTTGGTATGAAAACTAGCTAAATGTGGAAAGTGCCCCTGCTAATTGAAGAGTGTGTCTCCGCTTTTCGATAACTTAAAAAACGCACTAGTACCATTTTAACTAATCACGTCTGGCAACGCTTACCCCATTTTTGCGCCAAAAATAAGTTGCAATTGTTTATTTACAAAATCGCACGCTGAAAAAGGAAAAGACACCGAATGGACGTGGAATTAAAGCAGCAGTTCGACGAGATGGGCGTGGAGCCGGCGGACTCTGTGCTGGACAGATGCGTGGAGCTGGCCATTTCGTACGGCGTCCACGATGCCACCGAATTCGTGGAGCAGTGGATGGCCTTCAGTTTGTCGCATCTGCAAGGCGAGGATCCTGGACTCGAGAATCTGGGTGATTTTGAGCGGAAGGTTCTCCAGCTGCGCAAGGAGAAGATGGTCTCCAAGGCCTCTGCTTCGAAACCCAAATCCTATGCCTCCTCCTCCGCCGCTCAAGACACGAGCTCCTTGGCGAGCTATGGTTTAATGGAGGACGATCCCATGCTGGACGACTATGTCAGCGAATCGGTGGTAGATTCCTCTGCCCTTCACACTCCCAAGGCCAAGAGGGATCTCAAAAGCGGCCTGCTCTTCACACCGCAATCCGCCAAGAGAAATCCTGCAGTGGGAACTCCCACTTCCTCCTCGGTTTCCGGCAAACCAGGCGACATTGTGGACTCCTTTGGGCATCCCAAACTCCTGGCCGCCTCCAGCTGGCAGTCGCAAATGGAGCACACGTTGCCTGTCATCCAGAAATTGCTGCACAAGAATGCCCCGCTGACTTTGGCCAATCTGGGCTACATGAACGACCTGCTGGGCGAGCGATGTGACGATCTGCACGACCGCGTCGAGGAAATTGGACGCGGGCTGATAGAAAAGAAGCTGGGAGAGGCGGCGGCAGCCGAGTGCAGTTGGTATCCGCAGGATAAGCAGGCTCTCCAGGCAGCTGGTGGACTCCACGCCGTGGGAATGATTCACTCCGAGGACGATGGACCACTGGACGCCCATTCCGCTTTGCTAGTAGTCATCGATGAGGATACAGATGAGGCTAAGGACACTAACCTTTCGCTGAACTTCTCCCGCATCAAGTCGGCCAGCATTTTTCCAGGGCAAGTGGTCCTCGCCAAGGGTTTCATACCCAAGGGCAGGACTTTCGTGGTGGAGGAGATGCACACGGAGCGAAAACTGATCCCAGTTACTCCCCTAAAAGTCGACCGAGAGCTGCAGTTTGTGGTGGCCGCCGGTCCCTTTACAGACAGCACGGATTTGTTCTACGAACCGCTGCATGAGCTCCTGAAATACATCAAGGAGCACCGACCCGATGTCCTGGTGCTCACGGGTCCTTTTCTCGATGCGGATAACAAGATGGTCGGTGAATTAACAGAAACTTTTGATTCCTTTTTCGAGAAGATGATCGCTGGCATAATGGAGGCAGTCGGAAGCCACACTGCTGTTCTGTTGGTCAGCAGTCAGAAGGACGCCATGTCGCACTCCGTTTATCCCACACCGCCGCCCACTCTCCGCCGGACTTATCCCAATCTACACATGCTGCCCGATCCTTCGATGGTCGATCTGGATGGCCTCACGCTGGGCGTCACCTCCACCGATGTGGTGGATCACCTGCTTAGCCACGAGTTTGCCGCCGGCGCTGGCGAGCGAATGCACCGGGCCATCAACCACCTGTTCCATCAGGGCTCCTTTTATCCCCTGTATCCGCCGGCGGACGAGGACATGGCCTACGATTCACAACTGGCTTTGAAGTATGCGCAGCTCAAGCAGCTGCCAAATGTACTCATCCTGCCCGGCGATCAGCGGCACTTCATTCGGCTGGTCAACGATTGTTTGGTCATCAATCCTGGTAGATTGTGGGACAAGAAAGGCGGCACCTTCGCACGCTTCCTGGTGGCGCCCACAGCGCCCGGCAAGGCGGCCAATATGTTCAACAGTGTGGCGTGCCAAGTCCAACGTATCTGAAGTATACATACCAAAATGGAGTACAAACTCTACCTGATAAATCAATGGATCCAATTGTAATGATAATAACTAAGATATGGGGAAATATCTTGGGGCTTTCAGTGTGTTTTCATTATCATTGAAAAGGGTAATAAAATAAGTTATATTTTATTTCTACAAATAATAATGAGTGTTTTTTTTAATATTACATTTTTATGCCCGCTACAAATATATTTCACATTTAAATGAAATTCAATTTTAAATTCTGGAAGTGTACATAGGTACCTTTGAGATTTACATCATATTTGCTTTTGTAGATCATTTGGAATTTCCTACCTTCAAGCACGAAAATTTATATAAGCAGTTTATTATTATATTTCCGTAGACTTAAGGTATCCGAAATGGCTGAAAATCAAGAAGATTCCTCTGCAGGTAAACCTCTAAAAGAAGGAACAACCTCCACAACGCTGTTAATGGAAGTAGATCCTGTGGAGCCGGAGCGCTGTTGCTGGATCTGCTTGGCCACCGATGCGGACGACCGTCTGGCTTGGGTGAATCCATGTGCCTGCACAGGAACCACCAAGTGGGTGCATGAGAGCTGCCTCTTCCACTGGATCGACGAGAAGACGCAGGAGGAGGATGAACTACAGGAGGTTTCCTGTCCACAGTGCGAAACTAAGTACATGATTGAGTACCCGAAACTGAGGAAATTCCCTGCTGCCTTGGAAAAGATGGAAAATTTCATATCTTCTCAACTTTGTCCTTTCCTGATGGCGGTTTTTTTTGGGCTCTCTGTCTATTGGACAGCCATTGCATACGGAGCGTTTTCATTTTTGCAGATAGCTGGTCAAAAACTCGGCATGTCAATACTTAACCCAAGCGATCCTTCGATTATCCTGATCATGTTTGGACTGCCATTAATTCCAGTTGGATTGATATGTGGTCGCCTGGTTCCCTGGGAGGACGCCCTGTTGCAATGGGCCCGAAAATGTGCAACGATGGTGCGAAATCGTTCTTTTGTGAGGCAAAATAGCGAATGTGAGAGCCAAAGCTATTTAGTTAATCCTCCACTGACGGATCCTGTCTCGCAATACCGGATATTCAGCGGTGCCATTGTACTGCCCACCATATCATATATAGTGGGACAACTTATTTTTCGATCTGTGGACAATGCGGTGCAGAGAACCCTTCTTGGATGTCTAACATTTGTAATGGTTAAAGGAATCTTGAAGATTTACCTAGGGCACAGGCAATATGTTCGGTGGGCGAAGCTTCAAGTTCTGGATTATACAGAGGAGAACGCAGGACAGGATGATCATTAAGAAATAGATTAGGGTGTATTTCTACCTCCTACATCAAAGGACACAGAAGATATGTACTTTGGAAAACGAGTTAACAAGAAATAAAATCATATGTATATAGTACAATTGCCAGGATTTAAATGGCTTTCAGAGAAAACAACTTAAAATTGACCTAATAATATCTTTTAACCATAAATAATCGTTAAAGCATTTATTAATTTATGTATAATAGTTTACAGCTAACAGTAGGAAATGGTGTCTAAATGTAATGTACTCGCTAGGATCTCTATGTACGATGGATCTCGCCCCTCCCTGCATACGGAAGTCAACTCTATATATCAAGGGGCTGCGATCGCCGAGAACTAAAACTCCAATGTATATTTTAACTATACAAAAAATACTGTATGCCGTGTGTTGTTTTGTCCAATGAACTTGGCTGCAACTCAGATGCGGTTAAGTAACTGCGTGCCACCTTAAGTAATCCTCGCCTGCCATCTCGCCTACGCTTCCTTCGCCTTCGGTGCCTGGTTCCTGGAGCTGCCTCGTCCAACAACTCGTTCAGTTGTTGGGCTCCTGCTTGTATTGTTATTGTCGGTTGTTGACGCCCTCGGGGTTGTGGCTGCTGACCATGCTGTGCTCCATGTTCTTGACGATCACATAGTTGGTGATGTGATTGATGGCCTCGTCCTGCAGCCGCTCCGGCCAGCGCTTCATGTACGACTTGATGAAGTCGCCGAACGTGTCCACCTTATCGGGCGTGCTCTTGTGGGTGTCCACAATGTTCTTTACAATGTCCACGAACTTGTCGTAGTCCTCGTGCGACTTCTTGATCTTCTGGTAGTTGGCCACACCCCCGTTGGTGTTGCCCCCGCCTCCTCCGCCACTGGCTCCGCTTCCTCCGGCCGCTGCGTTCATCTGCTGATCCATATTGTTGTCCGCCAGGCGAGCGGAGGCAGCGGCAGCCACTGCCGCCACGGCCGCCGAGGAGGCCATGAAGTTGTCCACGCTGCCGGCATTCGGAGGCGGCTGGGAGTGGTCCATAAAGTGCCGGTGCATGCCGTACTCGGTCCTGAAAGTTTTTATATCATTATTTAGAGGTAGAAGATTAGATTTTGGGTAGATAGCGCTCACTTATAGAACCCCTCCGTATTGTTGCTATTAAACTCTTGCTGAGACATTGGATTTTTCCAAACTGGTGACTCGGATGTAGATGGTAAACTACTGGTATTCGATGCACTCGTCATGCGTTTGTCTCTGCGGAATAACAAAGATAATGGTTATGAATTGGTATAAACAAAAATAAACTAGAGCCCTGCGTGAATCATTTAATTTTTGTTGTTTCGTAGTATGCCCTAAAATTTATGATTTATTTATTTTTTGAATTTGACATACATTTTTTGTGCTTTTGAGAACAAAAAGTTTCATATTTTTTAAAAATCAATGCATAGTGTTTAAAGTTCAGGCAGATTGAACCACAAAATGATGGACCTTTCTTCTTGAAATGAGAAAATTAAGGACCTTTCTTATTGAAATGAGAAAATTACGGACCTTTCTTCTTGAAATGAGTAAATTATGGACCTTTGTTCTTGAAATGAGAAAATTATGGACCTTTCTTCTTGAAATGAGAATGAAATTATATCAGAATTCATGCCATTCATTCGATTAAACTCAAAATTCCAATTAATTCATTCACATCAATTCATGCTGGGCTCTATTATAAACTCATCTTATAGCTTATATCATCCATAAACCCACTTGTAACCGGTGTGCGCGGCCAGACTTTTGAACACATCATCCACTTGACTATAGAACTTCCAGGTGCTGATTATGCCCGTGGTCTCGAAGGTCTTCTGCTCCTGTCGGTAGCGCTGCGTGAGATTGTTGACTTTGAAGTGTACCTCCAGTGCGGTTACGGGGACGCCCAGCGAGGTTAACTGCTTGGCCATTGCCACATAGAGATGGCCATTGCGTTTGATGGTGCGCAGCTCATAGGCGCAGACTTTCCATAGTTTGATCAGCTCTAGAACACCACTATCCTCCCATTGTCGGCGCTTTTTGTTGAATTTTTCATACTACGGGGGGATAGGATAAATGGGTTATATTATATTGATCAAATTAATGGATTTTAAAGCAAACTTACAGGCATTTCACATGGGTCTTACTGCCGACAACTGGGATTGCCCGACAAACTTCGTCTGCCAGCTGAAGCAGGACATGAAGCGGTTTATCTAGTAGACGGGCATTGTGTACACGGATCCACTCCTGAAATAATAAGTTAAATAGAATCGTTATAATATTTGTAAAAAAAATAAATAGACCTTATTTATAACCATTGTATTATGTATTATTTTAATAATGATTATTTACAAATAAAACCTTTGTTTCTATGAAAATCATTTAAGGTTCCTAAGAATATTAGAACACTCAATCTTGTAAATAAACAATCCACATATGGTTTGTACCACACATATCGTCTGTTTGATGACGATTTAATTGCAATGAAATTGTAATTAATATTTTAAAGCCGTTAGAGGTTCAAGTAACCTAATACTCAACATAAGCCGCCCCCAAACAGGGATTATGACATGAATGCCCCCTTTTATACCGTTGCCATTATAATTGCAGATTTTAATGGGTAATCGTGGAGTTAAAAGGGGGTATATAAGGCAAATTTTATTATTTGTTTATTTATTGTAGCCTAGCGTTACAAGTTTTTGAAACTTATGAATTAATACGCTAGTCACAACAAATTCTTCTGAATCTTTAAGGATATATTTATAAATTTAGTTCATTGTTTTAAGATTTTAAGATACTCTTATAGATACTATAGATTATATCCTTTAAAGACTCTTATCAGATGAATTCTTTCCCCTTTCATGATAGTTACCATAAAGAGTTGACTCTAACAGAACCTATTGGTAATCCTTTGGGTATGCAACACATTTTCTAACACTACAGGGTATCTCATAGTCTGTACACTTGACTGTATCTTTTATTCGGGCTTTCAATTATCATTAAGCCGGCACACGCACACACTGACACAGCTCAGCCTCTCCCGCAAAAGCTCACGCACACATGTAATGCAAACCGAACGGTAAAACGGTAAACAAATATTAATTGTGCGAACGAAACAAGTTGCAAATTGCATTCGGCAAGAGGAAGAGCGACTGCGAAGTGGATGCGGCGAAGGTTGGAATCGAAGTGAAGCGGTAATTCAAGTATACAAGGGAGTTGAGATGTTCAGATACGGATGAAGATGCTCCACCAACGTCGACGTCGACTGCGACGTCACTAGCTGCTTGGTGGGGGCGGCAGAGGGCAGAGGGGGTGGAGCCTATGTAATTTGCAGGGGGAGATGTTACTTTTCTCGAATACACACACACGCACATACTATTTCCCTTTTTGAGATACACACACACACTCACGTCGTCAAATCCACATCCGATTTTCTTGCGTTGATTGCGTTCTATTGTTACGCTCTTCTTCTCCATGCACCGAAAACAACAACAACAAACGACGCACGACGGCAGCACAAACTTAATAATAAGTCAAATAATTAAATTTTAATTATCTTCAAGAGGGAAACACACGAAAAACGTAGTTTTGTAGCTCTACGCTGCGCAGCTCTCGCCATTCGACTCTATAATGATGTTCTCCGGAGAGCAACAAGGTGTGAGCAGTGCAGCTAGTGTGTTGCGGCTACCAGTGCTGACGTATCAGTTAGAAAAAAGCTAGAACAGTACAAAAGTATGTTTTATTTTGTAATTTTAAGTGAAATTTCTTAATTTAAATCCATAATTAAATCAAATTAAATTTGGTTATTATGCTTAGTGCCTAAAAAAAATAATTTTATGATTATTTAACTAAGAGAAACTTTTTAACTTTTTAAATTTTTAACCAAATTTATTAAAAATAGTTTTCGGGCACCCGATTGTCTGACTTTTCCTTAGTTTTTTGGTGATGGTATGCACTTAAAGGTTTTAAAAACAGTTTAATCAACAGATAAAAAAAAGTTAGCTATAATTATACTTTCAAAAACATTTTATAAAAAGCTGTTTTTAATGTTTGAATTGAATTTATCCGCCGAAGGTCGTGTAAAAATGGTTACATCTACCTAGAAAAGAGACAGAATGGCATCACTGATGGCTAATGCGGCGTTGCCGGATGGTCAGTGTAAATACGTTGGGGCTTTAAAAGGCGCGAAATACATACAGAGGGTTTTTTCTATTCTAGGGTTTTTTCGGGAATAGAACCGAGTCATCTGACATTTTTCTTACCCGCCAATCTCCCGACTCGTTAGGGCGCCACAAAGCAAACGCATTTCATCGCTCATCATCATCATTTTCAGCTCCACCTTTTAACCCCCATCGTCCCCCCCCCCCTCTTTTTTACAAACGCTTTTGTTGGAGCATAATGCACACAGATACACACACACACAGTCGCAACCAACACGTATTTGCCGGTCATCATCATCATCATTAGGTTGTGCGATGGAGCAACAACAACAACGATAGCGGCTCCCAAATGCGAACGTCATTAGCGGGCTAAATAACAAAAAATGATAATGTTGCTGCCACACAGTCGTCAGTTGGCTTTGCTTTGGTTCGGGGTAATCATCATTAAATTGCACATCGTATCTGTGAAAATGGGGGGCGGAGTGGGGGGCGAGGCAAGGCGGAAGAAGAAGAAATTGGGGGAAGCGAAAAGCCAATAACAAGGTCACCAGATATTTGAACGTTTATTCTTATGGCACTTTGGGGATTTGGCTAAGAATATTTATAGCCCACTTTTTTTTTTTAAATTGTTGTTAAATAAGATTTTTGAAAAATTAGTCCTGAAAATGTTTGATTTGAATGAAAAGAGGTTTAGTTATAATAATGATCTTTTAAATTTCTTATTTTATTTAAAAGCCTAAGTTAACTTTAAACTTGTGTTAAATTTATAAAATATTATAAAATACTCAGAAAAGTTATTTTGGAATTAGAAATTTAGTTTGTCATCATCATCATCAAGAACTGAACTGCACCATCTCCACGCGAACTTTATTTTATAATTTTTTTTACCGAGATGAACAGCTAGATAATACCCTCCAAAAATAAACACAGTTTTTCTTTTAATAATACAAAAAAAATGTGTTGCACAATTTATTTAAAATATTTTACTATTACATATACTACGAAATTCGGTTTTTAAAAAAGCCCTATTTCCTAATAATTAATTTACTCCGTAATTTTTGTTAAATTAGTAGGTATATTTTTAGAAAATAGTTAAATGCACGTAAACATTTTTGTTTTCATAAACTTAGACACTACTTCCTCAAACGCAGCTGTAAACATTACTATTTGTTCTTACACACAGTTTACCTATATTTGCCGGTCATCATCATTAGGTTTTGAGGCGAAGACAGCATCAGCTCCCAAATGCGAACGTCATTAGTGGCGGGGAAAAGCAACAAAGACCCTGGCTGTACTACCCATAATGTTTCCAGTAATCATCATTAAAGTGCACATCGCCCCAAGGTGCGGCGTTGGATTCCTGGTAGGAGGAGGGTGGGGTGATAGTAGCGCCAAATCAAGGTCAGCTGATTTATACACACACATTTATTTCTTATCCTATTCGGCAGTTAGGCTAAACGGGGAACCCGGTATATGTTGTTCCCCCCACTTGACCACCAGGATATAATCGCCGGGATCGCAAACACGATAGGTAACCCTGTGAATGCTTCGGCCCAAGTGCTTCACCACCACCTCTTCGCAAGGACCTCGTTGGCCCAGGACTCCAACCAGGAGCATGTTGCTCCCCGCTTGGCTGCAATCCACTGTGAACTCGTTGCGCTCCACCAAACTGACATGGGTGAGGCCCAGGCCACGGCTGTGCACTTTACTGACATCCGAATCCAGGATGGAAACTAATCGAATAAAGAGAAAACAGGTAAGAATCTTTCAAGTAATAGTTTTATAAAGAATTTTATATAAATTTCTTAAAAATCATTGAATCTCCATCCCAAAAATGGCAAAAATGAATGAATACAGTTTTAAGAACCTTAAAAAAGCTAAAGATAAAATATGTAGTTTAAGAAAATATCTTATAAATGGAAATTCGAATAAAGAAAAAATTCCATATCTTAAAGAAAATTCTTATAAATGGAATCCAAAAGTTCAAGTGCACACACATATTTCATATTTATAATCAAAATAAAATTTTAAAAAATCCTCCGTAAAATGAATCAAATAAAAACACCTCTTAACGAGGTAAAAAACTAGTGACGACCGCACCTTCAACATACAAAAGTTCTGATATCAACATTTGTGACGAAAAATTATTACACTCGTCATTAAATAGACTTTCTAATATTTTCTCATTCGGCCCGCCCTAGCAAACTATTCCAGCATTTTTCCCTTCACAGGCATTTTCTATTGCAGCGTGCCAAAATTTAAGGAATCTCAAGGGCTATACAGTTTAAAGTTGTAAGGAAAATCGTTAGAGCCGTTTTTGAGAAAATTAAAAAAAAGCTAAAAAAAAAGTTTAAACAAATTTTATTTTGTTCATATCTTTTTAACTATTACATTTACTCAAATTGCAAATAGAAGGCGTTTATAGCATTTAAAAATACCTTTCAAACGAGATGCAGCACAAGTCTGTAGCTTTAGTAGTATAGAAGTTACGGCTTTCCGAATTTTAGCTATTTATAGCTGTTTTCCCGCTAAACTAGCTAGTTTTTCCAAAAGTGGTAGAACAAAAGTTTTTTATATCGATGTGATGAACGTCATATCAAATTTTCAGAACTTAAAAAACATGTTTTGGACAAGTGGACAAGTGGACAAACAGAATTAAATTTTCATTTTGGGAAGAAGAAGAAAATCTTATTTTGGCTATAACTTTTGAACGGAGCGTCGGATTTTGACAAATTCGACGGGTATTTTCAAAAGGAATACAACTAAAACATTGCGAGGGGGCATTTATCCCCACCGGCCCCAACAGCTCCAAATTTCGAAATTTTAACTTTTTCACTTTCCCCGCTCTCTCTCCCAAGCCAATTGATTTTCCTAAAGTCTTGGTATGCAATCCTTTAAGTTTTTGCAATACCTTTCGATAGGTGTATCATTCATTATGATCGGACCATCACAGTAGATTTTCATTTCTTCGTGTATATATAGTAGTCGCCTTCGCACACTCTCCTGGTGCGCTTCGTCACTACATGGACTGCCGTCCATAGTGATTATAAATGGAATTCGATAGTTCAATGCATGAATTAAACCCCATATTTCTTATAACAAAATTTCAGTATTTTAGGAAAATTTCTTATAAATAGGTTACAAAAGTTGAAGTGCAGAAATAAATTCCAAATTGTAATCAAAATTAAATTATAAAAATTCTTAAGTGTCCTGGTTTTCTTTAACTTAATCATAGCGATAATAAATCATACCTGATGTATTCGCTGTTTTTCCTTCAATGGAATCTGGAGCCCCTGCTATGGCCACGATAATGAATGGCGACCGGGGCAGGGTGACGGAATTGCACTTGATGTGCACCTTGTATAGTCCAGCTCCGGCAGCCAAGTGGCAATTGATTTGGAATCGCTCCGGATCCAGCTGCTGCTGCTGGACAGGCTGAATGGGCTGGCCACTGGGACCCTCGACGCGCACCTCGAAGTTCCCTTTGACCCCATTCCGCTTGATGATGAAGCCCACCGAGCTGTTGACCCTCAGCGCTCCGCTGGGAAAGTGGAGCAGCTGCACCTTGCCAGCATCGGTCAGCTCGGGCGCCACATAAACCCGCGGCGGTTCCGAGGGATATGCATCTATAAGTCGAATCGTTTATAAATAGCCCGTTCGATGTTTACTTCCTCATCGGCGGCATCGGTACTCACCCGCATCGGGCGTCCGCTGGTAGCGTCCAAAAATACCGCCCTCCTCCGGACTGTTGCCCTCCAGGCCACTCCCACTTTGACTGGAGGAGGAGGCGGAGTTGGATGAGGCGGCCTGCGTATTTAAACGCATCTCCTGTGACACTTTAAACATGCCTCGGATATTTGAGGAATATTCTAAGCTCTTTTACGATTTTCGAAATATTTTTGAAATACTTTTTCCAAATTTAATTAGCGACTGCCCGGGGCGTGCTCCTTCGACCGACTGAACTCGGAGAACTCTCCATCATCTGCATTCGAAAATCATTCTCAATCGCAGCGAAATTCTCTCGAAGTGCCCGATTTCCGATCTCAGATCTCACACAGAAACAAAATTTAGTCAATTCTACCTAATATCATATCAATAACAAACCGATATGATTTATGATTAAAACATATCAACTTTTATCATATCATTTAAAATACCAAATGTAGTATAAATGTAGTAGATAAATATAATATTTATTCATATCAAAATGATATGATTAACTTGCCCAGCACATATCAATCTGACCTTTTGTACATTTTTTTTTCTGTGCAGTATTCTCCCTACATTCAATGGGGCAAATGTTTATGATGTTTGTTTGCCGGGCAGCCTGCCAAATATACAAGCTATACAGGGGTGCTCAAAAGTATTTTCACAAATGTAAATGTTAACTGTACTTATATTTTGAACTAATAATATAAACTTTTGGCACCTATAGAAAGAGCACTTCAATTCCGTTTAAATGACACAAAAATGTTCTTAGCCCATTAAGACCCCTAATAACTGCAAAAAAAAAGATTTCAAAATATTTTTCCTTGTATTTTTTATGATTTTTTGAATGGAGACATCTCAGTAAAATTTTGTATGTAAAGGAAAAAAAAGCGGCTAAAATAGCTATTTTCAAAAAATCATAAAAAATACAAGGAAAAATATTTTGAAATTTTGTTTTTTGCAGTTATTATTAATTTTGATTGGGGAACAACTTTGCATCAAAACATTTTTGTTTTAAGCCCCAGGGAAAAAGTTGAAAATTTTATTTTCAAAAAAAAATGTCTAATTTGCTCACTTTTCAAAGGGTGCTTAATGGGTTAAGAACATTTTTGTGTCATTTAAACGGAATTGAAGTGCTCTTTCCATAGGTGCCAAAATGTTTACATTATAAGTTCAAAATATGAGAACAGTTAACATTCAAATTTGAGAAAATACTTTTGACTAGGGTTGTATGTATGCCTGTATATATGGTTTTATGCGGATCGAGCTATAAGTCGAGTGCCTGACCAGCCAGACGCGATTTCCAATCTAAACAAGAAAGTACGCTGCCCGGAATTCGGCATTTACTTTGTTATAAATCGAAGACATTTTAATTTGAATTGCTAAATTAACACCATTTATTGAAGGTATAAAGAAACACTTGAAAAGAATAGTCAAAGTTTGCTTATTAGAAATAACCATTTCTTATGTTTTGGAAATGGATTTATAACTTATTCCTCATATTTAAGAACTTTCCAGATAAATACAAAACATAAATACGCCCCATTATAATTTTTCTCGCAGTACAAAGTCTTCGGGGAATCAGAATTACTCCAATAAATTACTCCAACAAAAAGTGGGTCAAAGCAATTACGAAAGCAATTCATCTTTTTAAAAGTTCCAAAGTGTTTTATTTTTTTTTAGTGACGAGCGGCAATTTAAATTTAAATAATAACAAAGTTAAGAACACATCAATGAAGTGTATAGACAGTCTGTGAAGATCGAAACAGGAAGAACTAAGTTTAAAGGATTTTTTTTTGGGAACTGCATCCACTTAGGGATTTTGTCTGATGTCGTAACCATGCTGAAGATTGTGATAGAAATGAGGATAGACAACCATATCCGTGTTTGTCAAGTGACCGGTTTCATAAAGATTGCTATAGATCTATAGAGAAAAAACATATATTATATCCTAGAAGAAACTAAAGTTAAAGCTGAGAACCTACATTCTCGGTGATCTTAAGAGTTCTTATGGCCTCCGAGCGCATGTGTAGCCAAGTGTGACGCAGTCGCTCCTCCGCATCCGAAATGAATCCTGGCGACCAATTCTCCCGCAGCCGGAAGAGATTCATCCGATTCTTCTCGCGCACTGCCCTTGGAAGCATGACAACATGACGCTTACGGGCATCCCGCTTGAACTTTCCATTCAGCATCTGCTGCTGCTTGGCCTTCTTCTCCTCGATCTGGATACGCATCTTCCGGGCGAGATCCTCACGCTTTTTGCTGGCCGCCGTTTCGGCGAATATCGAAACCTGATTCGATTGGGCATAGAAACGGGTATAGTAGTCCAACTTGCTTAGATCCGGTGGCGGCATTATCTTCCTAAAGTTTCCCAAATGACTCTCCTCCCAGGCGATTTGCTGGGCCAACGGCCCTTGATCCTCCGCCTCTGCTTCGAGATCAATGTTATTGGGATTAGGTTCTCCCGTGCCCGACTTGATATCTATTTTGGCCTTTGAGGTGCCGCCACCAGCAACCCGAGGTCGCTGAACTGACCTGGAATAAGAGAAAAATTATTTGATTTGAGTAAAATCAATGTGCCCATGGTAAATTTCTGGTAATTCTGGTAAAATTGATATTAAATAATATCATTTTGCCGAATTCTCTTTTTTTGGAGATTGGATGACTTCGAAAAAGAAAGCAAGAAGCAATAAGGCGACCTAAATGACGTGAGGAAGTGAGAAAGACACATTCAAAATATCGTTTTTACGTTTTCGGGCAATTCAAATCAAAAACGATACCACAAAACGTAGAATCGAACATCGTTTCATATCATTTTAATATCATAATTTTTCTAATCTGTACACACAAAAAAAAGCATATTCCCGTAAAATCTATATGTAATTTTCAGGTCATGCAAAAACCCATATCGTTTTTACGTGAAGTACTCTTTTCGACCAGGCAAATTTACCTGGCCGCATATCAAATTGAAATTTATGTTAAATAATATCGATTTTTTTGGGTATAACTTACGGCTCTCCCCTGATCTTGAGCAGTCGCTGCTTGACCCTCTTGCGATCCTCCCTCAAGATCTGTCTCTTGTCCGCCAGCACTGTGCTGACCAAGTTCAGGGTGTCCCGGATGAGGGGCCGCTTCACCTCGCGGTCCACCTGTTCGTTGGTATGAAAGCTGGGCGAGTGGTTGACCTCCAGGATGTAGGGCTTCAGCTTCCAGTCTACGAGGATATCAAAGCCGAGGATCTCGAAGCAGGCCTGAATTTTATCGTGACCCGGAAAGCAGGCATGATAGTTGTGCTTTAGCACGGGCCAAGCACTCAGCACCGTCTTGATGATCACATCATCCACATTGCTCCAGAACTCCTCCACATCGTAGTTATGCCGCCTCATCCAGTTGTTAATGGCACTCAGTTTCCGCTTGCTACCACAATCATCATTGTCGCAGAGTTCATAGTGCGAATTGCGTTTATTCACCGAGTAGTTGGTCAGGTGCATATAAAGATCGTTGGCATTTCCGGGCGTGGGTTCCACGTACTTGTTGGTGGCAAATCTAGCTAGTCCCTCGTTGTAAACAAAGATGCGCAGAGGATCCACGGAGGTTATTAAGGTGTAAACCCGCAGGTCGAACTTGTAGCCATCGATGAGGAGGGGCTGTAAGAAAAGATAAAGATTAGCTTATGGAACTCTTATATAGAAGTAATCCTGGTTACCTTGTGCACGTAGGTCTGACAGATGAGTCTTTCATGAGCTCCTATCGTCTTTAGATCGTTGGTCAACCAAATGCCACGTCCTTGGGCCCCAGAATCAGGTTTCAGGATAAAGGTTCGCTTGTGGTTCAAGGCATAATTCATGGCATCTCCATAGCTAAAAACAGGTTATATCAAATAAGATAACTTCAATATAATATCTAACCCTTACTCCGCTGGGAGCATCCAGGTCTTGGGAAAGATCTTATAGTCCTGCGGGTAGAGCTTCAACATCCGATTGAGATTCCTCGACAGCAGATCCTTGCGACAGATCTCGATCATCCCAGGAAAGTGATTGATCTGCTGGAAACGCTTCATGTTCTTGAACAACTCCACGCCGGGAAACGAATCCGACCAGAGGATGTTCCACAGCTTGGACTCCTTGACTAGTTTATAACCCAAAGTCTTGGATATCTTGCCGATCATGGCGTAACGTGAGTTGGAAACACAGATAGTGCTCTTGGTTTCACTGGGATGAGATTGGGGTTTAAGTTAAGAGGGAGTTTTTGAAGTGTTCTTCAACACAAACAATAAAATTCGATATGAAATAGGGTGTAATCTAACTTATTTCATATCAAAATGATATGATTAATGTAAAATTTATGATTCCAACATATCAACTTGATATTTTATCATATCATATCATATAAAATACCAAATGTAGTATTTTTTGACACATAATCTTTAGTCATATCAAAATGTTATGATTAGGTTGATCTTTAAAAAATGTAAAATTAACCAGCGCGTATCAATTTGATCTTTTGTCAATTTATTTCTGTGAAAGAACGATCACCTGGCTGCGTGCTCCTCCTCGATGTTCTTGGGTGGATTAACCACTCGACTGGGACATTCCACCCTATAAGTAGTGTTGTTCAGCTGTATGAAGCCCTGTAGTTTCGCCTCTGTTCCGTTTACCGGACTATTTTGACCCGAAGAGTGACCGAAATAGGGGGAGTTCTCATCCACTTCCTTGCTGGCCGAAGCCTTCTTCTTCAGACTCCGAAACTTCTTCGCCCGTCGCCGTGGAGATGCAGGTTGTTGCGTCGGCGATTGACCCGGACTAAACCATTCCCGATCCGAACACGGCTGCTCGCTGAGTGCCATGTCCAAGTGGCGAACCACCCGGGTTCTCTGCTCGCGATCTCTCCTGATTTTATCCTTGGAGAAGTGGCGCAGCTCCTGAATCCGCTTGTAAAACTTGGAATTTTTCAAATTCATTGCATTGGCCGCTGCTACTCGTTTTCGATTCGACTAATGGAAAATTTATCACTGGCTAAAAACTATAATTATAAAATAGGGTTTCGTGTCAATGAAAGGGAAGCCGGAATTCTTCACGAATAAAAACGGTATTATTTTGCTTGGGTTGTGTTGCGAAAATGAAAATAGTTGTAACCGAAATGACGCTAAAATCAATACGTAATTCTACTGAGAGCGTCGCAGGTTTGAGTTTAAATTCTTAGATTTTCCTAAATACAATTTTGTGGAATATTTAAAAAAAAGAGAAATGGATTTTTCTGAATAACATGACAATAACAACTAAGTGTACAAAGTTTTAATAAAAAATCGTTTAAACAATTACATTTTTTGTATAACAATTAGTCTTGAAGAAGTTTTCCTCTATTTTATGTTTATGTGCAAAATGGTGCTTCGAGCTTTATAAGTTCGTCTATAACAAGGCACTTAAGTATCTAAATGATTAAAATCTCAGATTTTTCAAAGTACAATTTCGTAGAATTTTTTAAAAGAAGAGAATTGGATATTTTTGAATAACTTCAATAACAAATATGTGTACCAAGTTTTAATACAAAAATCCTTTAAACAATTACATTTTTTGTATAACAAATAGTCTTTAAGGGGTTTTCCTCTATTTTAAAGTTGATTATCATATTGCGATTGATCACAAAATAGGGTTTATAAGCGAAATATTGTGAGCTGCTGGTTCAAATGGTGCTTCGAGTTTCAAGTTCGTCTATAACAAGGCACTTAGGTATCTAAATGTTAGGCAAAATCATTGCGGAATGGCTTAAAACGGTCGAGCACCGCATTCATCGAAGGTCGATCCGAGGGATCCAATGCAGTGCAGTCCAATCCCGCGGCAATGGTGCACATGCACATGGCCAGTTCATCGCCCATCGGCGTGGCCACATGCTTGTCCAGCAGCTCCAATCGGTTCTGCCGCCAGTGCTGCTTGACGTAGTGCAGCAGATCCTGCTGCAGATCATTCTTGGGCAGTCGATCCGTCACCTGGCGTCCGGTGAACACTTCCAGCAGTACAATGCCGAAGCTGTAGACATCCACACCTGTGCTGAGCTGCTTGGAGTTGCGGAACTCCGGCGGCAGGTAGATCCTAGTGCCAAAAACCTTCTTCACCTGCATCACAGCGTCTATGGACTTGGGACCCTCGCGCGCCAGACCGAAATCACCAATCTTGGGCTGCAAGCATTGATCCAGGAGGATATTTGCCGGCTTTATATCGCCATGGATGAGCGGAGTGCTGCGCGCCGTGTGCAGGAAGTAGATGCCTCTGTGGGAAAAGAAATTAAAGTATAAGTAGGTTGTAGTTAAATAGAATAGATCTTAAATTTGGACTCGTTGAAAAATCGGAACTTTTAAAATCCACCGTAAATCCAATTTCCCGTGGATTTGGGCCATATCCAGCTTTTTTTATTCGGTAGGATGTAAACTTTAAGTTTGCACCCATTATGATTTTTCATCGGATTTATTTCGAGTTTTTACGATATATACAGCCGACTTACAGACGACCAAAAAGCACATTTTTCATCTTTGTAGAGCTGCTGCGCTGCCATCACTTATCCAATCATATTGATCTGTATGGCAAAGTTAAGCTCTGGTCTATTGACTTTAAAATGAAACAAAAACTGGACCAATTGGGTGGATATGAGTCGGGATATAGGAAGAAATTCGAAAAAAGACAGATATTTAAAATTTTAAACTTTAAAAAATCTTTTAAAAAAAAATGTGCCATCGAAAAAAAAAATAGTGGTATTTTCGGGATCTAGGGCTCCAGCACTAATAGAATTTGCAATCAATTGCTGTGGAGCATTTTGGCTGTAAACTAGTGTAATCGAACCCACCTGGCTGTTCCATGGCAGATGCTGAACCGCTGCTGCCAGGTGAGCGCAGGCAGCGGCTGCTGGGCCTTGTGCGCCCTTAAACGATTCTCCAAAGAGCCACCCTTCATCAGCTGATAGACTAGGCAGGGATTCACCCCATTGATGCTGTATCCATAGAGCGCTAAAATATTGTCATGCCGAATGGTATTCAGATACTTTAGCTCGTTGTAGCTCTGCTGCAGTTCCACTTGGTTCTTGTCGATGTTTGGGTAGTTCCTGTAGTTCATCACCTTGATGGCCACATCCAGTTGCTTCCATTCCCCCCGATAGACATCGCCAAAACCGCCCTGTCCCAGGCGATTCTCGGGACACCATCTATCCGTGGCGTTGGCCAGCTCCTCGTAGTCTATTTTCAGCAGGGATTCGGCTGCCCTTTGAACGGTGCTAATGTGGATGTTCCCCAAAGATTCCAAACTGGGAATCTCCTCCGTTGCGTTGCTGGTGCTCGAGCGATTGTTGTTCGAGTTGCTGACGCCCGAGGAGGAGGGAAAGGGTGGCCCATTGTCCACTTTTGCACTGGAATCGGGTGGCGCCCTTAGCTCGCTGATGGTGGGCATGCTCCTGGGAATATACTTGTGCAGATCCTCGCTCACAAAGTCCTTGATCAGCCGCATGGCATTGTGTAGCTTTAATCTGGTTAGGTATAGGGTTATTTGTGTGATCTTTTCCTGGTTTTATCTTCAACTGACTCACTTTTTGAACAAAGCAAAGAGCGTTTGCACCGTGTGATTGTACTGACCGCCCCAAATGTTTAAGAATTCATTGGCTGCGGAGCGACCTCGCTGCTTCTGCCCCTCGATCTGCTCCACTTGCTCCGGATAGAGTTTAACTGCGCTGGCCAGCTGCTGCCACACATCCAGGGCGTCCAGGTGGGCACAAAGTTGGGCGCGCACGGGCAAAGGGAGCAGGCGAATGGCCATCGTGTTGTCCAAGTGGGAACGCGATCTGGTCCGGTTTTGGGCCTCCTCGGTCTCCACGGCACTCATCTTGCACTGGCGATGAAGGGGGTTCAATGATTCATGCGGATGCAATCAGGAAAAGCGTCTGGAAAGGGGAAACCTGTTGCAAATGGGGTAAATTCCCAACTCTCGGCAATCAAAACAAGAAAACGTCTGGTTAACAGAGCGGCTAACAGCGCAGCAACAGGTGGTTAACAGTCGCGCAACCAGGGCTACTATATCGGGTTTGTGTCTCCGCTAGCCATTTCAGCATGACCATTTCTCAGATTTTTAGGTATTTTCCTCTAAACCACACACCTTCCTCCGCTTTACATCGTCACGGTCGCATCACTATCGCTAATTCTTCGCTTCGCTTCGCCCATTTATAATTCAGCAAATACGTCAATTAACCAGCCAGCCAGCCAGCGAAACGGAAAAGCCTCAAGCTGGCGGAGAAAAAGGTTCAGATGGCGCTATGCCAGACGTCGGTGGTGAGTGTTTGGTAGCCCTGGATTGCCGTATGTGTGTCATCTTAGGAGGCGGTTCGAAATGCATCCATATGGAGCAGATCCTCTCGAGAGGTTGCTCCTCCCACCGCCCACGCGGGAAAGTGAAAGCTTTCTCCGGGGGCATGGTTAATATAATATACCCCAGATATTACTGAAATCGAAATTTAAGATACCAAAATTGCAACCTCTTGAGTTCATCCGTCTGTGTGTGTGTGAGTGCGTGTGCGTGCCCGTCTGGCTTTCGGTGTATTGGTGCGTTCGTTGCCTTGCATTTTTTTGGGTTTTTATTTGTTTTTTGGTTGTTCAGAGAAGTAGTACAAACTCCATGGGGGTTTTAATTGGCGGTAATGGGCCTCTGCGCAGCGTGTGCCATTATCAGCAAGTCGGGGCCTCCTTATCGCCCGCTGATAAAGCAAAACTACGTACTAAATACTATGTACTAGCAGTAATCGCTGCATACCGGTACATCTTATATGCAGGCACGCATATATGTACCTTGTCCATATTTATATGCACATATGTACCTATGTACCTTAACAGTCTTCGCAAACAAATTATTTACATATTCTCGTTCGAGTTTTGCATGAATTACAGCTGCCGCTGTTATTTTAACGCGGGTTCAAAAAGCTCATTTATATGTACATTTTTCACTCCTATAAAGTCTTGATAACAAAAGGGTATACTTTCGTATTACTCTTCGAATGTATCTTCAAAATTGATACTATTTTCGGTTTTTTAAAATATTACTTTAGGATTTACTGTCAGTTTTAAAATATTATTCTTCATGAAGTAAGAAAACGTTTATATCCGAAGTTAAATTCCAGAAATAAAGAGATTGTCAATTTAGACAAGTAACAGTTGTAGTAAAAATATTAAATATTTACACCCATTAAATTATTACCTTATAAATAATAAATTGAGATTTCAAAATCAAATCCAATTCAGTTCAGATGACAGGAATATTAAATTAGAATAAATGTATCATTGAAAACAATCTTAAATTTTTAAACTTCTGTTATTTTTTGTTTTTAAAATGTTATTTATTTCATGAAATGAGTAAATATTTATCATCGGAGTGAAATTCCGGAAATAAATAGATTATACATTTTGATCTGATAGTAAAAATATTTAATATTCAAACCATTTTAGAACCTTGTCAATATTGATTTGAGATGTCAAAATCAATAACAGTTGACTTAAGACTCTTAAGTTAAAAATATTTTATTTTTAAAAACCTCTTTACAGGAACTCCTATTTTTTTAGCCCCCACTGTGTGCTCATTAATCTTTGATATTCCTACTAATGTTATTTTGATTTTCTTAAAATGAACGGTTTTAAAATTTTTGTTCAAAAATTTAGAACATATTTTTAATAAAGAAATTTCAGAAAAATCTATTTTGGTATTTAATATTCCTGATAATAAAAATATGTAGTATTAAAACCAATTATAATTAATTGAGATGTCAAAATCCAATAAAAATCAGTAGATTAAAGAGTTTTCTATTTTTAGAAACCCCTTGACAGGAACCCCTATTGTTTTAGCCCCCATTGTCTGCTCATTAATAGCAGGGAGTTGGGCAGTAATAATATAATGAGTACTTAGAACAAACACAGATTTCCTCCACTGATGTGCCGTGCATTTCGAACTTAATTATACACATTAACATTAATAACCCCCACCCTTTTTTTCGCCCGCAGCTAAAGGTGTACCATGCCGTGATCGAGGACGTCATCACAAATGTGCGGGACGCGTTCCTGGACGAGGGCGTCGACGAGCAGGTGTTGCAGGAGATGAAGACGATCTGGCGCAACAAGCTGCTGGCCAGTAAGGCCGTCGAGCTGACGGAATCCAGCGATGGCTCCCACCCACCGCCCATCGTGGCCAACAATCCAAAGGTATTAGTTTCGGAAGTTTAATATATGATCATTCCATTTCCATTAATTACCATTTTTACCTATTTTTTGGAGTAAATAACTACAAATAATATTGTAAATCTAGTTTGTAACGCCCCCATATATTTATATGTTATTATTTTGTACGTAACCATTGTAAATCTAGTTTGTAACGGCCCCATATATTTATATGTTATTATTTTGTACGTAACCACTTTATTCCAAAGACATTCCGACTAAGATATCTTGCTTTATCTTCCTTATGCTCAATAAAACGAACCACAACAATGCTACTGCGCCTCACCAACAACATCGACTAATGCGCTACATCATCGAAATCCATATTCATTTCCATAACCGCCTATCACATCCAAACGCACTGCAGAGCACCAAGGTAAAGAGCCATCTGTCTGCACCTAGAATTATACTTAATAATCCTTAATCCCTTTTTCCAGGCAGCCAATGCCAAGGCCAAAAAGGCCGCCGCCGCCTCAGCGGCCACATCACAACCACAGATCGGCGGCAGCAGCTCGGCATCCTCGCTGGCTGCCCTGAAATCGCCCGCAGGCATGGCCACCGGCAGCGGGATCAAGAACGGGCTGGTGCCCATCAAGCAGGAGGTCAACTCACAGAATCCGCCGCCACTGCATCCCACATCGGGGGCAGCGCTGCTGCAGAAACAGCAGCAGGCGGCGAGCAGCGGACAGGGTTCCATTCCAATTGTGGCCACGCTGGATCCCAACCGCATAATGCCCGTCAATGTGGGTTAAATAGGGATAAATACAAGTATTTTAAAGACTAATCATTAATTGTATTTTATAGATCACGCTGCCATCGCCAGCCGGCTCGGCCAGTTCGGAATCTCGAGTGCTCACCATTCAAGTGCCTGCCTCGGCGCTGCAGGAGAATCAGCTCACCCAGATACTGACGGCCCACCTGATTTCGTCCATCATGTCCTTGCCCACCACTTTGGCCTCGTCCGTGCTGCAGCAACACGTGAATGCAGCCTTGAGCAGCGCCAATCATCAGAGTAAGCGGCTTTAACTCTTCTGATTTCTAAATTATAATTAACTCTTTGTATTGAGTAGAAAATCTGGCTGCTGCCAAGCAATTGGACGGCGCTTTGGATTCCTCCGATGAGGATGAGAGCGAGGAGAGCGACGACAACATCGACAACGATGACGATGATGATCTGGACAAGGACGACGACGAGGATGTGGAGCATGAAGATGCCGCCGAGGAAGAGCCGCTCAACAGCGAGGACGACGTCACCGACGAAGACTCTGCCGAAATGTTTGATACAGACAATGTGATTGTCTGTCAGTATGATAAGGTGGGTCCTTAGGACTTCTATTATATCTATAAAATTATAATAAACCTTTTCCACAGATCACCAGGTCGCGAAACAAATGGAAATTCTATCTCAAAGATGGCATCATGAACATGCGGGGCAAGGACTATGTGTTCCAGAAATCGAATGGCGATGCCGAGTGGTAGTCATAGCTGCTGACCCAAAAAAGAGCGGCGACAATTTACAAAAGACATCAAACAAAGAGCCTCATCGAATGCGCCTTCAGCCCCCCGGACATTAGCTAAACCGGACAGGACTCTGCCCCCCACTTGAAATCATGACCAAGCAACAGCCTGTACAGGAAGCCAAGTACTCGGGCCGACACTATCTTATTTTAGTTCCATCTGTTTTGTATTACGCTAGCGAAAAAGAGTGTGTTGCAGTTAACCATCTCAATTAAATGTATTAAATAGAGTGCCGCATAACTTTTGTGTCAATAAACAGAAACACTTGTGAAAGTTATCTTTCTGTTTTTTATACCGATTAGGAGAATAACAGAGGCATCTGGTTTAAGGAAATTCTATTGTAGTTGCAGATGTTCTCTTGTTTAATATAGGAGGTTGTAGTAGTAAAACCAATTTTAAAGAATAATATTATGGTTTTTATACCGATTATGAAAATAACAAAGGCATCTGCTTTAAATATGTAAACACCATAAATTTCCCTTTTGTTTTTCTTCTATATTATTCGAAGTTATAATACCAGAAACAAATTTAAAGGTTAATATTATGGTTTTTATAATTCCCCTTTCTTTTTCTATAAAATATAAAGTTTTAATGAAAGAAACAAATTTAAAAATTAATATTACCGCTTTTCCATATATCAAATATAATATACCTTTAATCCTTTTTCCAATTAAAAATCCATCCGTTTTCATTGAAAGTATGTATGTATTTATATATAGACATGTACTTGCAGTTCGATCTTGCAGTTAAGGAGTACAGCATTTTACAGTTCAACATGGTTAAGGTTCGCATCCTATGTACAACTCTCATTGTACACTCATCAATCACTGTGTGGTCATCTATCGTCGATCTATGTACATACATACATGCACTTATCCGCTGGGGGCACATCCTTATCGCCCTATATCGCCTAAACAATCTAAGTAATGACTAAAGATGCGCGGGTTTCTGGCTTACGATCCTAAAAACTAATGAAGATGTCTCTCTGTCTACATGTGTGTGCGTGTGTGAGTGGGTGTTTTGTGTGTGGATTGCTGATTGCTGGTTTCTAGTTTATTATTATTATTATAATTCAATCGAAAGTGAGATGGGCTTGGTTATCGTTCACATTTTATACAAGGTCTCCTCTTTCGCTCAGCGCTATTGCTGCTGCAATTATATAGACAATCAAAATAGGTGTAAAAGTAAGTTTAAAACAATTTATAATATAGCACAACTCTCGCTCCTAGGTTAGCCCTATTTGGTTTTGCCCGCAAACAAACTCGTGCTAAGCACCAAGCCGAAGAATCGTCCTCCGGGTGTCATTGCAGGACAAGCCTTGCACGTACACAATGATATAACTGCCTAATTAAACATTAAGTCGTCAGTAGCGCGATGTTGATTTCCTTGACCATCTTGACGCGGTGCAGCATCCGCTGGAGGGCATCCTGCCCCAGAGCTTGCGTGGAATACCAAACGGGGGAGTCGGGCACACAGGAGCGCTCGGGCTGCAGATAGAATACATCATTGCGGGTCTTCACGCTCTCGGGGCTGTGGGATTATATACGATTAGCAATCATTGATTGTTTTTTTATCCATAAAATTACTAACCATTTAGAGAGATAAAATTCGTAGAGGCGGACGGGACAGCGCAGCGGATTCTCCTCATTCTCCTGCTGCTCGTAGACCTTCTTCTTGCGTGGATTGGCATCTGTTTAAGAAGGATTAAAAAGTTTAGACCCTGTATATAATCTATTAAATTAAGTGTAAGAACCTACCCAAACCCGCCTGCGGTGGATAGAATCGTAAGAGCACGTTGCGTGAGCCAGGAACTTTGGAATTCTGTGATGAGCGCTTCCAGTGCTTCATTATGTGCGAGAAGGATAATTGCATGTGCTCCTCCACGGTCTAAAAAAATCAAGAACATGTCACTCGAGTTCAAAATCCTTGCTTAAATATTTCTCACCGTCAGATTAAAGTGCTTTGTGTTGAAGAACATGAGCGTGCTGAGCAGGACATGCGGTGAATGGGCGCCCAGTTGCTTGCACTCCCACAAATGCTCCTCCTCCACGCGAGTGACAATGTATTCTAGAAAAAGAATAGGAAGTAAAGGAATTAGTGGAAAATTTAGAGTATTTTTAAGCCAGTTAACTTACGCGAATCGTTGTAAAGCACGGAGAACTTGCGCGCCACCTCGTCCAGGCACTCCGTAAACCGCTCGTAGTAAGGATCATAGAAGATGTTGTCTATGCGTCCATTCACATACAGATATTGCTGGATGCCTGCAGGAATATAAATCAATATTAACAAAGGTTTTGAGTAAATAAATCAACGAGTAATCACTAACCCAGCACAAGATAGTAGATGGTATCCGGCGCATATTCCGTTCCATTAGGCTTTCGAACCTCCTTCACGAAAAGACAAAGCGAGTAATTCAGCTCGTCTGCCGTCATCTGAAGCAGCTCCGTTTTGAAGGGTCGCCGGCGCATCGAACTCTTCTCGATATCCGCATTCTTCGTCATCACCCACTGCTTCCAGGCATTCACACCGAACGTGTACTTGAGGAACATCTGGGCGTCGGGCTTCTCCTGCGGCTGCTGTGCCTGCTGCGATTGCTGCTGAAGGGCCGAGTGATCCAGTTCGCTGCCACGCTGCCGCTTCACCGGCGAGCGGCTGTTGCGGTTGGGCGAATCCATGACGGCGCCAACGCCTCGCTTGCGACCACGAGGGGTTCTGAAATGTACACGTTGATAATTATTAATATTAAATTTATTTTAAAATTTTTTAGCTTTTAAATGTAATTATTTTTTGACCCGGCTGCCGTCACCACTTATTTTTGTTTAAAAAAGTTGAAAAATCCGAACTTTAAAAATCCACCATAAATCCAATTTCCCGAGGATGTGGGCCATATCCGGCTTTATTTTATTCGTTAGGATGTAAACTTTAAGTTTGTACCCATTATGATTTTTCAACGGATTTATTTCGAGTTTTTACTATATATACAGCCGACTTACAGTCGACCAAAAAACACATTTTTCATCTTTGTCGAGCTGCTGCGCTGCCATCACTTATCCAATCATATTGATCTGTATGGCAAAGTTAATCTCTGATCTATTGACTTTAAAATGAAACGAAAACTGGCCCAATTGGGTGGATATGAGCCGGGATATAAGAGGAAATTCGAAAAAGTCCGAAATTTAACATTTTGAGCTCTAAAAAAATCTTTAAAAAAAAACTGTGCCATCGAAAAAAAATAGTGGTATTTTCGTGATCTAGGGAATTTGCAATCAATTGCTGTGGAGCATTTCGTCTGTAAACTAGTGTAATCAGATTTTCGGTGACTTAAATTCTCCACTCACCTTTGCGACGCATCGAGCATGTGATGCTGCTGGTCCAGATGATGCACTCCCATCTGACCCATCCCATCGTGACCCATGGGCGACTGGCTGCTAATCGTGTTCGCCGTCATCGACGTCTCCAGATCCACCGTCGAGGTCTGGTGATGATTGTCATAATCTCCCGTGGCCATTTTGAGGGCAATCTGCAGCATATCATCGCCATACGGATTGTGCCCGGCTCCACTGACGTCGACCACCTGCTGCTGTTGCTGCTGCTGCTGGGCGACGGACTCCAAGCTGTTCTGATACTGCAGCGTAACCAGTCCAGGATCCGGCTTGATCTCGTTGTCGGAGTCGCTGTCCGATTCGTGCTTCTCCTCCGCCACCATTTCGGCCATCATGAGCAGCTCCGCCTCCAGCGGATCCTCCGGCATCTTGTCCTGTATCTTCTTGATCTCCTTGAGAATGCCTTGTGAAGTGTTGCGAGTGGTGGGTATGAAAATGGGCACGGGTATGGGCAGTGGAATGGGCACGGGGACGGGGAAGGGCATCGAGTACATGTACATGGGTTGCGGTAGGTAAATGGGCACCGGAACCGGGATGAGCACCTTGTTGGAGTAGTCCTTGTCCGTCTGCGTGGCGCAATCGCGCACATCCGGTGTGCACTGCTCACCGGTGGACACAGTTAGCGGTTTACAGCTAATGTTTACATTTCGCACGGACTTGGGATATGGTGGCACTGTGATGATCTTGGTCTCGGATACCGTAGTTGGTCCGAAATCCATGGTAGTGGTGGTATTCCGCCTACCCCCGATGGCCAAGTGGGAGTTGGGCATGGGTGGTGGCGAAGGGGAACGCACCGAGTAGTCCACATGCTTGCGGGGTCTTCCACGAGGAGCTCCTCCATGAGCCGACGGCATGGGGAGCGGTGGCGGGGAAGGTCCTCCCGATTCCCGGGGACGTCCACGCTTGCGCCGCACCGTCACATTGCCGATCCGGGCCTCGGTTTCGCCGCTGGCGAGCGATTGAACCGTGGATATAACCGGCAGCATGGTGCCGGATCCCGATTTCTTGGCCCCAGCGGCATTTTTTCCAGACTGTAAGTAAATACGATACAAATTAGGCAATTAGTGATAGGTTAGCTTTGTAATTATAGAACCTACAATGGAACTTCTTCTAGGTAACATCAAAATTAAATATAATCAAGCTTGAAACTCCTTTTTTGAAAGCCTATTTCCAAGAATTATTTTTAAGATCAATAGGCAACCCTAAAAAGAGTTGCAATATTTGACTTTTCTTTTTGGCAGCACTAATTATACGGTAACATTAAAAATTGTGGAGATCATAACTAGGGTATTCCCACGACAACCAAACGGAGTTGTCACCTTATTATATTTTTTAAAAATAATAGAGAATATATAAAAAAGCTATAGTTTTAAAATTTAAGGAAGCTTAATAAAAAATAATAAATAATTAGAAAGTTTAGGAATATTAAGTTTTTCTGTGATTTTTATAATAATAATTTTGAAAAATAACTAACAATAAAACCACTAATTACAATTATAAGCTGAAGTCAAAAACCTCGAGACTGTTGAACCGTTTAAATTTAAAAACAGAGTTGTCACCATATTATATTTTTAAAAATTATGAAGTATTTAGAAGTTAGCTTTTAGTTTTAAACTTTAAGTAAGCTTTATAAAACTAAATAAATAATTAGTATATTAGTATAAATTGAATTTTTCTGTGACTTCTATAATAATTGAACCGTTTAAATTTTGAAAACAGAGTTGTCACCTTCTTACGTTTTTTTTAAATTAATGATTAGTTTTTTAAGTTAAGCTTTTTAAGCTTTATAAAAATAAATAAATAATTAGGATGAATATTTTAAGTTTTTCTGTGTTTTCTATAATAACAATTTATAAAAATATATAACAATAAAACCACTAGTTACAACTTAAAAAAAATTTAAATTTTGGGTTGTTCCTTTAATTTTTAAAATTCACTATAATTTTCAACAATTTAACAATTCAACTATATAATTTTGTATAATCTAAAAAAATCTTTAAATTTAAAAAATGAACAATTTACCCCCGCATAACTTGAACTCGACTCACCTGCTGCTGGGACAGCTTTAGTTTGACCCGCTTGGGCAGACCCGTGGGGAAGGGCGCGGCATTCTTGCTGCCCCTTGTGGAGGAGCCCTGCTGCTGGGACTTGGAGCTGCTGCCGGCGCTGCTGCTGGGCGGCAGGTCGCTGTCCAGCGTGAGCGGTGCGCGGGCAAACTGATTCTGGAACTGCATGACGCACTGGTACGTGCAGAAGTTGCGCATGGAGGCATCGGACATGGTCAGGTGATACTGCGGCGTATTAAAGTTCGCGCAATTGTCGCACTTGGTCACCGCCCGGGCGGAGATGTTGCAGCTGACGCCGTGCATGGTCAGACAGTTGATGGAGCAGGTGAGCGTCTCCTGGTCCTGCTGCCCGCCCACCTGGTAGATCATGTCAAAGTTGTACTTCTTCACCTTGCACCACTGGCACGAAACGATGTGCCGATTGACGATGATGTAGACGTTGATGCAGACGCGCGAGCAAAAGACCTTCGGCGACTGCTGTTCGTTGTAGATGGTGTAGGATTCGGCGCTCCGCCGCTCAAAGTACTTGGAGCACATGGCGCAGGGATCCGCATTCACGTTGCTCACAAACTTAAAGGCCGAGAAGCACGGATTCGAGCAGAAGTAATGCTCTCTGTCCTCCAGAAGCATTTCCACGCGCACTGGCTTCTCGTTGTTGCAAACGCCGCACACATCGGTGCGCAGTTTTCTCCTTGGATTGCACATGCTGTCGTAGCGACGCAGGCAGGCTTGCGAGCAAAAGTCCTTGAACTGATCCTTGTCGCCCACGGGTGCGAGAAAACCCTCCTGCCCGCCGCTAATGTCCTTCTGGCAGCAGGAACAGGTCTTCAGACCTTTTTTAAAGGTATTTAGGCAACCGGCGCAGCAGAACTGCCGCACATCGAAGCCGAAACGCACACAGTATTTGCCCAGCGCCGTGGAGCTCACCTCCTGCTTGCAGGTGACGCAGCTGGAGCCAATTGTACGCTGATAGCTGCCCAGGCACACTTCGTTGCAAAAGTCCATGGTCTCCCACATGAGCTGCTTCTCGTTCGAATTGATCTCCGCCTCGCAGTCGGCGCAGCGCCTGCGGAAGCTCTCGATCCTGTCCAGACGCGCCGTCTCCGCCTCGGCCAGCGTTCGGGCCACCACGCTGCTCTCGGGCTGCTGCTTGCTGGGCGAATTCTGCGGCGGCTGGAGGGTTGTGGCGCCAATGTTGCGCACGCGAATCGAGTGGCGCTTTAGCTTGAATTTTTCCGGCTCCTCGGCGTTCAGCAGATTGAAGCAATCGTCGTTGCAGATGTAGTGAATGTCTTGATCCTGCTTGATGAAATACTTGCAACGCGTCTGCTCCTTGCACTGCAGGCAATCGTGCGTATTGGCGGGAGGGGTATCTTCTCCAGCTTCTGTGGAAGCTTCGGCGTCGCCCTCTGCCTCGTCGGCGGCGCCCTCTTCCCGGACAACCTCCTCCACCAGGAACTTCTTGCGCCGCACAAAGTATTTGCCGGGTTGATCGGCTAGCAGGGCATTTACACAGGCGGTGTCGCAGACGTACTCGAATCCGCTGGGCGGAGGTTCTTGTGGCGCCTCCTCCTCTGCATTCTCCTCTCCCTTATCCTTATCCTTGTCTTTATCTTTTTCCTCCGACGGGTTCTCTTCGGGTTTCTTGTACCGGAATCCACAGTTCTTTTCGTTGTCGCACTGCTTGCACTTTTGCACGCTGCCCACGATCCAACTGATGATGATTTTAGGCGTTGCTCCCGATTCACCAGCTCCTGTGCTGGAGGATTCCTCGGCGTTGGGCTCGTCTGCATCGGGAGCATCGCCGCCAGCCTCCTCCTCATTGGCCGCTTGGTCGGTTCCATCGTCTATTAGGGAGATTTATATTAGTTTTTATTGTTTTAATGCAAAATAACTGTTGTACATTCAACAGGTGGCTAATACAAATTATATTAAATAATTTTTTTAGTAATTAATGTGATTTTTTGTAGATTTTTATCTCAATTTGTTCTGGGTCAAATTTGCTACTGACCGTTTTTTAGAGGTCCAATTTTATATTAGTTTAGATTAAAATGGATTTTAAAATATTTTTTTTTAAATAATACAACTAGTTGTTAAATCTCAATTAAAATCAAAATATATTGTACATTGTTTCACAAAAATTTCGAGAGTTTAATCAGCCCTAAAACATATAATTTTTGAATTTTGAGTAGAATATTAGACTTTAACCCAAGATTATTGACAAAGCAAACATAAATTTATATAAAAAAAAATTATGTGATTTTTTAAGCTTAAAATAAGAAGCATAAATGCTAAGAAGAAATAAAGTTACTACAGATTTTTAAGAAGTAATCATGAAAATAGCAGAATTCAAAGCAAAAGCAGTAAGAAAATTGTAATGCAATTTTAAACATTGACTTATTAAATAACGCTTTTAAACAAAAATACTATAAATAAAGAATGTTAGTGACTTTCGCCCAAGTATAACCCCAATCTGCTCACCTTCGGCAATCTCTGTTGCCGCCGCCTTAGCTCCAGCTTGAGCATCTGTAGGCAAAATGGATAGAGTAGATGTGGGATGGGACATTTTGGTTGTTAGTCTGGCGCACATACCATTTGGCGTGGACGGGGATTCGTCGGTGGGATCTGCTACACCTGCACCATCATCTTCCGCATCGACGGCGGCATCTGTGAGGGACTTTCCATCATTATCGGGTGTCTTAGACTGCCGCTCCTCGGCTTCCTCCTCCTCGGCGGCTTTTTCGGCATTCTCGCGGGCCTGTTCCTTCTCCGCTTCGGTGACCTCCGTCTCCTGATCGTCGGGAATGAGGCAGACGTCCGATTCCTCCGGCTCCAGCACGTTTTCAACAGTGTCTGTGGGTTGGGTTTATAAATTATTAAATATTTTATTTAAATAAAGAGTTTATAGACTCACCATCGCCATGCTCGGCTTCTCCAGCCTCTTCCGCCGCCTCCTCCACCTGTTCCGACTCGCCGTCGGCCTCCGGATTATCATCTTCATCGGCGGGCGTCTCTTTTTCCGTCTCGTCGGCATCCTGGCCATTGTCCTCTAGACTGGTGTCCACCTCGTCGCGGCCCTCTGGCGGTTCTGCATCGTCGGCCAGGTGGGAGTCTCCACCCACGGACTGCATATCCACATCGTCTGCAGCCTCTGGTTCGAGGGCGGCCTCTTCCTCCGCTTCGGGATCGCCTTCGGGATCGTTTTCGGCATCAGCTTCAGGATCAGCTTCTCCCTCATCCACATCCATGGCTTCTGGTGAAGCTGGGCCACCATCCACGGCATCTGCTTCGGCAGCAGCGGCCTCCTCCTCCTCCGCGGTGGCTTGCAAAGCATCCGTCTCCTCTTCCGCCTCCTCCTGATCCTCCTGGGGATCCACACTGACCGCCTCCGGTTGCGGTTGCTCCTCCTCGTCTGCTGGAGGTTCCTCGGAGGGTTGTGGCTCCTCGGAGGGCACAGGATCCTCTGCCTCCGCCTCCCCCTCCCCCTCCACGGGATCTGCCTGTGGACTGGCCGCCTTATCCTGCGACTGGTTGTCATCGGCATCTAGAGATCCCTCGGAGATCTGTTCAAAGTCATCCTCGGGCTCCTTGGCGGCGGCGGCGGCGGAGGGGGAATCCTCTGCGGGTGGCGGTGGTGGTTCCGCGTCCTCCGCTGGCGGGGAAGCGGGCGTGTCCAGGGATTCACTCGCCGCAGCTGGCTGTTCCTGTTCCTGATCCTCTGGCTTTGGGGTCGCCGATTCCGGTCGCGCATTGGAATCCCCGCCGAACGAGTCTAGGCTGGATATCTCCTCCATTTCAGGCAGCTCTTCTTTCTTCTATTTTTCCTAACCAAATCTCGTTTTGCGCTTGTTTATATAGACATATGAAAACTGCAAGACAAAACGAAAAGCGAAAAAAACAAACAAATTAGTGCATCGTCCCGTTATCGATAACTATCGCCCGTGCGGCGGACTATCGGCTGGCCAGGGCCTCACACCATTGCCGCCTAAAATTGTACACACACACACGCACAGGGCACACCGACGCATACAAACACACACACTGGGCCCACGGTACAGTGCACGAAAAAACAAAACATGCGCCTCCAAAGGGGAAAAAAATGGGGAAAAACGACCGAGGAGCGTGTCTGTATGCGCCGATTGCGGGGTAATTAATATCACTAAATCACTGCACTTGCTTTATCCCGCTGGCCGCCCTGCACTGGCTGCTTTTTGTCGTATTTATGCGGATGCAGATGCGATGCAATCCCCACAATTCCAATTCCAAGTTGTTGGAAAAGCAGCACGAGTTTTGTTGTGGAGAGCGCGTCTTTGGTGCCGCAATTAGCTGCCTTTCACCGCTGCGCGCTTGGCGGGCACATTTTTCAACGTTCAACGGTCGGCGCAACACTTTTCTCCAATTACCAAACACCTTTTTGCAAACACCTTTTCGCCTTTCTGGGGCCACTGTGTGAATTTTTCGGCTTTCTGCGAGTAAAAATGGCGCACCAGTGTACCAAATGCGGCCCTCGCATAACGCGTTTGAGGTCCGCTGGTATATACCGAAAAATACCGCAAATAAGGCACTAAAAAAGGGCGTCATTTTGAAGTGGGTGGAGTTGGCAGCTCTGGTCATTTGATTTTGAAAATTGTGTATCATGTTTTGTCATCCTTTGTGTTTATAAACTTTTTTTGCTTTTATTGCTTTTATTGCTTTTAAGGTACTTTGCTATATATATTGCTATAGCCTTTTTTGTATTAGATTTGATTTGATTTGTCCACCTAGGATATTTAATTCGCTAAAAAACACATTTGTTTTGCAACTTTACATTTGGTTATCTTACCTGTACGCCGTTAGGACAGATCCACTGATTATTCATGTCGACCTGCATACTACGGGGTTAGCATGTTCAATTGTCCGCAATTTTAATTGCTTACCAAAAAAGTTGTCGAATTAAAATTTTTTAAATTTTTCGAGCACTAAAGCACCTTCTAGGCCGACGTTGGAAAACAGTATGTGGTGAAGGTGGTGACTTTCCATTAAGGCGCTACTTTATCTAAAATTTGTAAATGTGTTTGAAACGCTTTTTAGCGATTTTAATGTGGGGATAAATTAAATAAAAAAACGAGGACGGAAGCTAACTTCGGCAAGCCGAAGTTTTAATACCCTTGCAGATTTTACGAATTAAAACTTGACTAGACTAGCAACATGAATTAATAAACAACAAAATATTTTATAATTGAAAAAATATAATTTTTAAATTTTTCACCCTATTGTTCCTATGGGAGCTATAGGATATAGACGCCCGATCGGCACGCGGGTTTACCCTAATGAAGGCACGCACAAAAAAATACGATTTGGAAAGTTTCATGGGAATAGCTTATATTTTGCGCGAAATATCCTGAAAAACGTCAAATTTTGACCGATTTCACCCTATTGTTCCTATGGGAGCTATAAGATATAGACGTCCGATCGGCACGCGCTTTTACCCTCATCAAGGTACGCACATAAAAATACGATTTGGAAAGATTCATGTCAATAGCTCTTACACTGAGCGAAATATCTTCATTTTGTGAAAGCTATATCCGATTGTTCCTATGGGAGCTATAGGATATAGACGTCCGATCGGGTCGGCTTTCAAACTTGATCTGCGTACACATGTTTTAGGACGACTGTGAAAGTTTCAAGGCGCTAGCTTTTAAACTGAGCTCGCAAACGGTATTGAAACAGACATACAGACGGACAGACGGACAGACGGACAGACGGACAGACGGACATGGCTATATCGACTCCCCTATTGATCCTGATCAAGAATATATATACTTTATGGGGTCGGAAACGTCTCCTTCACTGCGTTACAAACTTCTGACCAAAATTATAATACCCTCTGCAAGGGTATAATAAAATATGTTATACCCCAAAAATGATAATAAAATAAAAAAAATTAAATATTATTATAACACAAAAAGTTAACACAATTATAGTTCAATAATAAATTCATCATAAATTCATTTACCTAATGTTTTCGTTGTCTTAACATGTCTTTCATGTTATTTCTAATAACTAATGTATTATTTCAATTTAAATCCTTGCAGAGACTTTTAGGATTTTAATATGCTTTTTTGTAGCTTTTTGTTCGTTAATGTTTTAGCTTTATCTGCAAATCGGTTCCCCCAAAACCGGCAAAACTACTTTACATCAGTCGGTACACCGAACTGAATTCTTAATTTGTTCACCATTTCGACGTGCTCCTCCGTTTTACAATGTAATTTGAGGAACTTTTCTTTTGTAAAGTATTTCTTTGGTTTATTTTTTTGAAGGTCCTTTTTTTCTCGGAGGTATTTGGTGCAGACAGGTCCTGTTTGGTCTCCTCTCCTGGATCTTAACCACGGGATCTTTTTTCTTATCTTTGAAGGAATGTGTCGCTGTCCTCAAAATCCAAACGCCTTTTTGATTTTCTTCTTTCCAGGGTGGCTGTTTGAGACAGAATCTTTAAGAAGTTTACGAATTCCACAACGTTGGTGTTGTAGAATAGGTTTCCAATTCGGGTTGGGGTTGGGGTACGGGTTTCTCCTCCTCCTCCTTTGTTCGGTTCGGTTTTCCAAATTTGTAATATCCGTTAGTGATTTTTGGATTGCTCTTTCGTTGTCCTCCTAAAAATCCTAAATGATACTTTTGCTATACACACAGAAACCTACCATTCAAGATGCTCAGCTCAGTTGACCTTAAAAAAGTCCACCCTAATGTGCATTAAAGATAATTTTATAGTTTTTTTTTAAGATTCTTGGAAATTTGTAAAAACATTTGGAAATAATCTGCAAAAATATAAATCATCTTTATACGTGTGTTAATGAAAAAAATAATTTTTATGCTGATTATGCTGATTTACCATGTTTTAAAATTTTCTGGAAACATCGATGTTTTTCACCAAAACGTAAGGGCAAACGTAAGTGTCAGTTATACGTAACACCGGCTCAGAGAGGGAGAGAGGGCGAGACCAATACAAAATTTCGATAAACATCGGATAACATAAAACATCGAACCAAATTTCCCAATCATTTTAACCGAAGTTGGCAGCTCTGGCCTTTTAATTTTTGAAAATTGTGTATCATGTTTTGTTATCTTTACTATATATTCTTTATTTGGGTTCCTTTTTCACTAATTTTCAGCATTTCTAGTCTTATCTTTGGTAAATGTTTGTGAAGTTTTAGATTTGAGCTTCATACAAACTATGAAAACAAAGAATCTGAAAAATACACAAGTTCCTTTGTTCTGTTATTAATGACATGTTGAAATGTAATATTTAATCAAAAAACATTCCTGGCCAGTTGTTTTATTACCCTGAAATCTTTCTCCTTTTACTATATCCTATATACTATAACAAGTATGAAACTACAGGAATTTTTATTGGATTATCCCTTTATAAAGAGTTTAAAGATTACCTAGAAATAAACTCTTTTTCCTAATATTGGCTTATATACCCCTCGGCATCCAAAAGGACATTGGGGAAGTACTTGATAATCTTGGTGAAATGCGGAAATTTCTGGGTATTGGCGAAGGTGACCTCGTTGACCTCCTGATACTGCTTCAAAATGCTGATGAGATCATCCTGGGGCACTAGTTCCGTCACCAGCCAGTGCTGAATCACAAAGTTCAGGGCGTAAATCTGTAACTTCATAAGACTGGGTTCCCGGGTCAAAATCTTTCCCTTTTCCAGTATTTTCTAAAATCTTAAGGTTTATAAAATACATTCTAAAACTATTTTTAACCCACCTCCATGCAAACCCTCTCCAGATCGATGATATTATGCCGAAATGCCAGGTCAAAAGCTGGGAATATACCATCCATGGGCCAATCCTGCTGCTTTAGATGCTCCGAAAAGGATCGCAGTAACTCCGGCATGTTGTAGGCGCAGGACAGGATGAATATATCGCCCACCTGGCTGAGTTGGACCAGCGGCGAGGTCACCTCGAAGGTGTAGATGAACTCCAGGAAGATCTCCACGCTCTCGGGGGAAACCCCATTGATCTGGAGCACACCATTCCACTGCTTATTCTGGTACACATCCTGCTCCAGCTTGTCGGAGGCGGTGGCCAGGAAGATACGGTGGCAGGGGAACTTCTTGTAGCAAATACTCACCTCAGGATTATTAGATTGGGGACAGTTGCTCAGCACATGGACCTGGCAATCGGCATCCGATCCACTGCGAAAGTACTCCAAACGGCGGTTTTTACTCGTCGAGCGAATGGGTTCTTCTGGGGATGTCCTAACGGAGTCCTCGGAGTCCTCCGAAGCCGTTCCCGTCTCCACATCCGAGGCAATGGTGGTTCGGGGTTCCTTTAGACCACTCAATCTCTCGGGACTGGTGGTCTCCTCCTCCTCTGGTGGGTTTACAAAGCTTCCTTTTTCGGAATAAGGGATCTGGACATCCTCCCTTGCCTTTAGAATACTTCCCTTGCCCACGGAAGGCTCCTTTGGTGCCTCCTCCTCCTCCTTCCAGTCGATGCTCGCCGGAGGACTCTTGCTCCTGGCGCTTCCCTGGCTCTTTTCGCCGGCGAACTCTTCCCCAGAATCTGACATTCCTGCCAAGGGTGGGAACCCCAATTTCCAAATTCCTATTTCCAAATTCTCTATAAAGACAGCTACCGAATCCCCAAATGAACTGCAAACTACGTCGCTTGGATCTCCTCCGCAATGGCCAAAAATCGGATTGCGAGCTGCATGTTTGGTCGGTGGATAAGGTGAAGGGTAAGCACTGCCAGCGGATCTTCAAGTGCCACCAGGTGATGCTGGTCTCCGCCTCCGAGGAGTTCGAAAGGTTGATCAAGGACCCGGAGTTTCAGAAGCAAAAGGGAGTAATATCCGTGGAGGACGCCTCGCCCACCGCCTACGAAGCTTTGCTCCTCTATATCTACACCTATGAGGTGTGCAACGCGGTCACCATCGACATGTGTGGTGACCTCATGCTTCTGGCCGAGCGTTACAAGATGCTGGACTTTATCGACTGCTATATAGACAAGCTGGCTCTGCAGGATTGGCCCATGGAGGTGGTGCTGCAGGTCTTCCATCTGGCCAGCGAGCACAACCATCCAGCGCTAATGGATCTGGTAGCGAAGGTATGAGGCATATGTATTACCCATCAGTCCTTCTAACTTGTAAACCTTCCCCAGAAAATCCTGCCCTTGGCCACCCAAATCACCCAGGACAAGTCCTTCCTGAAGCTAAGCGTCGCAGAGCTCAAGGCTTTGATCATAATCCTCAAGAAAGAGGCAATCCTCCCAGATCCTGAACTACTGGAGGCCCTGAAGAACTACCAGGAGGTGAACAACCTACGCTACGACAACATGGAGCAGTTCCAGCTGTTCGTGGAGGTTACCCAAATGTTCGACAACGTTCTCTTCGAAGTGGATGGCACCATAGTCCTGCCCGAGGCAGAAGAGGTGGTCACCCGGGAGATAGGCTCTGATACATCGGTTTACAATAGGGATAATTCATAGATTTACATATCTAAAGGGATCATTTATTGAATGATAAACGGGAAGGAAAACAAACATAATCGATTTCGGATCGGCTTATAGAATAAATATAGATATTCTCTGGCGCATACGGGCAGCAATCCCGCAGAGCGTGCACATTGAGGTTGAAGCGCTTGGCGTTGCCATAGCCCCGGCAGCCATCCACGTCGCGGGGGTTTAAACATTAATTAATTAAACATTAAGTCGTCAGTAGCGCAATGTTGATTTCCTTGACCATCTTGACGCGGTGCAGCATCCACTGGAGTGCATCCTGCTCCAGGGCTTGCGTTGAATACCAAACGGGGGAGTCGGGCACACAGGACCGCTCGGGCTTCAGATAGAATACATCGTTGCGGGTCTTCACGCTCTCAGGGCTGTTGGTTTAGATAAGAAAAACCATTAGCAATCGTTGATTGTTTCATTATCCATAAAATAACTAACCATTTAGAGAGATAAAATTCGTAGAGGCGGACGGGACAGCGCAGCGGATTCTCCTCATTCTCCTGCTGCTCGTAGACCTTCTTCTTGCGTGGACTTGCATCTGTTTGAAAACAAAGATAAGTTTCAGTTTCTGTGTGCTATAAATTAAGTCTTGATCTCACCCAAACCCGCCTGCGGTGGATAGAATCGTAAGAGCACTTTTCGTGAGCCAGGAACTTTGGAATTCTGTGATGAGAAGGATAATTGCATGTGCTCCTCCACGGTCTGAAAAACGAGTAAGGTATTAGCCAAGTCCATAATCGTTGCTTAAATATTTCTCACTGTCAGATTAAAGTGCTTTGTGTTAAAGAACATGAGCGTGCTGAGCAGGACATGCGGTGAATGGGCGCCCAGTTGTTTGCACTCCCACAAATGCTCCTCCTCCACGCGAGTGACAATGTATTCTAGAAAAAGAATAGGAAGTAAAGGAATTAGTGGTAAATTTAGAGTATTTTTAAGCAGGGTTCGGAATTTAACACATGTAAAATTGTATTTTACAGTGTGAGCAAAGTTTTTTGACATATGTGTCAAAAACAAAAGTGTTAAAATGTGAAAAATAATTGTAAGCACTCACAGCTCACTTGTGTTTTTTACACAATTTGTTATTAGCACGACGTGTTTTTTACACACTGTGTTTTAAACAAAAATTAAAATTACATTTTTTGGACATTAACGAATCGAAGGGAAAATGAAGAATCAATGTTGAACCAGGATATCTTAATTGTTATTTTTAACCGTTTTAAAACATTTATGAATTTTTTAACATATATTTCTGACGTTTTAAAGTCAAGAACTCATTGTGTTAAAAACACGTTGTGTAAAAAACACGTCTTGTAAATAACACAAATAACCTGTGTGTGTTGTTTATGTTTCTAACATATGTAAGCTACAATTTTGTACACACATGTCAATAACTTTTTTTGAACTTAACACTTTGTCATTTAACATGTTAACAACACAAGTTTTTTACAGAATGAGTTATTTTCCGAACCCTGTTTTGAAGCCAGTTAACTTACGCGAATCGTTGTAAGGCACGGAAAACTTGCACGCCAACTCGTCCAGGCACTCCGTAAACCGCCCGTAGTAAGGATCATAGAAGATGTTGTCTATGCGTCCATTCACATACAGATATTGCTGAATGCCTGCAGAAATAGAGTTTAATATTAACAAATGTTTCGTGTAAATAAATCAACAAATAATCACTAACCCAGCACAAGATAGTAGATGGTGTCCGGCGCATATTCCGTGCCATTAGGCTTTCGAACCTCCTTCACGAAAAGGCAAAGCCTTTCATTCAGCACGTATGCCGTCATTTGGAGCAGCTCCGTTTCAAAGAGCCGCCGGTATTTTAAAGGGCCGCCACGCCGTTTGTTCGCATTCCTCGTCATCACCCACTGCTTCCAGGCGTTCACACCGAACGTGTACATCTGGGCGTCGGGCTTCTCCTGCGGCTGCTGTGCCTGCTGCGATTGCTGCTGCAGGGCCGAGTGATCCAGTTCGCTGCCACGCTGCCGCTTAACCGGCGAGTGGCTGTTCTCCAGATCCACCGTCGATGTCTGGTGGTGATTGTCATAATCTCCCGTGGCCATCTTAGGGGCAATCTGCAGCATATCATCGCCATACGGATTGTGCCCGGCTCCACTGTCGTCCACCACCTGCTGCTGTTCAACGGTCGGTTCGCGGTACGGCGCAACACTTTTCTCCAATTACCAAACACCTTTTTTCACCTTATTCTCGCCTTTCTGGGGCCACTGTGTGAATTTTTCGGCTTTCTGCGAGTAAACAAACAACGAACCAGTGTACCAAATGCGGCCCTCGCAGTAACGCGTTGGTATATACCGCAAATAAGGTACTGAAAAAGGGCAGCGGTTTGAAGAGAGCTGAGTTGGCAGCTCTGGTCGTTTGATTTTGAAAAATGTGTCTATCATGTTGTCATCTTTACTTTTTCTTATATATGTATCCTTAATGCTTATAAACTTTAAGGAATTCTTTATTTTTAAGCAATGTAGGTTTTTATCTACCAAATTTTCAGCATTTGTGGTCTTATCTTTAGCAAATGTCTTTCAAGTTCCAGATTTGAACTTTATACAAACTATAAAAACAAGAATTTTAAAAATATAAGTTCTGTTATTCTGTTATTAATGGAAAGGTTCCTGGCCAGTGGTATCATTAACCTGTAATATTTCTCCTTTTAATATATCAAAAATCCTTAAACTCTTAAACTACAAGGATTTTTATTAGAGTATTTCTTTCAGAAGTTCAAAGATTACCTAGAAATAAACTCTATTTCCTAATATTGGTTAATATACTCCTCGGCATCCAAAAGGACATTGGGGAAGTACTTGATTATTTTGGTAAAATGTGGGAATTTCTGGGTATTGGCAAAGGTGACCTCGTTGACTTCCTGGTACTGCTTCAAAATGCTGATGAGATCATCCTGGGGCACTAGTTCCGTCACCAGCCAGTGCTGAATCACAAAGTTCAGGGCGTAAATCTGTAACTTCATCAGACTGGGTTCCCGGGACAAAATCATTTTAACAAATAGTACGATTTAAAGCATTTTTTCTACATTTCCATAGGTATAAATAAACGCTTTTATACTTTTCCGAAATCTTTAAAAACGTAAGCGCTAGACACATTTAAAAATCGTTGTGGGCGTTAGAGGGGTCGTGCCGCTCGGCTGAAATAAACTTGCGCTGCGTAGGAAGCCCAAGAATATGTGTGGGAAATCTCAACCTTCTAGCTTTTGTAGTTTCCGAGATCTCAGCGTTTATACGGACGGACAGATAGTGACCCTGATCTAGAATATATATACTTTATAGGGTCGGAAACGCTTCCTTCTCCCTGTTACATACTTTTGCACGAATACAATGTACCCTTTTTCTTCTACGAGTAACGGGTATAAAAATGTCATTGTGCCCGCGGGCGTTATGACACCGGTTCGTATGACATTTACCCTCCAATTTTACCCTTCTTCCCTAGAAAATCCTGCCCATAGCCACCCAAATCACCCAGGACAAGTCCTTCCTCAAGTTGAGCGTCCAAGAGCTCATGGCTCTGATGATAATCCTCAAGAAGGAGGCTGTTCTCCCAGATCATGAACTACTGGAGGCCCTGAAAAACTACCAAGAAATAAACAACCTACGCTATGAGAACATGGAGCAGTTCCAGCTGTTCGTGGAGGTCACCCAACTGTTCGACAACGTTCTCTTCGCAGTGGATGGCTCTATGGTCCTTCCCGAAACAGAGGATGTTATTACCCGGGAGATAGGCTCCGATACATCGGTTTACAATAGGGATAACCCATAGTTTTACATATCTAGAGGGATCATTTATTGAATGATAAACGGGAGGGGGAAAACAAACATAATCGATTTCGGATCGGCTTATAGAATAAATATAGATAGACTATAGCATAATATTAATACCCGGAGGCCGTTGCAACAAAATAATCTTACAAATCAATTAACGGAGGCTGGCTGCCTGTGGAATCTAAAGTCCTAGGAAGCGGTGCTCATGGGCATGCGCACTTCCAGCGGCACCATGACCACATCGGCATCGGTATCGCCATCCTCGGCGTCCTCGTCAATCACCAGGCTGCTCGGCTTGACGCTGAGGAAGTCCTCGCTGTCCAGCTCGTCGGAGGAGGAGGAGATCTCCTTTTCAAGCTCCCTTTTGTAGCCATTGCTAAGGGGCTTCTGCTGCTCCTGTTTCTTGGCAGGAAGAGGTTTTGGAGTAGTCCTGCCATTGATTTCCAAACCCGTGGTGTTTGTTTCAAACTTGCAGACCACCGCAATGCGCAGATTGACTATCAAAGAGTAGAGCTTCACGGCCGGGCCCACTTTGAGTTTCAGGTACTTGTCCAACTCGTGCCTTCCCAGCATTAAGAGGGCTCTTCCGTCTATATCCTGGTCTAAAATGGACCTGGCTATATCCGCCGAGTCCAAAGCGCGTTCTATGAACTCGTATACATCCCATTTTGTCCAGTGCAGCGGATTGGTGCGCACTTGGTCCGCATCAAAGGAGCTATTCTGCTGCCACAGGCGATAGTTTTGCAGGAACTGCGGTCCGTAATCCTTGACAAAGGACTTGGCTATGGAGAGGCCACGTTGATCGGGGAGTTGCTCCGCCTGCTCCTTCTTCTGCTTCTTCACAACCTTTTCCTTAGGCGGCGTCGTCGTTTTTCGCTTGGTTTCCGGCTTAACAACTTCGGGTTTGGGTTGGCTAATCTCTGGCTGGATTTCCTCTTTAATGGCTTGTGGCTTCTGCTTCTTTGTCCCCCATCCCCGGCGTATTTGCTCAGGAGCCACGCGAGGAGGCTTCACTGTTTTAGAGCGCCACTGTCGCCAGTTCTCCGGCGCATAAGGGCAGCAATCCCGCAGAGCATGAACATTCAAGTTAAACCTCTTGGCATTCCCATAACCACGACAGCCATCCACATCGCAGGGCATTAAGGGTTTAGTCTGCAAATAACCAGGTGGAGTTTCCAGCTCATGGGAGGTGGCTTCGCACCAGCCAATGGGATGCAGATCGGGACTATCATCCTCCAGCCAAAAGTAGTACTCCGTGGGCCAGCAATCCAGGTGGAGCTGCACCCGATAGCCCTTCCGAGTGACCACAGTGGCGGGTCTGATCAAGCAGGGATTGCGCTGGTCCACCACCTCCAGCTTCATCCTGGCCTGGTACTCCATCGGCTGCCTCGGCGAGAAGAGCTCCTTGGAGGCGGCCATTCCCCCCACCTCCGATATGTAGTCATCCCAATTGAAGGCAGACTTTTGCCGCTCTGGAGGAACTATCAACTGCTGGCGACCCTCGTGCCAGCCGCATGGATGGATGTACGGCGAGCTGACGTGGACCCACAAATCGTAGCAATCGTCCCAGCCATCGAAATGCACGCGAATGCGCTCGTCCAGAATATCCGTAACGGTGGCCACGCAAATCTTTCCCGTATCATTCAGATCCTCCGCCTCCAGATGCATGCCAACGGCAAAACCATTCCTCACTCCCGTTTGCGATTGGAGATTGAGATGCGCAAAGAGCACGCGAGGCGCCGCCTTTCCTCCCGTCTTCACCAGATAGCGACTCCAACTAAAGCGCTCCGAGTTGTAATCCTTGGGAGCCTGCAGCACGCGGGCCGTTTCATCGCACCAGCCGGGCGGAAAGATGTCCTGCGAGTCGGCATTCACCCAAAAGTCGTACATCGAGGAGTAGCCATCGAAGCTGAGCTTCAGCCGATAGCCGCGCACCTCGACGATGCTGCAGACGCAGAAGAGCGAGCAGTTCTCCGGATCGATGGCCTCCAGCTTCATGCCGCGTTCGAAGCAATTGGGGCTGATGGGAAAGGGATTGAGGAAGAGGTGAATGGGCGCCGCCACATCCTTGCCCTTGGTTTTGAGATACTCGCTCCAGCGGAAGGGCTTACGCGACTTCTCCTTCGAGCGCTGCGCCAGCTGCTCTTGGATGGCAGCCAGGGATTTCGATTGGCTCTTCGCCGGAGGAGGAGCTGCCTGCTCCGTGCGACTCAGCTTGCTGTCCTTCTGATTGCTCGGCGGCAGGCGACGCTTCTGGGCGCGACGCACACAGCCCACGGAGCAGTAATCTGTAATAGAATAGAATATTTAATTAATATGATGATTTAATTTAAGCAGGGTTCGGAAATTGACACACATGTTAAAAACATGAAAAATTGTATTTTACAGTGTGAGCTAAATTTTTGACATGTGTGTCAAATACAAAAGTGTTAAAATGTGAAAAATAATTTTTAACACACACAGCTAACTTGTGTTTTTTACACTATGTGTTTTTAACACGACGTGTTTTTTACTCCCTGTGTTTTTAACACAAATGAAAAATACATTTCACTGACATTACGAGTCAAAGGGAAAATGAAAAACCAATACGGTTGGTTAGTTTTAACCATTTCAAAGCTCATATATGCTTTCTTATACTCTAGAAAAGCATGCATTTTTCAGTTCAACATACAATTCTGACACTTAAATGTCAAAAACTCATTGTGTTTAAAACACGTTGTGTAAAAAACACGTCGTGTTAATAACACATCGCGTAAATAACACAAATGATATGTGTGTGTTATATATGAATTCTTATACTCTAGAAAACCGTGCATTTTTCAGTTCGACATACAATTCTGACACTTTAATGTCAAAAACTCATTGTGTTAAAAATACGTTGCGTAAAAAACACGTCGTGTTAATAACACATCGCGTAAATAACACAAATGACATGTAGGTGTTACTTATGTTTCAAACATATGTAGGATACACTTTTTTACACACAAGTCAATATTATAATAATATATAATAACATGTTGATAACAAAAGTTTTTTATAGTGTGTGCTATTTTCCGAACCCTGGATTTAAGCTACTCTCAACCAATCCCTTCATTACTCACGTGGTGCCAGAAAGTCGGCGGCGGGTCCATGGCAGTTGCAACGCTGGCAAAGGTAGAGCAGCGGATGGATGCTTCCCGATGGCCTTCTACCAGGACGATCATACAGAGCCCTCTCGAAATAGGCAGCAGGTCCCTGGCGCGGCGGACAGCGCTCGTTGATCTGCAGCAGGTTGAACTGATTCAGCTCGAAGCGGATGGTGGAGTTCTGCAGGTTGGCCGGCTGCTGGCCGCGCCACTTCAGCATGCCCAGGTTCTGCACCATGCTCTTCTTGAGGGAACTCGACTTGGCGCCGGGCGGAGGGACCGCATCATGGTCGTAGGATCGCTTGCCGTTCTTTATAGGAGGAGTTTCGACCACTTTAGGCGGCGATGCTGTTTCCGAATTGGAGGACGAAGAGGAGGAGGTTTTAGGTGGCGTATGAGGCACCTGTTCATCGCAGCGCAAAGAGCGTTCAAAGTCCTCTTTGGACTGCTTCAAAGATTCTGCTTTAATGATGCTTATGCCAGGCAGTAAACTTAGCTCCTCCTCGATTCTTTTCCCAGGCGCACAGATCTCCTCCACATCGCTGCTGGAGGAACTCCCTCGCGAGGAGATTGTCGTCACGGAGGAATCTTTTCGCACGGGTTTTGGTTTAACATTAGCCGATCTGCTGGTGGTGGAAATGGTTATCCCAGCGGGCAGAATGGGCATCACAATCTCCTTCTGCTTGGGCTGCTCTTTCTGTGGCTCCTTTTGCTCCTCCTCCTCGCTCTCCTCGTCATCTTCTATGGTGATGGTCTCGATGGGCGCACTGGGCTGCTCAATCACATCGATTTCCTTGGCCATTATGGCCACCGAATGGCGTCGCTCGCTGTTGGCGATTGGACAAGAGGGCTTGATGGCCACAAAGGACTTGGAGCGCTGCAGCTTGGGGGATTCCTTGGGAGATTCCACTGGCAGGAGCTCTGGGGATTCTTTGGGAACTAATGGCTGGAGTTTCACGGCTTCCTGGGGCTTTGATGGCTTCTCTTGAGGAGATTCCTTTGGCTCTGGTTTCTCCAACTGAACAGGTTGCTTGATCTCCTTAGGGGTCTCTCCATTGGGGGTTATCTCCACAGGATTAGGAGAGGGTTTGGGCTCAAGTGTGGGCTCCTCCCTAACTGGAGGAGGTGTTGGAATCTTGGGCACCTCCTTCATCACCACCGGTTTGGCCTTAATCAAGCTCATGTGGTTATTGGTGGGCAGTTCCTCCGCCACCACAGGCATGGCTTTAACCGGAACCACAGTCTTTAGCTGGCCAGGATTGCTGCTGTTGCTCTGGGTGATCCTATCGCCACTGCTATTCGGCAGCGTCACCAGTTTCTTCACATGATTAGCCGCCGCCGCCGCTGTCGCCGCCGCCTTGTGGAGCACCAAAGAATTGGGATTGTTCTTCGCCTGGTTGAACTTTAGACGCAGCTTGTCCACCGCCACCTTGCTGAGTATCAATGGAGCACGTGGCTTGAGGGGATTGGCCAGCAAGGAGATTTGCGGCGGAGCCGTCGTACTGGAAATGGGCACAGGTGCTGTAAGATGAGAAATTGAAAGATGAGAGAGAAAAAAGATACAAATTAGCAAGTGACTTTTCTTTAATTAGTCATTCAAAGACGATTCGATCTGAACCCCCTGAATTCCCCCTGGGATCCCAAAATCTTCTCCTCTTATTGCAGCTGCAAAAACCTGATCGTCATCATCGTTTTGTTGTTGTTTTTTTATTTTTGCTACCCCGCCTTTTGCATATTGCTAGTGATAAAACCCCAGCATATAATACAAATTATTTTTAATTATAATTAAAGAACCCTATTTAATTGACTAAAACAACCCAAAATGGCACACGCACACAAACCCTATTAATTTCGGTGTTATGAAATGTGCAGCAGTCGAACAACAACTAAAAACTAAACCCGCAGAGCAATGTGAACAACGAAAGTAAACTATAAAGATTGCCCCGCAAACACACAAATACATGCAAGCACACACATCTATAGAGAATAGCATTCCCCATTTTCCATTTTCCGGATTGTAATGGAACTCGGGTTCCCGAGATCTCTGGGTTTTTGGGGAAAACCCACTTAAAATTCGACTTATGTAACTTGGAAGGGGGAAACCCTACTCACCCGCTTGCAATTTCTGTGGAAGCTCTGTTTTTCCCAGGAGCGTTCCTGATGCTCCTCCAGTTGGTGGTGGAGCCACCAGAGGCGTCATGGTGGCCATGCCATTGCTATGGATTGTCAGGCTGTTTTTGTTCAAAGGAGTTCCGGATCTAATGACCACCGGTTGGGGATTGGATGTATTCCCTCCAAGCAGCGTGGTCTTGCGATTGGGTGCCAGGATGGCCACCAAAGGCTGGCTGGGATTGGGCACTAGTTGGAACATGGGAGCAGCTGCTCCTCCTCCTCCTGCGACAATCGAAGTTCCCCCTGCTCCTGCAGAGCTCTTCAAATTCACAGCCGTCAGTTTGGATTTCATGGGCTGGACGACATTGCTGATGGTGATGTTGCAGGTCTTATTCGATCCCATGGATGCGAGGGGCAGGAAGCGCAGCTCCTCCTTGCGAGGTGGGGCCAGTGTGAGCAGGCTATTAGTGTTTCCACCGACGACGGACGAGGTGGAGACGCCTCCATTGTGGTGACTACCAGTTGCAGTTGCTCCTCCTCCGGCGGACGCAACCGAAATGGACAACTCGCGCTGCAGCTGCTTGGCCTCCGCGGTGGCCATCGAAAGGGGCAGCATTTTCCCGCTTTTCACTCCCCGTCTATCTCTTTATTATTTATTTTCGAAACGGTTAAAGAAGAAACTGAATTTTCTTCCCCTGTTTTCGCGTCTTTACAATTTTTGTACGTTGAGGCGCACAAAAGTTTTTGGCATTTTACACTCTGCACCGGGGTTTAGTATTTTTTTTTTGTGTTCTGTAATCTTGACTTGGGTGTTTTTTGGTTTGTAGGTTTATTTCTAGACCAATTTGTGATTTATATTTTGTTTTTAGCTTATCACCTTTTTAGTTTTTCGAAAGCCCTTTGTTTTTAAAGTTTTCCGTTTAAAGTTATTGTTTTCGCGCGTTTATTGGCACTCATCGTGTGTATTTCCCGTTTTAAATTTATATACCAAGTGTTGGTATTTTTTAATGCGTAATTTGGCGAATTTGTTTTAAATATTTACGGTTATTCTGGGTGGGTTATTTACCTGAAAAGTGTTTTAAAGAGGTTTAATTTAGGTGTTTAAAGGGGATTTGCAAAATGGGCTTCAAACTGTAGTATTCAAGGGTTCCTAACAGGTAGCAGTTACTTTATATACTTTTACTTATATGTTTATAAAAATAACAGATGGTTTTGTTAACCAAAGTCCGAAATATTTTACCTATTTGTATTTATTGACAGATCTGTTTTATTACGTTTCGCTCCCCCCGTTTGAGTTACCCCGCGGCGATTCAGGAATAATCCCGTTACCCGCCTGCGGTCACACTGGATACATATTGAAATTTTGATACCATTTTTAGTTATGCTGCCCCAAGATTTATGTTATCTCAAAAATGACCCGACCCTATTAATAGACCCCATGGGATTTGTGAACCTGCTAATGACATTATAGCTGACCCACGATGAGGAACCACAATCCCATATGACCCTCCAATGTTACGTAGTGACCGAAACCAATGTCACAAGAACATTGTAAAACCTCTTATCTTGGTTCGGTTGAACACGGGCTGGGATTTACGAAGACCTGGAAGCTACAGCTCTAGTTTTTTGATTTTCCAAAAGCCTGCAACTTCTATTCCCAGAATCCAACTGTTGACTTACCCTCACGGTTTTCCGTTTTGCCCGCGGAGCCAAAAAATGTACAGCCGCGGAGGAGGTGGAAACCAGGATAATGGAGGCTACTGAGATGCTGTCCGCTCGCAGGACTCGGCTAGAATGACAGAGCCACGGGTTGTCAGGTCGCGAAAGTCAAATGGTGGGACAGGATATTAACGCTTACCTGAACCGAATGTCGGATTGTTGTTGCGAGGGTGTTAAAACGAGCGACCTCGTAAATTGGTGGGCCAAAACGAATAACCACTGAAGCAGGCGGAAAAACTAAACACAATTTCCACCAAGTTCGGGGACTAAACTCCTTAAATCGGCGCCCGGGGATTTCCACACTCCTTCCAAAACGGAAGCGTTCTGTCCAGCAATATTAGAAACACCAAAAGCATGTGTGTATTTTAATTTCTATGATCGAACGGCTCAGGTGGCAACTCTGCTCCGATTTGCGCCTGGTGTCGGTTATTTTAAAAAGGCGGAAATAAAAGGGCAATAAATGGTTTGCTTTTGGCGTGACTAAAGTCTCTTATGAGAAAGTATTACAGAAGAGCTTAAAATGCTTAAACTATAACCATTACCACTTTTCCTAACCGCTTAAAGTGTCAAACTAAGTTAACAGCAAAAATAGCTGTAAACCTTGGAAAGGCGGTAACCTTTCTCCAACACTTTCAAAGCGAAATGTTTATTTTTAAAACACCTACTCAGATGCTTAGTAATTCCCCTTCTAGTCGAGTTTCTTTTAAATGTTAATTTTTAGATTACAAAATGCAGCTGCTTCTTCTTCTTTTAAACTTCTAATAGATTTGAGCCGCCCTGGTAACGACTGCGCCGCCCTGGTTTCCAGCCAGTGTTGCCTAACTTCGCAGTGGTGGTTTCTTTTTTCGTGTCAATTTGTTTAGAGAAATTTGGCAAAAGTTAATTGAACTCAAGTTTTAAGCTATATCAACGAACTCTAAACACTGCCAGCCATGTCCCTGTTAAACAATGACGACAGCATTCCCAACATGGACGAGGATCCGCAGGGTGAGTGAGATTCAGTGGGTGTGGGTGGAGTCAAAAATGATGATGTTATCAATTGTTATTCCACCAAACATAAAAAACAGTCATGATTCCGGATGACGAACCCCCGACGGCGGGTCGAATGCCCAGTGGCAGGTCCATGGACTCGCTGCGCTCCTCCTTCACCAACCGGAGTTCCACCCCAGATTCCTCGCACAATTCGCTGGAGGCCATGGAAATGGCCCAGGACGACCGGGAGGAGAAGGCCCGCCTCATCACACAGGTCCTGGAGCTGCAGAACACCCTCGATGACCTGTCGCAGCGCGTCGATTCCGTCAAGGAGGAGAATCTCAAGCTGCGCTCCGAGAACCAAGTACTTGGTCAGTACATCGAGAACCTGATGTCCGCCTCCTCGGTGTTCCAGTCCACCAGTCCCAGTGCGGCCAAGAAGAAGTAATCAACCCACTGGAAACTGAAAACCAAAAACCATCTCAAATATGCCTTCTCGTTCACGCTAGAGCTATATATTTTAATCTATAACACTCGAAATTAAGCTATTGCAATGTTGTTTCAGTTGTCCAATCGTCGAATTTGTCTTTGTTTAGGCTTAAGCTTATGGCGCGCTATGTATTTTATACATAAAAGTAATTTATTTATATAGATAATTAATAAATCAATAATACCCCATCGCAATTGAGGGATTTGAAAACGGGGAAAAGGCTGGCAACCCTGGTCGGCCAGCTGTTTGAAGAAGTTCTTAAATAATAAATGCTGCAAACTAAATGGATAGTTTAAGTTAAAGTACTCCATATTTTTTGAACCAAATAAATGTTTATAAATAAATAAGAATACCTTTTATTAATATATGATTTAAAAAATAGGGCTGCCACCTGCCCGCCAGTCTGGCAACCCTTGTCGGCCAGCTGTTCGTCGTGGTCGTGCAACAACAAATTCAGCAGCGAATTTACGTGCTCGGAAAACGTAGAAAGCGTTCAAAAGTCGTAGGCTCCGCTCGGAATTACTAGAAAACTCTCGGAAAACACGGAAAAACTAAGGAAACCCCGCGGGCCAGCACAAAAACCACTTAACCTGAAAGAAAAGTGATTGCGAAATACGCTGCAAGAGGTGCGTGTGTGTGTTATGGTGTCTTAAGTGTGTGTGTGGGGAAAAACAAAACATTTGCGCTGTAGTTGTTGCCCAAGTTGTTTATTTAAGTGGGAAATTCCAGTTTTAGTGGTTAATGGCCACTAAAGAAAAGCAAACACTTCTTTGTATTTGCGGTGGGGTCTTGCAAAGCAACAACAAAAACAGACAGCGGCCAGTGTTGTAAAGCGCCGCCCCCCCGCACACACACAAACAAACGCTGCATTTATTACTTTTTAATATGCACTTTATTTTGAATGCCACCCATCGCCACCCCCCGCCAACCTCCCACCCACGCATTTGCGTCAACAGAGGAAACCAGACGTCATAATCGCCTCTCCGGAGACGTCGAGCATTTTATGGCGGAAGCAGCAGCAGCCGCGTCAATCTGTTAACTGAAAGACAGCAGTTGCAGCTTGAAACGATCATCGAATCCCCAAAAAGCAACATGTTTTGACCTCTCACACACGAAGACGGCGCAGCTGGAGCGCCCTGTTCCCCTTGGTCACCTCGTCATCCGTTCTTAAAGCCCCTCGAATCACACGCACAAAAACACAACAAACCATGTCCTTCTCCGACTTCGACGCCATCTACGAGGATGAGCAGCTGGACGAACTGGAGCACTTCCAGGACCAGACGGTGGCCCCCGTCCAGGAGCCCATCATCATCCGGGGCGCGGGCAACATGACGGTGTAAGTGGTTGGGGGGCCTCCTCCGGATTATTGGGCACAGTAAACAAGCGATAAGACCTATAGATAGGGTAGTTGGAAATGTAACCGCATTCCGAAAGACAGCAGCTTTATCTGCACTCTACACGAGTCAATGGTGAATCATACAACGTGGGGTAAAATAATAGATTTTAAAGTTCTTGGAAAACAAAGATCGTCAAATCTTAATAGTATTCAAAGAATTTTTCCATATAACAAGATATTAAAAAGTTATATATCCAAATGATTATCATAATACTAATATGGGCAATAGATTTATAGAGATATTATTATATTAGAAAACAAAGATTTTGAGAAACAAACATTTTGGAAGACAAAGGTCTTAGAAAACAAAGATCATCATGTTATAATAGTATTGGGAAAAACTTTATATTTCCAAATGATGATAATAATAAAATATTTAATGGTTCCATTTCCATTATATCAAATTTAATTCAATATAATACTTCAATTTTCAAAAGTTTATTATTGTCTTTATAATATTCAAAGATTGTAGACTCCAAGACATTACCAATTAACCTAAACTGATCGAAAAACTAGCATTACCAAATTATATATCCGTTAAAATACTTTAGAAACATAATTGAAAATGGGTTTAAATAAGTTCTCTAAAGAAAATTCAAATATTAAGCTCACCATAATATTAAAATTGATTTATTATAAATGCAATAGTAGCTGTGTGTGTAACAAGTGCTGTTTGTACCTCCATAGCTAAAATGTAGTTCAAGGTTGTAGTCACCTAATTTCCTCATATGTAGGCCCTACTTTGCTATTGATACCACCGCTTGACCCCATTTTTCGGGAAGGTGGCGTTTACACCCAGCTGTCAATTACACCCCGGGTTGCATAAGAGAGATATGTATGAGTCAGGGCAGAATAATTGCACTGCACGCCAATTGCACATACTAATTCCTCTCTTTTTTCCCATGCACATTTACAGATTTGGCCTGAGCAACCGCTTCAATGCGGAGTTCCCCTGCGGTCTGCTGTCCCGCGTGGCTCCCGAGGAGTTCAAGGCGACGGTGGGCAGGATCAATGGAGTGCTGAAGAAATCCCTGCCCGTCAACGTCAAGTGGCTCTTTTGCGGCTGCGTCTGCTGTTGCTGCACCCTCGGCTGTTCCCTCTGGCCCGTCATCTGTCTAAGCAAACGCGTAAGATTAATCTGTCTAGATACAATGTAATCTCAAAGTAATCCCATCTAAATACCTTGCAGACACAACTCACACTGGACAAGCTGTTCGAATGGGAGAACAATCATCTATATCATAAGCTGGGCCTGCACTGGCGACTGCATAAGCAACAATGTGATTCCAATTCCATGATGGAGTATGTTATTTTAATTGAATTTATACCCAAAACGCCCATCTATCGGCCCGACTAAATGGCAGTCAGATGGGCGGTGGTATCGCGGGGTCGTAATGGTAATTGTAAAATAAACACTAGCTGCTAACACTTTGCTTTAGGCGTTTACGGATCGTGCTAATCGGGAGATTAGGACAGGCAGTCGCACAGCATTACCTAGTTTAGTGCACTCGCAGATTGTCATTCTAAGCTAGTACTATTTAATGTTTCGGTTTAAAACTAATTTTTGCAACAAACCCTAGTTAGTAAGTTTGATTTCTCTCGTAACTTTAGGGCGCTCTACTTTTCCTAATTTGTGTTTTTCAAACTAATGCAATATTATTAAATACATTTCTTGATAGGAAATTAAAATTGATTTATAAACGAAGAGTGTTTTTAATACCACACCCAAAAATTGACAAATTTCTTTTGTTTTCGTACAAGGTACTTTATATATTTTGATATATATCATATGGTTACCTAAGTATTTTTGTGGTTTCAATAACTTTACAGCACTTTGGGGCATATAGACGGTCGATGAACAATAAATACATTTTAATTTACTTTAGGCTTCATTTATGTATTAATGCTTAAATATAATCAAGTCTTTTAACAATGCGCGGGTCTGGCTCTAGGAATATAGATATATATATATAGTATATATAGCTTAAGGAATGCGATTGGAATGAATCGGTATTAACAATGGTGTGTTGTCTTTTTGGGGTAATACTTGGAGATGTGTGGTAGGAGGGATTAAGAGGGATTACTCTATAACTTCAACGTTGTTGGAGCCCTCGGACATGGCGAGCGTGGACATTTCCAGGTCGCTCTCATGGCCCATATTCTCTTCATCATCCTCCTCGTCGTCGTCGTCGTCCTCCTCATCATTTTCATCATCATCTTCATCTTCTGGATCTCCCATAGTCTCCTCCACATCATCATCTTCAGCTTCCCCAGCTTCCTCTTCGCTTTCTGGAGTTTTCAACTCCGTTTCCGGCTCGAATGGCATTTGAGTTTCGGGTATAATGGGTTCGGGTTCCATTTTAGCTGCCTCTGAAGCTCCTCCATTGACCAGTTCGTTGGCCGTTTTAAGCAGCGCATCGGTTTGCCTGCGCAGTGCCCGCATAACCATAGAATCCTGCTTCATCTGGAACTCGTGCTCCCGCCGAGCGATCTCCTTTTGCTGCGCGAAGAAGTCCTGCAGCATCTCCTTTTGAACCGAGCGCATGGCGCTGGCCAGTTGGCTGAGCTCCTGGGCGAACAGCTCCTCCTGCCGCTTCTTGCGCTGCTTCGTCTCCTCCTCCCCGCTGCTTGTCTTCTTCTTGGAACTATCCTCACTCTGCTGCTGATTTCCTGGCTGAGATCGGATCATATTGGTGCTGCTGCGCTGCAGCTTCACCGGCACAGGCATGCCCATGATGGGACTCTGGCCCAGGCGACGCTTCCGCGGCTGCTGGAGCTGCTGGTGCTGCAGTGGGGTCAACTGATGGCTGGACATTAAATGGGCCTGCCTGCTGGTGGAGGCTCCCGCCGGTTGTCCAACCAACGGATACTTGGGCGGCGGTCCGCGACTCAGAAGAGCGGCCATCGTGGACGGCGATTGCGGTGGACTGGCCACAGATTGATCAATATCTGGGATCATTCGATCCGGACGCAGGGAATAGCCCGTTTCCCTCATCGGCACCGTCTTCATCCTCATCCCCGTCGACTGGACACTGATGTCCCTGGGCAGACGAAGCCCGCCATTGGGATTCTGCTTGCGCGGCAGCATCAGCTTGCTGTGCGGATGCACAAAGTTAATGCTGCTGGTGCTCTGGAGCGGCAGGGATCGACTCAGCGATTGACTGCCCGGACTGCCCATCTTGGTGAGCGTCGGCGGCGGGCGATCGATCTGCAGGATGCCGTGCGTGGGCCGCCGCAGCTCGTCCTTGGAGGAGGCAAAGGAGGCAACGCGCAGCGGCGGAGGATTAGCAACCGGTGTGGATGAGTAGACACTGCACTCGTCGTCGTCGGTCTCCTCCAGCGCCACTGGCGGCGGCGGCGACGGAGAGGCTGGCGCCGTGGGCGGCGGTGTGTTGGTGGTGTCCATGCCCAGGTCCATGTCGGGTTCGTGCTTCACGGAGACGATGAACGGCAAGTGGGGCACCTCCTCCTGCTCGCCCAGGTCGGCCTGGGAGCTCCCGGCCTCGTAGTCGAAGGCCTCCAGATCGGGTTCCGATACCATATCCGGCTTCTGGGGATTTTCATAGCCTAAAAAGCAGAAGAAACATTTTTATTGGGTTTTTATTATTTTATCAGTTCTGGGAAATTTCGATGAGGAATTCAATAAACCATTAGAACATTTATTCTTCATGATGTCATAACAAATTCTTTGGAAATCTATGAATATCACTTTGTTTTATCGGAGGTAAAAATTGAATATTTAAAATTAAAATTGTATATATTTATTCAAATTATTTAAAAAATTTTAAATGTTGTTTATCTGAGATAAAAATTTTATATTTATAAATTAAAATTGTATATATTTATTTATATATTTAGAAAATTTTAAATGTTGTTTATCGGAGGTGAAAATTTTATACTTACTTATAAATTAAATATTATATTTTTATTCATATTTAGAAAATTTAAACGATTAAGCTTCTGTAGAATTATACGATTAGGTATATATTTTTTTATGACCATTTTTAGGGTCGGTTAAAAGGTTGTTTATATTTTGAAAATTAAAATTGTATATTCCTTTATATTTTTCAAATTTTAAATAACTTGAGTAATCAGTTTATGTCTTTTCCTAGCGATTAAATTAGCCAATTAAATACGAAAAATAAAAAATTTCATTAGGTCAGTTTTAAGAGTTCTTTTAACTTTCTGATATAAATCTTTCAAAAATGTTTATTATTATTACGTATTTTAATCTTATCTTTCTTTCTTATCTTATCTTTTCTACAGCTAATATATCATACTAATTCATAAATAATATGTACATATATTGACTTTTTATGGCCTCAATAATTATAATTAATTACAAATATATTTAAGATGCTACAATATTATTGAATTCCACACGAAATAGTAAGAGACTTTAAACTGACATTACTAACCTGTATCGATTGGCTCCGGTTTGATGGGTCCCAGTCGAAAGCCGAATATGGGATGCTCCACACCCAGGATATCCTCCTTGTTGTCCTCTCCCGCCGTCTTGGAGCTGTCCATGGAGTTGCCGCATTCGCTGAGGCTGCCGTTGATATTTCCGCTACTCCCGCCGTGACTCGAGTCGCTGAGCATTCGGCAGAGGACGCGGTAGACCTCCTCGGGCACCACTTTGGGCACCCCGGTGCCATGTCGCGTCGTGGTGTTGTAGGTGGACTTGAGGAACTTCCATTTGGTCCAGATCTGAATGCTGGACTTCTTGACATAACCCTTGCTGCGCATCACCTCCTCGATCTGCCGGAAGACATGCTCGCTCTTCATATTCCGGTCGTTTAGCTGCTCCAGGGCATTCAGATTCTGCATGATGCTCAGCATCTCCAGCATCTCGGCCCGGCTCCACAGGTTGCGTTCCGGCCGAGAGCTCGAGCTGAGGGACTCGCTCTTCACGGAACTTCCGGCGGAGTAGGGTGGCGACAGATGGGCCTTAATGCGCATGGGCGTCAGCAGTCCGTCCACGTCGCCCACCACCCCGTTGCCCGTTGAGGCTGTGTGCAGTAGGTGGTTGATGTCCTGCCCGCCGCTCGGATGACTCTGGATGCTGTGACCTTGGCTCTGACGCATGTTGTGCTCCACTTTGCTCAGCAGCCGCATCTTCGTGTGGGCGGCCACCGTCGTCGGCGGGGAGGAGGAGGAGGAGGAGCTGCCTCCCGGTGCTCCTGCAGGTCCGTGGCTGCCAGACGACGAGGAGCTATCGTTCAGGCCCAGATAACGTGGCATTAACATGGATGTGGCGTTGGTGGTTCAGCAACTGTTGGGGGAAAAAGCGGGGAGATATTCTAAAATTAGTTTTCAAAATCAATCGTTAAAAACTTTACAAAATATTGAGAAATTATTGACATCCAAAGTCAAAAACAGTTTTGGAAAACTTCAAAATAACTTGAGCTATAGACATTGTCAATCGATTTCAATGGTAATGAACATTATTTAAGATCAATTTTATTTTGATATGCGGCCAGGTAAATTCGACCTGGTCGAAGAGAGTTTTCCATGTAAAAACGATATGGGTTTAACATGCTTTGAAACTTACATGGCCATATCGATTTTACGGAAACATGCTTTTTATACCCTTGCAGAGGGTATTATGATTTCAGTCAGAAGTTTGCAACGCAGTGAAGGAGACGTTTCCGACCCCATAAAGTATATATATTCTTGATCAGCATCACAAGACGAGTCGATCTAGCCATGTCCGTCTGTCCGTCTGTCCGTCCGTCTGTCCATCTGTCCGTCTGTCCGTCTGTCCGTCTGTCTGTTTCTACGCAAACTAGTCTCTCAGTTTTTGAGCTATCGGGACAAAACTTTCGCAAAAGTCTTCTTTCTATTGCAGGTAGTATATATGTCGGAGCCGACCGGATCGGACAACTATATCTTATAGCTCCCATAGGAACAATCGGAAAAAAAAAACTTTAAAAAATTCTAGCTTCCTTGTTTTTTGAAATATTACCTTCTACTTTTGGGGATGTTATTTTTTAAATATTTCTGAATTTCGAATAAATTTTTTAAAAAATCGGACTACTATATCATATAGCTGCCATAGGAACGATCGGAAAATTAATGAGAAATATTAGAAAATTGAACATTTTTGCGATTTGTTAATTAATAGGAATGATCTGCAAGGGTATATAAGCTTCGGCTGGCCGAAGCTAGCTTCCTTTCTTGTTTTTGTGTGTAATTATTTTCAATTTTTTACTTAGTAGAATAATTCAAAAATATATATTCTTCCACTAAGCTTATAGATTAGAACGGAAACTTTCTATCTGCAACTTTGCTGTATGCAAGTATCGGTCTTTATTTTTTTAAATGGAAATTTTTAGAGATAAATACGCAGTCAAAGTTCGACAGCTTGAACTTTTTAAAAGATAGTGGTTCCAGAAATGGAATTTGAACTGTATATTAATCTCTGATCCAAAAGTATGCTAAGATTTTCTTTCAAAACTGGCTGTTATATAAGTATTTTAGATGTTCTACTGTAGGCACAAGAATAACAGGTGTTTCACCATAGGAAATCTTCACTGTTTATGACACTAGATAACTTAATGTCACTCTCTTGATTGTTTTAAATACGAATTTAAATTTTTCATTCAGAAAATTAGCTTCCGCTCGCCTTGGATACTCAACCCACCCGATGATATTCACTTGGCAGATTGTGAAAAAATGATGGGCTGTGTGCCAGCAAGAGAAAAAAATCCAGTTTTGGACTTTTTGTGTCAAAAGTGGCAATCGTGGATTCGGTTATCTTTCGGTTTTCGGGTCTCGTCTTCAGAATCCACCACCAACTCGATATCGACTGGCATATACACATTTGCTTGTGTGAAGTTGACGTGTTTCCAACTGTTTAACACATTCCAATTCCAAAACCGAAACCGAAACCCATCACATCACGCTCACCGTCGTCGTTCGAGCAAATGTACACGAAAAGAGCTTACAAATCTAAACCGAAACCGAGGAAATATATATATTTTTATCGATTTTGATTATTTCAAAACGAATAATGGTCGCCAACACTCTCCCGCACACACAGACACACTCGCAAAGTGAAGCGAGGCAAGTGGAACACACTCAATAACAGAACATTTTCGAGATAGTGATTTCCAAATGCAAGTAAACAAGATAGCGTAGGAATACGAATTTTAAGAAGCGTTGATTACGCATCGTACAATTTTTTTGGGAGTTACGCATGGAGAACAAGTAATGAATGAAATGGGGGAAATTCGGGTTGAAACTAGAATTGAATCTCGAAATTTGAGTAATTTTCCAGCGACGTCTCAAGATTTGCACAGTGGGTCGGGGGTTGTTTGAACATGGAATTTCGGAATATTATATCACATATGATATAGATATACAGAACACCTAATTAACCACTAAATTCCGGACTTGCACTCTAACCACGATATTCCCAGGCGGAAATGTAATTGCCAACTTAATTTAAATCGTTTGTGGGCACTGTAATGCAAAAGATACGATAATAAGCTGATAGCGGTGGGGGGAGGGGTGGGGATGGGTTGGCAGGGGGGTTTTTGGAGAGCGAGAGCGTAAACCAATTCTGTTTTGCGCGCTCAGAGAGCTCGGCTCACCCACACACACACTGGCACACAGAGACACTCACGAATTTACGCTTATTATGTGCAGTTGAGAATTTTTCAAGAAAAAGAACGTAACTTTCGACTTTTCCTGAAAAACCGAATAACAACCATTGACAAGTGGCCCGCGGCATTTTTCGCTAATCAGTAATGGCAACTGCCGATATTTTAATGCACATGCCAGTTAGACCAATAAGTTTTAATAATTCGACTTGAACTATTCCATTTCCAAAGCAACACCTTGCACACAGACACACACACACTTACCAGAGAGACAGAGACAGAGAGCGGCGAGAGACCGAAGTGAAATGGGAGAGTTTTCAATTTTTCAACCGCTGAAACTGAGGAACTGAGCCAAACCGTCGCCGTTAACGACGATTTCAATACTAATTTCAAAACTCGAAAAAGCGACGAACGGGCCTACAAAAACCCAACTATATTCGGTTCACCTGGCTGTGTGCGTGTGCGCTTCGGCGTTATGTACATATATTCGTATTCGGAAGGTACAAATAATGGTTAGTTGTTTTTGAGATTGCGAGAGATTGCCGGAGAGACGAGACATTTATTTTTTCGCCTATTATTTTTTTATTTTGCCTTTTCTTCTTTCGCTGCCATTTACGTTTTTATTCCGCTCTTTTTTTAAGAACGGGGTTATTTCGGGGGAATATATAAATTTATGGGTTCGCGCACACACACAAAACCAAATAAAAAAAGCTACAGTTTTAATGTAGTATACACATGTTGAAATCATCGAGTATAATGATTTTTCAAGTTCTGTGAGTGGGGAAGAGCAAATGGAAAGTTTCAGATTATCTTTAATTTGTATGATAAAGATTATCTTTAGTTCATAGGAGATATAATCCGATTCGGAAGCTCGAAACTTTGGACTCTGATGGTTGGGAAAATGTCAATATAAGTTAAATTGACAAACTAACTTTATCTAAATAAAAATCATTAATTCTAGAATTATAGTAATAATGGCATATTTTTTTATTTTCTATAATGAGAAGAAATATCAAATTCCTTCGGTCATAAAGAGATTAAATTTCTGGGCTCACCTTATCGAGGGCTCACTGTAAAACCGATACGCAGTGGTAAACAAGATATTCGTGTGGGTAAATAATGTTTTCGGGAATCCTTGTTACAGGTGAGAAACTACCCCTTTTCGGAACACAATACCCATGTACATCTGTGTATATGGTTGACCTGCTGAATACTTGTTAAATATAAAAGAAGATTCCCATTCAGCCGAGCTTCCTTGAAGTTTTCGGGGTGGCAGATGCTGAGAATGAGTATCTCGTATCGTATCTCAAAAGCCATGTGCTGAAGTCGAAACTAGATTTACAAGTATTGAGCGGGCCGAAAAGAGTAAGCGAGCTGCGGGGAACTTGGAGTTTTTCGAACTCGAAGCCAGAACAGGAAACTTGAACTCCACTTTTATACTCCATGGATAAGCGGCAGAGGCGCTGGGAAAATGCGGTGCGGAAAACCTTCTTTTTTAGCATCTGCATTTATTACGCATTGGAGTTCCCATGGAAAATTCACGATTTATGCGCATTATAAAGTAAATACATAAATAAATCAAGTGCCAGGCAAACACTCGCAATCAATGAAATGTGGATCACAAACACAAGCATTATGTCTTTATCATATCGAACTTTGAATAAATAGTTATAAAGTCTTAAAACACTTATTGCAAAAAGCTGATTTAAAGTTTTCTCTTCACATGTGGAGTCACTATTTCTATTTTGCAGTTTATTGGGTTTTCACTTACTGCGATTTTATTTATAAGAAACCAAACAGAGACAGCTGTTCGTTTTATTTTGTGTTAGTTCAAGCTGTTGTTCTTGAGATTACATAATATTATTGTTTACAAATAAACAAATCCGAAACCGCTTTTAGGACCATTCTTGACAGCGTTTCGAAAACAACACACTTTAAGGCATTTTTCCACTATGCGGTTTTTTCGGTATTTTTGTGTATTTTCGATTGGCAACGCGATAGGCGGACGTGAGGTGTTTCCATTGGCAAACGCGTCTAAAAACAGCTGTTGTGCTATTGTGAAGTAAACAATGGATTTAAATAATTTGTTATTGATAATTGTAATCGCAGAACAGCATTTGAACAGCGTGGAAACATTGCTGCAATGATGAAAGCAACAACATCCCACGTTACGCTGCTTGAGCATTTATTACGGCAGAAAGCAAAAGGATCTGCTGCAGAAGGCGTTGTGGGCCCTTTTCCAGCAGTCGCCTGTCAACGTGTGTCATTTGAATATGGAATGGCCATCTACGGTCTAACCAGGAGGTCGCCTTAATGGACGAATGGCGCACGCGAAGCAAACGTCAAGATCATGGAGACGGGAAAGCCCATGTGGCTGCGCTGCAACGACCAATATTTCGCTTCCGATCTTTTCTAGCCGAGTCATTCCATTGGATAAACGAACTGCTACTGCTCTTTATGCGCTTGGATCATCCTCGGAATTCTGAACTATTGCCAGATCATTTGGCATATGTCATATATCAAATACCAATCTATACGAAATAAAGTTCATGTAAATATCAACAATAAATGGTTTTAATATTTCCCGCTTCTTATCAGCCTCTTATCAGTTTCGGGTCCAGAAAAATGTTCATGCCTGGTTAATACTGCTTAAATATACCACAAATTTCACTTTCCAGCCCTGTAACGCGACAAATTTCCACCCTCCCCTCCTCACCCCTCGCCTACAAGTTTTGTATGGGATTTGGGCGCGTTAAACGGTAAATGGATGCAAACGCGACGCGTCCATAATGAGCAGAGGGCATAACAAATCATATTTTTATCAGGGGGATTCCCTAAACTGTTGAATTGCTGAATTGTTGAATTTTGGTCAGCTGTTAATCAGCTGTTCCATACAAAGTCAACTTTCAGAAATTTCAGCAATTCATCAGCCTCGGGGCTGCTGAAAATTTTGTTGAATTGCTGAAAAGCCAGAGTTGTCACCTTTTTTTAAAAGTCGTGGCAACTCTGTAACATTTTAGTATCACCAGTACGCATTATTTATTTTAAAAGCAACTTAGAAAGCATATTTGTGGTTCTTTTTACCTTGCTAACACTTTTAGACAGTAACTAGCAATAATAAATCATGCTTACATGCTTTAAGTTCCGTGAAACTTTTCAACAAATAACAGCTGTTTGAAAATTCAACAGGAACCATTTTGGGTCGTTCCCTTAATTGCTGAAATTTTTTGTTGAATTTTCAACAATTCAGCAATTCAACAGTTTAGGGAATCCCCCTATCAAAATCCCGTATCCCGATTTTCGAATAAAAAAATTAGTATTTTTGCCAAAAAAAAAAGGATTTAATTATGACATGGTGGAATGAATCTCGTTGAGCTCGTAAAATTCCCAAGAAAATCAAAAAATCTAAAACTTATAAGAATAACTTTAATTTTTGTCCTTTTTTCACCATTAATAAATAATAAACAAATTGGAAATTTGTATTTTTTTAAATCAGCCGGAATGTGATGGTGATTCATTTATTAGTTTGTTCAGACGTATTTTTGAATTGCTTTGCTTTGACCAAGTTACAGCAAAAAAAACACTCACAAAAGTTACCTGGCATTCCAAAAGCATACATATCATTACGTTTGTATATTTTTTGTTCGAAATAAAGGATATAATGGTCCAATGATAATTTTATACTCCGTTGAGGTCGTATTACAATTCCAAATTGATGGGACCTTAAACCTTAGAATATTGATTAGTAAAAAGTAAAATTTTGTTTACTATTTTATCCAAATACGGAAAATATAAAAATATCTTCAAATGGACTGAAACAGCATTTTCTAAATGTATAAGTTTTAAGTGAGGGAATCCAAATATTTGAAAATGTATACCAAATAACGGTAAATCTTTTCAAGTATTCGATAACATGGACCTATCGATTTTTGCCGGCTGCGGGTTGTTATCTCTACCGGTCTAAAAAAAAAGAGTTGGCATTCCCTTTTATACACTTTACACTCGAAAAAACCGGGTACCAGTCGCGAGAAGTGTGGGGCATGTCGGAGTCTCCGAAGAAACGACCGAAAATCGGAACCAGCGAGTGTCTGTCTTACTTGCAGGTGGGTTTGTTTCCTTCTAATACCTTTAATCTAACAGAATCCTTGCCTTTTAGAGCCTGGGAGATGTCCTTCCCGAGGACGCCGCCCTTCAGTTGGCCCAAAAAATCCGGGCGGAGGAGGAGGAGGCGGCGCATTTGGACACGTGCAACCAAGCCGCTTTGAACATTAGTTTTCGGGTTTACTACCATATAGTGCACAAGTATGAGCTCCCGGACACCCACTTTGCTGATCTCCCCCAGCGTTTGACCAGCGAGCAGCCCTCGGCCTTCCTGATGCTCCAATCCGTGCTGCTCACGGATCATTGGAAGCTACTTAATCCTCTCCAGCTGGAGGAGAAGTGCACCACTGCTATAATAGAGGCTCTCCGGGGGAATTCTCCTGGTTTAATGGCGGTGCTTAAAGCCACCAATCTGCTCGTAAAGAAGTACCCCAAACTAGAGCTCCTTAATTTGCACCTAGAGCACTTTTACCACTGCCTGCAGCGCCAGACGCAAACGGGTTCTCGCGAGGAAACTCTCACTTTGTACAACCACTGCTGCCGGCAGAGGGAAAGAGCCTTCTCCTACTTCCGCCTCATAGTGGAGTTCTTTCCCTGGACAAATAGGAATAAGTACTATTTACTTAGTGGCGCCTTGAACTCCTTTTCTTTGGAGGAACTACTATCAGCCACCAACCAAAAGGAGGAGGAGTTCTTCAGCGGACTCCGGCTGAGTTTGAGCTACAAGGGACTCCGGGCAGCTAGCCAGTATCCGGTGAAAAGCCTGAGCAATCAGCGATGTCCTGCTCTTCTGGCCGCCAGCGTGGAGCTGCTGCTCCATGGGAATGTGGCCGAGATCCAGAACTTTCACTCGCAGTGGTTTCTGCGCATCCAACAGAGGGATGTCTTATTCGAAATGCTGCAGGCTAATCCCCAGATTGTGGAGTTCCTAGGCTCCTCGGAGGAGCTACGTTCACCTAGCGATCAATTACGTTTAATACTAATCTTCAGCATGTTTGCCAAGGAAATCTATGCCGCCTCCAAGCTGCACTTCTTCAAAATCAGCACAGAACTGCTGACCAACTGCAGCCAAATGGAAACAGAGGCCCAGCTGCTGGTCTTTCGCTTTCTCGTGGATAATCTAAGCAACTTTGCGGTGGAGGACTGCCTGGAGTTCTTCCACAGCTTCGTGGAAAGACATCGCGGGCTGGAGAGTTCGGAATTCCGGAATACGATGCTGGGCAAGATGCCTACGATTATTAACCACACGGCCAAGCATTTCCATCGGGTAATCAAAACGGAAAGCGGCGTGGGAGGAGATGCTTTGGCGCAGAACATCAAGCGATTCTTCTCGCATCTTCAAAATCTTATAGAACGCGACATTCACAGCGAGGTTTACCAGCCGAAGATCTTCGCTCTGAAGCTGCTGGAAATCCTCAACCGATCGCTTTATGCGGAGAAAGTAACGAAGAATGCCAAAATGTGTAGTCCCCAGCAGAATCAACAAATGGGAATGTTTCTCCTGGAGCAGGGAGTCTTTCGGCAGAAGGAAATGGCAGAAAAGCTCTTTGAAACCCTCAATAATCCCCAAGGATTCGATGATGCTTTGGAGCTGACCGTCTCCCTGCTCATCCAAATGGGCCATGTGGATAGTGAAAAATGCGTGGACCGTTGTCTAAACCTCTGCCTCACTTCAGACGTAGATGAGTGCTCCTTGGTTTCCCTCTACGCGCAATTGGCGGTTATAAATGAGACTTCTTCTAAGAAAATATATAAGGAATGTCTGATAAAACTCAAGGAGAAACTAGATCCCTTCCTTGAGGATCCGTTAATGACTGCCAAGAGTGGCGGCCACCTCTTTGGCTATCTTCGCGGTCTGGACGAGGTGGTCAAAGCGGGCGTTTCACTAGAGGATTCGCCACTGGAGGAGCTGTTGCCCTTGCTAGAACGCATCCTCAGCGGGATTCTAAAGTTCCTAAACCTATCCAATGCAAGAAAACAAGAGGAAACAGCCACTGCAGCCAGTTTCCAGGACATGGACGAGAGTCTCCAGCTGCTGGTCAGCGAGAGCTCCTTTAAGTCTGTAAATGAAGAGGAAGCCTGTCGGAAGTACTTGCTCATGAGCTTCTGGCTGACTTTGAAGGTGGGTAAAGTGCTTTTTAAATTAAAAGGGCTCGGAATTTAACACACATGTTAAAAACATGTAAAATTGTATTTTACAGTGTGAGAAAAGTTTTTGACATGTGTGTCAAAAACAAAAGTGTTAAATTGTGAAAAATATTTCTTAGCACACACAGCTCACTTGTGTTTTTTACGCAATGTGTTATTAACACGACGTGTTTTTTACACACTGTGTTTTTAACACAAATGAAAATTACATTTTATGAACATTAACGAATCGAAGGGAAAATTAAGAATCTTAAATAACTAAATTGTTATTTTTTACCGTTTTAAAGCAAATATTTCTGACTTTTTAATGTTAAAAACTCATTGTGTAAAAAACACATTGTGTAAAAAACACGTCATATAAATAACACAAATAAACTGTGTGTGTTATTTATGTTTCTAACATATGTAAGCTACAATTTTGTACACACATGTCCATAAATTTTGAACTTTACAGTTTGACATTTAACATGTTAATAACACAACTTTTTACAGAGTGTGTCATTTTCCGAACCCTCTTTATTTTTAATCCTATAAAATCTAATTTTTAAATCTTTTTAGGGCTGTTGCGATCTGGCCACCAGCATTGGGTGTTCCCTGCTGAAAACTACTGCCAAAACGGTTAATTTAGAGGCCCTGCGTCGTTGCCTGGACATCAATGTGTCGGTTTTAACGCTCTGCCGGCACAAAGGAGCCATCGAGGCTGCAGGTTTGAGCATAGGCAGGCTCACCCGTGGTATTACCAGTAGCTTAGAAAGCGGGGATGCGGGTTTCCAAATGCTGCACGATTGTTTGGAAAGGGAATTGCTAACGGAGAGCCGCCAGGTGAGCACCACACGCCGTGGTGCGGGCTTTGCCATAATGTTTCTGCATGTCCTGAAGAATGACAACCCAAGACAGAGGTTGCTGCTCCACCGAGCTGTGCAGCAAATCCTGCAGAGATTAAATGGAGATCGCTGTAATGGGGAGACTCAATCCCTAGATAGCAATCACGATCGTTTAGAGGCCTTACTGCTTCACTATCTTTGCGTTTTGGTGCGCGACACCGAACTGCGGCCGGCAATGAGCAAATACTACAATGAAATACTCCTGGTGGCCATGGAGCACATCACGAATCCCGAGTGGACCATCTCGAATGCGGCGCTGCAGCTTTTCGGCGCCAATCTGGGCAAGCTGGTGGGCCAGCGGCAGGCCACCGAGTTCGAAACGCGGCCCGCCTGGGAACCGAGTGAGCTGGATTACGACGAGCTTGGCTGCCTGCTGCCCAAGGCGTGTGAGCACATGCTGGAGTGCTGCGACCGTCAGGAGGTGACCTCTTCTATTATACTCTTCCTGGCCTTTCTCTCCAAGGTGGAGCATTTGCGCACTTCGGGTGGTAGAGTTCCAAATCCTTTATTACTACGTTTCCGGCGACTCAGCTGGCGATTGTTGAGGCATCAATGCGATCAAGTGCGTCAACTGGCGGCCACCTGCTTTGTGCGTTCCCACGAATTCCGCTGCGATCTGCCGGCTGCTCTGCTGGCCAGCGCCAAATTGGCCGCCACTCTGGAGGAGGAGAACTTCTACGAGGGATTGATTTACACACTGTCAGCGGGTGTTTTAAAACTCCAACATGAAGCAAGACATGTGTGGAGTGCTCAACGTTTGGAGGGTTTCTTTCAAGAGCTCCTCACCTCGCTAAATGTCACGGAGCAAGTGCTTCGCTTCAAGCCCTACACACGCAACGTTCTAATGGAACTACTAAAGCTGCTGGGCAGCGCGGATAAAGCAGAATTTAGTTTTATCTAATCTAGTTATTAAGCCAAAAAGTAGTATTTCGCTTTTACAACTATTCAAATGACGCATTTAATGTTTTGTACGCAATAAACGAAACGAAAGTATCTAGTAGAGCCCTGTGTGGATTATTCAATGAAATTTCTGATTTGTTTAATTCAATTCTATGTGAAAATAATTCACTTCGAATTGAATGAATGAATGAAACATTTTTATGAATATTTTAAATTTGCCAGATTTTTTTTGTGCTTTCTTTTGAGAACAAAAAGTGGAAAAATTTTAACAAATTAATGTTAACTGCTTAGTAAATAAAATTCAGGCAGATTTAATCACAAAATTATGGCCCTTTCTTCTTCAAAAGATATTGTCGTTGGAATTATTTCTATGAAACTCAAATTCATTCAATTCTATTAAACTCAAAACTCCAAATAATTCATTGAATCCATTCATGCAGGGCTCTATTTTGTACGCAGTAAACGAAACGAAAGTAAGCAAACGGGGATTTCTAAAATACCAAATGAGATAGAAAAGATAATCAGCTGAAGCCCTCGCCCGTTTCCTGTTCCATGGCTTGCTGCTGCTGCTGTTGCTGCTTCTCTAGAGCCTCCTGGGCCATTTGCTGCATGGTGCGACTGAGGATGCTGCGAAGGATGTGCGGCTTGCAGTGCTCCTCCAGCCAGGGGATGATGCCGGTGGTCAGCTGCTTGAAGTTGTCCATGGGTATGTGCTTGAAGGTCTCGAACATTTCCTCCATGATGGCCTGGAACTAAAAAGGGAGATTTAGAGATGTGAAAACCTAGGGAATATCCTTGCTAACCACTTGAAACTTGGCCTCGTCGGTGAGGCGCGCCTCCTCGGGTCCCGGATTCGCCTGCTGGTGCTGCAGCATGTTCTCGTAGCCATTCTTGATGATCCTTAGCGCCGTCACTTCCTTCTGCAGCGCGGATCCCTCGTCCTCCTGCTTGAGCTTCTGCTGATTGAGGTAGCCAATGTACTCGATGGATTTCTGCAGGATGAGAGCCTTGCTCAGCTTGTAGCCGGAGGAATCGTTGGGCTGGCACCGCGGCACCAGCTCCTGCAGGCTGTCGTAGCCCTTCTTGATGGCATCCCGCCTCTTCTGCTCCGCCTGGGTGTGCGCCTCCCGCCTCCGCTCCTTGTAGCTCAGCGTGGAATTCGAATTGGCGGCCGTCGAGTGGCGCGCATCGCCGCTATCGTCGTCGTCGTCTGTTGATCGGACAGTACAATGTAATAAAACGCTGCTGATAGCGCAAGTAATTCAATGCCACTGCTTTATCAGCTGCCCCTGCCCCCCAAAAAGCGACTCCCACTCCTGGTCAGCGTGACCGATCTTGCCCAGCTCACCTGAATTGTGCGCCGAGGAGTTCGGCGTGTGGGTGCTGCCCGCACTGCTGCAGCGCGAGTAGTGCTTGCTGCTCAGATCCTGGTCGTGCTCCATGCCAAAGACCTCCTCCTTGCTATTATCGCCCATTTCTCAAGTGCGACGTTGTGGAATTCCCAAAACAAAAACACCAGCGAGGGAGAGTGACCGTTCGCGGGTATCGTGAAAAGCTCTTCTTGGTCATACTGAGAGAGTTTTGCGATAGTTTTAAGGAATATTTTTTAGTTTTTATTAATTATAAAAATTACATTTTTGTAAAAAGAGAATTCATTTATAAGAAAGTATTGGAAATTAGAAATAAATTAGGAATAAAGAAATAAAACAACTTGTAACAAAAAATATCAAACATAGGTAAATAGTTAAAATATTCCATATTTTTATGCATTTTTGTGTCAAAAACCAAATATTTAGTCAACCCAACAAAAAGTCGTCCAAAACAAAAAACTTCATATGAAACAAAACTTTTTGGCGTTATTTTCATATGAAGTTTTTTGTTTTGGGCAACTTTTTGTTGGGCTGAGCACTAGCCCTAAGGGAAAAATATGTTTTACCTTAACTTTAAGAACTAAAAAGGGAGATTTCAAACATAAAATTCGGAAATAAAATGCATTTTTATTATTTATTTAAATAAATTCCCCAATTCACACTGACTTAAAAGAAAACTAACAACTGTTTGCTTTAATTTTGACGCATAAAAATGGTTGATTCGATTAGGTTTTAACTTAACTTTAAGAAGACAAGTTTAGTTTAAACTATATACATAAAATTCAGAAATAAAATGCACTTTCATTATTGATTAAAATGGATTCCTCACTTCCCACTAACTTAAAACCAAATAATTTTGACGCATGAAAATGGTTGATTTGATTCTCGTATTTTCCTCTCTCGGGCTATAAATCACCTTTTATGAAAAGTTTAATAAAAATAAATTCCAACTCTTCCCCTGTAGCACAGTGTTAGCGATGGCAGTGTCCCGGCCTAACCGATAGTTTTATCGATAGCTTGTCATACCGGCCCCGGATGATGACTTTTGCGTTTTTTTCTTGTTGAACTTTGCCGTCGTGTCGCTTTCTTCGGGGATATTGCTTGAAATAGGCTGGTTTTTGGTCTCTAATTTGTAACCAGCGGACGCACAAGGAATCGAACATGGGTCTGCTGTACGCGCTACGCGTGAGGATCATGAACTTCATGATCTTCTTCCTCATCATCATCCTGATGCCCGGCCTGCCGCCGCGCACCACTTTTCCTTTTAAAGAATATATGTAAGTAGCCCCATTCCAATTGACGTAATTCATGGCCTAATCCTTGGAGATTTCCCTTCCCCTTCCCCCAGAGTGACCCCGCCCAAGGACCTCAAAGGCGCCCTGGAGCAGAACTTTCACCTGGAGGGAGCGGAGCGCCTGCTGGAGGGGCGTGTCTACGGCCCCGAGTGCCTGATAGCCCGCAACAACGAGATCTACACGGGCATCCATGGCGGTGAGGTCATCAAGCTGACCTCCAACCATGTCACGCATGTCACCAAGATCGGCCAGCCCTGCGGTGGGTATAGGATACCCTTTATAGAGCACTTTTTATACTAATAATCTAACCTAATCCCCCAGAGGACATCTACGAGGAGTCCCGCTGCGGTCGTCCTCTTGGCTTGGCCTTCGATACCCTGGGCAACAATCTCTTGATTGCCGACGCCTACTACGGCCTGTGGCAAGTGGATCTGGGCACTAACAAGAAGACCCTGCTCGTTTCCCCCGCGCAGGAGCTCGCCGGCAAGTCCATCAATCGTCCTGCCAAGATTTTCAACGGCCTTACGGTCAGCAAACAGGGCGATATCTACTGGACCGACTCCTCGTCGGACTTCACCATCGAAGATCTGGTCTTTGCCAGCTTTGCCAACCCCTCCGGCCGGTGAGTTCATCGCGAATTATAGCGTAACCCCTGATTCGAAAGCGGTAGTGATTGGGTATAGGGCTACAGTAGAGCCTCCTTAACTTGGACTGCTTCTACTTAAGGTTTCGATTATTTTTTATTATTATTTTTTAATTATTTAAACTATTTTTCTCACTTTTTTATGTTAATTAGATCACATTTTCGTTGTTTTTTAATTACTATTATTATTATTATTTCTAATTTTTTTTTTTTTAATAGTTAGATATTTCTTAGATTTATTAAATTATTAATATTTTTTAATTATTTAAACTATTTTTCGCTCTTTTTTATGTTAATTACTAACATCATATTTGCGTCGTTTCTTAATTACTATTATTATTTATTTTTATTTATTTTTTGTTTTTTTAAATAGTTAGATATTTTTTTTTTAATATATTTTTCTATTTTTATTTTATTTTTTACTTATGAGTACTGGAATTTTAAGAGATCTATAGCTTTATTATAAAGTTTAGTTGCGCTAATAATTGTTTAATATAAATTTATAAAAAATTCCCTTCTCGAACACAGTGGTTCTTAGGTTCCTTGAGGGTTTACTAGGTCAAATAAAATATATGAGATTTACTAATTGATAACGTTTCAAAAGAACTAAAGTTTAAAAAGATTTTGTTGCAACCACTCAATTAACTTTAATGAAGATTAAATTAGACGCTTTCCTATGATTCCTAGACTAGCCCGTCCACATAACCAATTAAAAACCTGCGTAGTATAGTCGAGAGGTTCGCCTGTAAGACGAACTAAAACCGGTTTCTCGAGACCCGGTCTAATGGTCAACGATCTAACGGTCTGTGCTTTCTTCTCCCCCTTTGCAGTCTCTTCAAATACGACCGCACGAAGAATGTGAGCGAGGTGCTGCTGGACGAACTGGTCTTCGCCAACGGCCTGGCCCTCAGTCCCAACGAGGACTTCATCGTGGTGGCCGAGACGGGCGCTCTGCGTCTGACCAAGTATCACCTGAAGGGAGTGAAGGCCGGACAGAGTGAGGTGTTCGTCGACGGGCTGCCCGGTTTGCCGGACAACCTGACGCCCGATGCCGAGGGCATCTGGGTGCCGCTGGTCGTGAGCTCCGACAGCGAACATCCCAATGGCTTCACCCTGTTCACTCGCTTCCCCAGCGTGCGTCTGTTTTTGGCCCGTGTGCTCGCTTTGTTCGAGCTGCCCTTCCGCTACCTGAACAGCATCTATCCGAATAAGTTCTCCCAGCGATTTGTCCATTTCGTCGGGCACATGGAAAGCATCACTGTGCTGGCACCCAAACGCAGCACTGTGGTGCGCGTCGATTGGAACGGCAACATTGTGGGCTCGCTGCATGGCTTCGACAAGTCCGCCTCGAGTGTTTCGCACGTGCTGGAGTTCCAGGACTTCCTGTTCCTCGGCTCGCCCACCAATCAGTACCTGGCGCGTGTGAAATCGCCCAAGACTAAGCAGCCCACGCTCAAGGTGCGCAATGTTCGCGTCGAGGGCGATGGCCTGGAGGCTTCTATTGGTGTGCCACCCAGCACAACCACGCCGAAGCCCAAGGCGGCCAAGCCCACGACGACTACGACAACCACGCCGAAACCCACTACCACCACGACCACACCAAAACCCACTACCACGACGACTACCAAGAAGCCTACCACTACGACCACCACACCTAAGCCAACCACCACTCCAAAGCCAGCAACTAAGCCACCTACGACTACTCCCAAGCCAGCAACTACTACTACAACTACTCCAAAACCAACCACCACGACTACTCCCAAACCTGCTAAGCCCACTCCCAAGCGCAAAGTGCCTGAGAAGCCAGCGCCTGTAGAAGAGGAGATTCCCTCGGACACCCAGCCACCTAAGAAGGAGAAGCTCAAGGTCATCAACAAGCAGGGCGTCAATGTAGAGCTCTAAAATCTCCTGAGTTAATCATGGATATTCCCAGACGCGAGATTAGTTCACCCACTCTGTTTATTATCTTTTTCCCTCCAAACATCTCAACTATTTTTTCGGGGAATATCCAGAAGTTTCTTATTCATCACTCAGGCTGAGCAAAAGACCCGTTAATTTTAGTCGAAATGTAGCTAAATGATCCTCGAAGGGCAGCGCTTTATATGTTTTGATTTTGCATATAATTCGGTTTTGCACTCAAGCACTCAATACATTCCATTTCCGCTCCTTTTCGCAACACCGGAAGTGCATTCCATTCTAGTTAAGTTCTAAAGTTTAAAGTAAACAATGCCCCTATAAATTGTTGAACGCGAGCAACTTTTGATTTTGTACTGATTTTTTCTTATTTTCATTAAAAATAAAGGTATTTTGTAAACATAGACCTAAGCGTAATGAGGTTTGGTGGTCTTAAAAGTAGGCTATTTAGACTATAGATTAGCTTAGTTGGTGGACACCGATTGGCTGATCTTGGCCGCCCGGCTTGGCGGCTCCTTGGGATCCGTCCAGGCCCAATCGGAATAGTGGACGCAGCGGCCCAGCTCCTCGGAATACAGCTGGGATTGCGGACAGCGCTGGAGACGGGCACGCGTGCCTTGTTTATCACACACCCAATAAGCGGTGGGATCCCAGAAGTTCCGGAACATGCGGTTCATCTCCTCCAGACCCTGGCAACTGGGTTCTCCATTATGCTCGTGCGCCTGGCGCTTCTGGATGGGCAGATGCTGTGCGGATGCGGTGGCCATTTTTTGGGTTCTGAAAACGAAACCGGAACTTGGTATTAGTCCACGATTACCGAGCGTGATCACAATATTTCTTGGCAATGCCCCACATATTTTTACTGCATAGAAATTTCCCTTTTCGCCTTACCTTGTGCTATTTCTTGATTTTTAACGGCTAGCAGCCTGTTGCTCGCTGTTGCTGAGTTATTTCACTTCTGATTTGTCATACCGAATCATTTCTCGCTTAAATACCATTCCGATTCCGAGTCCGCCGAGCGACGGCGACGTCGACGTCCGCTGCTCGGGGAAAGATAGCGTTAGAAATGTCTGGTTCGAGGGCCGATTCCCATTCCGATTCGTTTTTATCTATGTACGAGGCCCACAAATTTTGCACTGTCCGCGGAAATTCAGTTTTTTCTTGCCTTGATCTTGTGGGGGTGTCAGGTGGGGGGTTGGGTCTCTAAGACCCAGCCATGTGTCACGTGTAGCCGTCGTGGTCTGGGGAATACTCCCCCGACCAGAGTTTAACACATCGACGCAGACTGCCATAAATTTCGCACAAAAAACGAGCGCAAACATTTGGAGAAAAAATTAGGTAACCAGCTCTCAGGTTGAAACCTCTTATGCATGGAAAGAAAAATCTAGTAAAGTATAATAGATTTTTATGTTTTATATATTTAAAGGAGTAGTCGGTTTTTTTTTTTTGAAATTTCATAGAAATAATATATAAATATATGTTTTAAAAAGTGGAATATGGAATTTTATTAGTAAATAATAAATATAAGGTAGTCATTTAATTTGAAACTTGCCTAATTTTTATGAAACTTAAGACCAGATTTAAAATTTAATTTATTATTTATGATTTTCATATTTCAAATACATTTTTTAATTTTCTTATAATAAAACGAATAGGAAAACTTTTAAGTATATTTAGTTGTAATATTTTTTTTACTTTATGGTGAAAGGCTAATATTGAAATTTCTTATAATAAAAATAATTATATATAATTAAATAATTATAATTAGTAAGTACTTATTTTTAGTTTGAAATATTATTTTTTCACTGTTAGTATAAGTAGTTTTTTTGTTGCTAATAGTTTCTCTTTCTGTATTGCAAGGTCTAAGGGTCAGAGGCCCCCCAGAGTCTTCCGAGTAATGACGGCATCGGAAAATGTCAACAAATGCATATAGTTAGCACACACTAGAATCAGTCAATAAACCCCGGCAATCCGGTAATTGGAGGTTTCGCGCGTAAGATGCCTCTAGTATCAGCTAGATCACGCATCCGCCGTGTGGCCCCGATGACGAGCCCCTCTATTTTATAGCCTAGTCGGTAACTTTCCCCTCGGCGGGAGGCACACACATGTCCACCCGCCGTGTGTCACCTTTGCGCGATAAATGCGAACACCTTATCACCTAACGAGGTAATCAGCTCAAAAGCCAGACGTTAAAAAGACTCGGGTTTCGTAGGCGTGTAAGACCAATTATTGATTCGCGAACGCTATTCACGTGATCAGCCAGTGGTTGGGGCCCATATGGATTTTATTTCAGCCCCAAATGGGTTCGCAAAGAGTCGAAATAAACTGGAAATAGTCGGCAGTCTGGCGATTATGCGGGCACGTGGGCACCTGGTGGTCAAAGTCGCCGGGGCCTCCGCCTTTTGAAGCACGAGCTTCCATTGCCGGTCTGGCGATCGAGACGTGCTCGATGTGAGGTATGTCCATAAAAAAGAAATCACGATCGAGTGGGGAATCGCCAATGAACTCCAGGGGGAATATTTTCTACATGAGTCTAGAATATTATGAAATATTTGCTATCTCAAGAGTCAAAGCTGGGGAATTTTTCACAATCACTATGAAATTATTCAGAAATTTGCAAAATGTTCCTAATAAAGTCTTATCAAAAGTATTATTAGACCTTAAGTTTGCCGCCAAGCTCAAATAAATTGCTATCCCAAATATTTCGATCGACAATCTCTGTCTATAAATTATCATAAAAAGTATAACTTTCTGTGGACTTTGGTTAGCTCGTCACTGAATTTTAGAAGGTATAATTTCAAAATTGACGTTTAAAATTTCTGGAAACCTCATTAAAAATGTAATTTCAACTGGAATTATTCCAGTTCGTCATGAGGAATATTTATAAACCATTTGTATTTAGACAAGTGCGTCACTGAACTCCAGAGGAAATATTCCATACAAAATTTCGGCTAGACGCTGTCTACGTTTTCTAGAAACAAGATGCCAGAAGGCTATCTATTAATTCTCACCCACAATGTATTTTCAAATGACCTTTAAATCGGGACGTCACAATGAGACTGCGAAATTATTTTGACACTATTTCAATATGAACCCATTTTCTCATTCGGTTTTTAGTGATATTTATTGGGATAGGTTATATATATTTTAGGTATTTCTTATATATCTTAGATTTTATATAATAATTTTCATAGAAATACATTTAATATAAAACTGGTTGTAACCAGTTAAATGTGCTTTTCGGTAAATTAATATTAACGCCCACGACTTATAGAAGAATTTCTCAAACTAGCTCGTCGATTTCATGTGTGATTTACTTCACATGGCAACAGGCAACCAGTTCAGCACATGATATTGGGGAACGTTAGATAAGCAATACTTTTCCGTTTCGTCACCATTTCGCAGGGGAGCACGTGAGTTGCGTTGCCCGTCCATCACTGTGCTGCAAGTTATAAATATCTACTAATTGATTAGTCATACAAGAGTTTATCGTGGATTCGCGGGGCTTTCTCGCCTCTCGAACGTTGAGTAGTTTGTGGAATGACGTATGCAGATTGTTATGGGGGTATATGCGGTGGGAATACAATAGATTATAGATTTGTTATTAATTTTTCACACAGAAAAAACATCGATATGAAATAGGGTCAATTCTACATTATTTCATATCAATAAAAAGCCGATATGACAATGTGAAATTTATGATTCTATCAGATCAACTTGATATTTTATCATACTAAAATAAAACATGTTCCCGTTAAATCGATATGGCCACGTAAATTTCAGGTCACGCAAAACCCATATCGTTTTTACATGAAATTCTATTTTCGACCATGTCAAATTTATCAAATTAAAATTGATCTTAAAATCGATCTACGTTTCATATCGATTTTTTTTGGGTGAATCCTATAATATTGTATTTTTTGAACAAATATTGTAAGATAAGATAAACATAATCTGTATAATCTAATCTTTGATCTTCAAGAAATATAAAATTGAAATTTATTAAAATTCCATTTTTTTCTGTGTAAGTAAAAGCTCTCGTTGTGCATTTATGGCTGCAGTAGCAATGCCACGCCCCCCAGTATCCATCGGGAGGGGCGTTCGCGGGTCTTCAGGTTAAAGGTCCACACATAAGTATTGCCCCGCGACCTGAAAGCACCAAAGAGCCGTCAGTCAATTAGCAAAGGGCAGACAAAGGAGTTGGTTTTTACAGCATCTTGGGGAATGTCGCAATGTCCACCCACCTGGTCTTGTACAAAGGACACTCGTAGACGCGCTGCAGCTCCTGCTTCTCCTGGACAATGGACTTGATGTAGATGACGGGCATGGCGCAGAGCATCTCCTTGGGGCGCAGGGTCACAATGGAGTTCAGCTGACAGTCCCAGCTGGCGCCGTCCATGTACAGGTCGTGGACAAAGGCGCCCTCCATGGGCGGCAGACTGTTCGAAAGGGGAGGAGAGGGGTCAAAGGGTCAGGATGACAAACAAACAATTGAGACAAAAAAGCTATCTTAAACTCTTGTTGTAAAACTGCCCCTTTGAACTGCACGACTTCTATGCTTTCCAATATCATTCTACCTCCTAAAAATTTATTTTTATTCATCCTAGTTTCTTTTTAAATTACAATCTTTAAGAATTTAGCAATTCATTTCTTTGCATTGCAGAGAAATATATAAAAGTTGCATCTATGTTTATTACAAAATAAATAAAAAGGAAACTAAATAAATTGCATCTATGTTTATTATAAAAAAATAAAAAAAGGAATTTCAAAGCAAATTTTTAAATTTTCCAATAAGTAAAAAATAATATATAGAAAAAACTATAAAATAATATTAACAATTTTAAAGCAGAAAGTTATATTAAATGAATAAATTTTCCTTAGAGAAGAAAATCGATACAGATTTTAAAACTTAATTTGTAAAGCATAAAAATCTATAAAATATTAATAAACTAAATGTATTCATTTCTTATTGAGAAGAAAATCCGATACAAAAAGTAAAAACAAAATTTATAATGCAGACAATTAGTAAAGAAACTTTACGGGTTTATTTGCTTTAAATTCGGGTATATATTTTAGGGATATTCTTACGTGACGTCGTCCTTCTGTTTCTTGGTGACATCGCAGCTGATGAGCATCCTGTCCAGCGGCAGGTCGTGTTTCCTGGCACTCTCCTGCATGATGGCGGTGAGGAAGCTCTGCGGATTGAACAGTCCGCCCAGCCAGATGGCGCAGGGCAGCTTGAAGTCGTTCAGCCAGCCGGCCAGCTCCTTGATGCGGTGCAACAGATCGGCGAACCAGGACTGGAGGCCCAGCATGCTGGGATAGGCCAGTCGAGCCCAGGCATCCGGCACATGATCGTAGAAGATGGCGTGGTCCAGTAGCTCCATTTCCTGGGTAATGGTCAGTTCGCCCCTTAATCCCAGCATCAGTTCTCGAAGGGATCTTTTGATCTCCCTGATCAGGGCATTCATCCTTTCGCATTCCTGCAGGGCAACGACCACAAAAGGCGTCTTACGCTCCACGCGATTCAGCAGAGCCTGCAGATTAAACTCATCCTGCAGTTTGTCCAGAAAGTCATCGATCATGATCTTCACGAGCTCCTCTCGCGGAGCTCCGCAATGGGAACTCAGTTCCGATTCCCTGGGCTGCAATTCGAAGATGGTCCGAAGCAGCTGCTCGGAGGCTGTGGTCAGGAAACCAATCTCGGCATTCGGATGGAGGCCATAAAGCAGGGGACTTTCCTCCGGCAGCATTTCCGTGATATACGAGTGATAGCCCTCAAAGTCGAGATTGGGAGGAGCTGGAAATCCCGGACACAGCTCAAAGTCACCATCAATGAGATCCTGCTGCAGGAGCTCCTCCAAATAAGTCTGGCATAGCCGACGATCCCAATCGTCGGTAATGTGACCACCGTACATGATCTCACCAAAGAGATAGCGCAGATCCTCCCAGGGAATCCGATTGCTGCCCTCCAAATAGTTGTGCAGTACATTCGACGAGATGGTGAGGTCACCAATATTGAAGGGGTACACCTTGTTCCAGCCCTGCGGTCCGAATTTGCGCCTCTCACCAGCCACCGCATGGAAGTAGCAGAGGGCGAACAGGATCGACTTGAACTCCGCCTCCTGGGTGCACGTCTCCAGGGCGTCCTGCGAGAAGTTGTCCCAGGCCTTGTGCAGATTGGCGGCCATTCCGGAGGGGGGTTCATTAACCACCTGAAGAAAAAATATATTTATTTGAAAAATCTCTAAAAAAGCGCTAACTAATAAAATTCGATATGAAATATGGTCAATCCTACCTTATCTCATATCATTTATGATTCAAACATATCAATTTGATATTTTATCATTTCATATAAAAAGCCAAATTTAGTATTTTTTGAACAAATAATGTATCTAAAACATAATTTTTATTCATATTAAAATGATATGAAAAACTTTCTTAAAGAAATGTAAAATTGACTAGCACATATGAATGTGAACTTTTTTACATTTTTTCTGTGTGAATATATATAATAAAATTGAATTACAATTAAAACTTTCTTCCTTGATTAAAATATTTTCAAATTAAATCATACAATTTAAAAATATTTTTTTCTTATAAATATTACATGTAACTAATTCCAATATTAATCATATATTTTGAATTTTGTAAGAGTCAGTATATTTATGCCTAAATATTAGCTAAGACATTCTAGCTAAGTCAATCGCCCAAATGCAACCCTGCTATTAGCAAGGATCTGATCCTCACACAAAATACCCGAAAATACCTTACTTAGAGATTTTGGGATTTTATGCATACGACGTCCGCTTTAGAAGTCATGATTTCCGCCTCTGTAATATCAGCGTCTCTCGACGAGAGACTCTTGTGACCAGTTCGTTCGCTCGGAAAAAATTGTTTAATTGTAGGGCTAGTAATCAACCCAACAAAAAGTCGTCCAAAACAAGACAACTTCATATGAAAAAAAAATCAAAACATTTTATTTCATATGAAGTTTTATGTTTTGGACGACTTTTTGTTGGGTTGAGTACTAGCCCATACCCACCGGGAAAGTGAGAAGGTGGTTCTTTGTGTGCTGAAAATCCTGTTCCTTTTAGCAGAAAGTGTTGGAAATCCTGTATCTTTCAGCAGGCGACGGTGTAGGGAAAATGTAAATTCCCTAGGAAAACCACATAGAAACCTCATTTCCCCCTTACTTTTTGTGTCACCCCCGTGTATTTTGAAACCAGAGACGGAAGAAATGTAAGGGGTAAATGAGGTTTTTTCCCTTCCGCTTGTATGGAGAAACCTCATGAAAATATCATATTTTCCAGAGGAATGTTCCCGCTGGGTACCCGTTACTCGTAGAGTAAAAAGGTAAATTGTATGCGTGCAATAGTATGTAACAGGGAGAAGGAAGCGTTTCCAACCCTATAAAGTATTCTTGATCAGGGTCACTAGCCGAGTCGATCTAGCCATGTCCGTCTGTCTGGATGAACGCTGAGATCTCGGACACTACAAAAGCTAGAAGGTTGACTATAGCGTTCTCTCTTGTTTGAATGCATCCAATCATCTGCTGGTGAATTCCATCCTATTATTATTCCCATTCTTGTTGGAGATTTAATTTCTCCGAAATAATGTCGTTTTTTGACTGGGATTCTCTAGAGCACAGAAAACACAAACACCGTACGATTTCTAAGAATTTTCAAAAATTTTGCGAGCCCATCCTCTGCGCACAGCAAGAAGCAGGTGCCGCTGCAGCGGTTGCACTTTTGCATCAGTGCCACATTGGATCGGCGTGACGCCCAGAATCCGCAACAGCGGCACGCCAAGCCGCATCAGCGATTTGGTTTATGTTATTCGGCCTCACTAAAATCGAGTAAAAGGAAAACTAAATTTTGGCGGAATTAGACCGATTTGCGCCATCACAAGGAGAGGAAAGAGAAACTGCGAAGCAGGAGAGCCAGACCAGTAATCCAGAAGACATGCCTTCCCCAAGCGCTGCAGCAGGGACCGAAAGAACACAGCCAATAGACTCCTCGGTCAAGGATAAAACAACAGACGACGAAAATATTATACACGTCGACAATATAGCGGATATGTTCGTCATGCTAGCGAAAGAGCTAACGAACAGAACTCCAACTATTGTCCAGCGTTTGTTTAAAGCCATTTCCCGTAATCGGCCAAGCGGCGACAAACTTTAAGAATGAACCATATGATGATGAATTAAGATGAATTAAGCTGTTATCTTTTGATGGCCCCTAAGAGAATGTAGCGCAGCGGTTGTAAAGGGTGGAGTCTGATGTTGTTTATTTTACTAGGGATGGACCTCCAACGATAGGAAATTAATACAAAACATACCCAAAAATACAACAAATACTCAATCAAACACGTGTTAGCGCGTGAAATGAGCTTTCCAAAAAGGTATAGTATGACCAGATGCGATGAATAAAAAAATAACTACGCGCTTTCAGCGCCAACTAGCGAAAATACCGCAAGACTTTTTTGACAACCTAATATAATGATTATACAATTCAAATACGTTCTTATTAATAAATAATAAAATTGAATTAAAATTAAAATTTTTATCCTTGATTTAAATATTTTCCAATTAATTCATACAATTTCAAATATTTTTCTTATAAATATTATAAGTAATTCCAATGTTAATAATATATTTTGAATTTAATATGCAGATAATGAAAATTTTTAAAACGTAATTTTTTCTAAATAAACTTACCTTTAGTGATGACTCCAGGATGCCCTGTGGAATCACATGGTACTGTGGATCTGGAGCCGGTTCGGCGCTGATAAAAAGCCTGAAACTAGACTCTCCCTGCGTCTCGCACTGCATCACGATCCGTTCGATGAGCTTCTCCAGAGTGGGCAGCCAGTTGACCACCAAATGGATATTTTGCAAGATGACCCACTGCTGACCGGATCCCAGAGCCTGAAGGATAGCCTGCTCGGCCAGCAGCTCCTGTCCCTGGCCCAGTGAGATATTTACGAGGGTATCGGATTCCGAATGGAATCCCTGCCGCTGGCCATAACGCTCCACATCTCTGATAGGATCCACTCCTGGTGAAAGGATAAAGAACGCTGGCGTGGCTGCATTTAGTTCTTGGAATATAGCCCCAAAGGGCGGCGTCTGGATTTCGGCATACGAACGACCCATCGTCTGCTCCACAAACTGCCTCATCGCATAGGTCATGCGATCTGGTCGCAGTGATCTTATAATACACAATTTCTGCAGCGGCGTTCGGTGCTTCCATTCGCCGGGAAACTGCTCCCTTTCGGGCGTATCACTGGCCATGAATTTCCGCCATCTCTTTGTATAGTTCTCCATGTCCTTGTCGATCCCATAAAAGTGTTCTATCAAAGTCAAGGACTTAATGCCACCCCAGGCACTGCGACCCACGAAATCCAAAGGGGATAAGGTACTTGGATCATGGGGAAATCGCAGCAGGAAGTCCGTTTCGTCCTTGGCCACCTGCTCGGCGGCAATCAGGATCCTCAAGGTCATGTGCGAGGTAAAGGTCAGCTTGTCCGCCTCGAAAAGTCCTCGTAAAGTATACCGATATGTCTGCAGGGTAATGGAATCCACCAGGTGAAGCACTCGTCGCTCGTAATTCTTGGATTCTGAAGCCAAGGCGATGGCCTGTCGAAAGACGTGCATGAAGGATTTTAAGGAGAACTTATAAATCGGATTTATCCTACTCAAATCGGTGAGTACAAAGTACAAAATGGCCGCCCTTTTGGCCGCCGAACGGTAAATATTCCGCGTATCATCTATTTGGAGGGTGGTAACCCTGGCCTCCCTTACTTTCGCCTCGATTTCGTCCACTGTTCGCTTGGTGTTCTCCAAATTCAGGACCAAGGCATGATCATCGAGGACATTTTCACCCGATGAAGCCAACCTGGCTAGCAGCTCATCCTCCAGAGCTTTCAAGGATATCTTGAATTTGTTTTGCTGCACAGTAACCTCCGTTTTCATCTGTTCCAAATCGGGTCTCTCGATTTTAACCACCTCTGCCAGCAATTGCTCCTCCAGTCCATCCGGCGTGACGGTGAAATTAATTAAAGTCGTCTGAGCCTGCATTTCCGGTTTGTAGTGCGGATTGGCCATTTTGGTGTGCAGGATGAGCCGGAAGCTGGCATGAAACTCGATTTCCTTGTCGCCAATGCGCAAATAGCGACCTTTTTTAATAAGAGCCCTGCTGAGCAGGGGTTCCAAAACGGTGTCCATGGTTTCCTCAATCTGTTCGATAAGCACGGTTTCTCCCTGTGAGATGCTCTTCTCCAGGGCCTCGAGAAAACCCTTTTGTCTCAGGCGTAAAACCACCAAGGAGGCACCAAAGCGGTTCTTAATCCATTTGATGCCTTGTCTAGAGATTTTATTTATATTAAATTCACTTTAATATTAAGTATTTTCCAAACTTACAGTTGCGGATCAATCATCAGAGGCCATCGCGTCGAGTACTGCAAAATAGTGGCATTCTCCGTGGACATTCGATCCATTGGTAAACCCTCGTTGTTCCAGGCGGCTATTTGGGCATCATCCGAGAAAAGGGCCAAGGTATCCACGCCCTCGGTGTGCGGAATATGCGGCTATTTAGCAAAAGAGATAGAACCAACTTAAGTTTCCAACTTGTGAAAGTGAAAGTGGGGGAGGGACCCATTCACTTACATCGATTTTGCGAAAGTTGGGCAGCCACATCTTGTGCTGCAGTTCCTCACGATAGCGGCGCGTGAAGCAGCCCACGTACGACAGGAACGAGGAAATTAGCAGTATATCTCCGGGAAGGGTACCAATCTTGGCCTGCAGGCTGGAAAGGGGCAGAAAAAGAGGAAAAAAAAGGATACACAGTGAAAAAAGAATTATTAAAACAATATTACTTAAGAGAACCTATAGTTTTTACCATTGATAAGTATTGAGTTGATATTGAAAAGTGCACTTGTTAAATTTCTCTGTCTTCGAAAATACTTTAAAGCGATTCAATTCGAATTCGAAAAAGAGAGAGAAGCAAGATGGCGACTCCACAATATATCTTTATTAATTTTTGAACATATAAAATTAATATAGAATTTTTACCGGTGTAAGTTAGGTGGTAATCTGCCCGCTTTTGATGCTAACAAATCGTATAAATTACAGCAGCAGCAGGAAGCTAAAGGTTGCAGCATCCTCTGCAGCCTTGTTCTTCTTGCATTTAAATTTAAATGAGGGGAAATTGAAAAAATAATGATGTCGGAGGAGGAAGTAGCAAGGAGTAGCAAGTAGCAAGTAGTTGTTGCTGCCTTTGTTGCCGACATTCCTGATGATAAGGGGGTGGTCTTGGAGGCGGGCTGCTCAAGTGGTTGCATAAATTATCGGAAATTGCTGCATGCCAACTCTTATTGAAATATTTGAGCTTATTATGACAAGGCCCTGAAGGGGGTGAGATTTTCTAATAGGAAGGACAACTTTTTGCTTCGCTTACTTAAGCTATTTTCAATTAGTTATCTGCTGTTATGCCCTCTTCTCCGCCAGACGCACTTAAAACTAAAACGACAATGATTTATGCTCATTTATATGCACATTCATATGTTTAAAAGAGGTTCTTTCTATGTAATTGAATAATCCTATAATTGCTCTAAGCACAGAGACTTAGTAATACAATCAAAAGAGGGTAATAAACTAGCCACAAAGAATAGAAAAATTACCCAAGATTCCCAGAAAAACCGTCCATTAACAATGGCCGCACATACATGGATCGATTTTGATATCAAAACCCCTGCCAAAGGACTCAAATGGGCGCTCCTGGCTGCCAGTTATGTGGCATAATTGTTTTTGCTGCAAAATATTGTGTTGAATTTTCGGTGAAATACCTGTCAGGTGGCATAAGAGCATTCTCATTTAAAACAGATAGTATTTTTCGAAGGCAGCCCAACAGCTCCCAACAATAACAACACAATAAGTTGGCAAACAAATGCGTGTATCCTGCAGGATCCTTGCCAGCGTGTGTGTGCGTGTGTAATGTCATTGTCAAATATGCAGAAATTTATATGCAAGTCAGAACAGCTTACACACACACCTGTCCGAAAAATAGGGGCTGCCGCCTTATCACCACCCACATAAGGTACAAACAATTTGCTGTTGTGGGTCAAATTATATTTTCATAAATATTTGAACAATTCTCACTGGCAAAGTCGGACATGGGGAAACCAGGCTGTTGCTCCTTTGCCAGTGCATTGAATGTCCAAGGCAACCCCCTCCCGTTCATTTTGAACATAAATTCACAACCCAACACAGTTGGGAAATTTTTCATTTTTCGTAATTCAATACGTATTTCATATGCATTTATATTTCGGGCTCCGGATACCCCAGCGATTTAGCTGCTGACGCTGCCCATTTGTGCACAGAAATAAATTCTTCCTATTTCATATCCAATTTATGATTCTAACATACCAACTTGATATTTTATCATATCATAAAAAATACCAAATGTAGAATTTTTTAAACAAATACTGTTAAATAAGGTAAATATAATCTTATTCATATTAAATTGATCTTTATAAAATTTATAATTTACCAGCACATATCAATCTGATCTTCTGTCAATTTTTTTTCTGTGTATGTCTGTTTGTGCTTGCGGATTCTGCAGTTGTTTAGGTGCGAAAAATTCAGTACTTTACCCCCCAAAAACCCCCAACCATCATCATCACCATCATCCTCATCGACATACGCCCTTTACGGATTTTCTTTTGGCTTGCACGCGCACTCAATTGAATTTCAATGAATGCAGCCCAGTCAATGGGCAGCCAAAGGTGTCGGAGTGCTCTGCGTGTTGTACTATATGTACCAAATATGTACTATATGTTTGTACCGACCCGAATTGCCATTGACATCTATATGAATTTGATTAAGTTTTTTCCCCAAATGCTTATTGCATGTGGCTTGTGATGGTTTATATAATTGATAGCTGGGCACCCCGTTGCTTTCGATGGGTATTCAGGATATTCATGACCTCAAAAGGGTGGATTTTCATTAGTTTCCCATTCAGCAGCCATTAAAACTTGGAGCTTTTGGCACAAGTTTACTCTTTGAATGGTAAATTCTAAATGATGAGGTCACCTGATGAGAGCTTTCATTTATCGAGTGTTCTAATATTGACTTTGCTTTCACTTTGCATGTTTTCTTGTTTAATTCTGTTATATGTACTTGATTTTGCTGTCGATTTGATCTGTAAATCCTCGAAATAGGACAAATTAGCAATGTTTTGGCCAAACATTATCGAGTTATGGTCTTGAATAAATATTATTATGTTTCTATTCAACCGTTTTATGGCATTGGTTGCACATCGATATAAAATTCACAGAGAGCCAAAAGCTAAAAGGGGTTAGGGATTTTAAACTATATATTTTTCTTACATCACATAAAAAGCGAATATAGTGCGTTATATTTGTTGTTTTTAGAACTGTTTGGTTTTATATTCCACATAAAACTTTCATTTAGTTTTGTTTGCACATCAAAAACGAATTGAATAGGCTTGACTTGAAACCTAATAAATGGCGTACAAATATAGAAATAAATGATTTTTATCTTAAATTAATAAATGAATATATTTTTCAATCAACACACAGATGATATACAACACCTTGTGCCTTGGGCTTGATGAATACATCTCAGTTATAAAAGTAAATTCTCCATATGACATGCATGAAAACATGTTGCATACCTTGAGGCGTTTAAATATATCATGTAAATTTAGCAGCCTTCAACGGTTGCAATGGATTCTTATAAGTAATCCATGGGTGATGCATTGCCATTACCCCTTTATCCTTCCAACACGTCCTTCAAAATCCTAATAGGCTTTGCCTTCACCCCCCTCACACGCTGCTTTCACTCCTTTCTTCGAGCTTCGTCCTTTTTCCTTTCACCTTCCATCCATTGTGCCAACTTTCACACTTGTCAACTGCAATTGTTGGCTTGTTAGGCAGCTGCCTTGCACCTTGGCTCGACATTTTCGTGGCTCACGTTACCAGGAGAGGAGCACCAGGATCTGCAACAGATGGGATTAGCCCCGTACCTTCCTTCAGCCACTCGGTATGACAAGTTTGCCTACCCGTATTTGGAGTACGTGCCTCCGGCTTGAAGCTGCTTAAATGCATTTCGGTTAACTGCCAATGATTTTTGCAAATTGCCACCGGTACTCCAGGCGGTTCATTGCCATCCGACGAGTGCTCAATCGAGTGAATGAGTCGAGTTCGGGGACCTCGCCGTGCTTACAGTGCTCGCAGTGCGCCAAATGGGAGCGAGTAAATAAAATTTACGGCCTTTTGTTGCCGCGGTGGCCCGCAAGTAAGCGAAATTCGCGTGCACTTCGGGAAAAATTTTATTAAAATTACTAAAAAATGGGGAAAGATTTTATCAAACCTATTAAAATATTGTTAATAAGTTCATACAGTTAAAATACCAATAAAGGAATAAAACTACGCACACTAACGTCATTTACGACGCCATATTGCTTCTCTCCTTTTCCGAGTCAGACAATCTCCGAGAGAGAGAGTTCGGCCAAATTATATTACGTAATATCAATTTTACCAGTATTTCATGGTAAAAACGATATGTGTCTGAAATACCAGAAATTTACCATGGGCATATCGATTTTACTACGTGTTTTGTGTGCAGAAATAAAGACCATAAAGATGAGGCTCTTAGGTTATTTTCCAATTTTGTTTATCTTAGTTATCTCTAATATATTTTATAAAACCTTTTATTTTCCTTCACTCCAGTTAGTAGTATCTTTAATTACAAAGACGAATTTTAATATAATAATATTTTTTTTGAGTGCACAAACCCCTCATCCCAGCCCCTTCAGAAGTGGCAGGCGAAGCAATTACAGCTACAGCCAACGCACACGGAATGTAAATTAAATTTAATAATTGATTACGCATAAATGCAGTGCACCAACTACCAAAACCGCCGAAGGACTCACCTCTGGACGGACTCCCGCCAGCGGACATTCTCGTTGGCCAGTCCATTGACCAGCCGATGGGCCAGGTCGATGGTGAAGGAGGTCTTGTCCGCCTCCCTTTGGCATCGCTGCTTCTCGGCCACCGCATTTTCGAACTCGGCCTGAATCTCGGCCAGCTTGGCCTCCAGATTCTGGATCTTACCCTTAAGGTATTGCAGTCGTTCTCTGGCCTCGAGGAGCTCCTGATGCGAGTCCTGCAGAGCCTGCTGTTTGGGTCCCACAATCAAGAAGACTTGATGGTAGCGATGAAGGTTAATCACCCAGGCACAAAGGCCAGCAGCAGCCACGGATTTTTGCACCACCTTGTCGGGATTGAATTCGGGGTCCTAAAATGGCAATGTTATAATATCTCTTTTATATCATGTTGAAGCAGAGCATTGGAAGCATTGGTTTTTATAAAGTCAAAAAATATAAATGCGGCTAAACGCCTAACTTGCATTGGGCACACGTCGATTCTTCTTTGTGTCGCTATTTTTTTTCATTTTCATGATATAATAAATAATTACCTTAAGATACTCCTGCAGCGTTTCAATGATATTAGGGTGTATATTATCCTTGTTGTAGTTAAGCAGATCGTTGAGGAACTGGTCCACGCGCACCATCATCAGTTTCGATGCCTTCCAGCTGCGATCCCTGGGGATCTTTCCATTGCTGGCCAGCAAAACCATGACAGCGGCACAAACATTCACCACTGCCTTGGGTGGCGAGCCAAAGGACTTGAGTTCGGTGAGGTTGTTTTTATTCAGCGTATTTAGAGCTGCTTGGGCGGCCACCAGGGCGGGCTCCGCCTGGCGCAGATCCTCCTCGCACATCTTGGTCTTGATCGAGACATCCTCCTCGATGATACGCACCCGTTTCTCCTCCTCGGAGGCAGTGTATCGCTCCCGCTTCACCTTTTCACTCTCGGCACTCACAATCACAATCAATTTATCGGCTGCCGCATTTTTGGCTGCCAGCTGAACCTCTTGGATGGCCAGTTGGTGCTGCGGGTGGAGAGAATTAGAGGAACCGCCAAATTGCGTCAATTGAAACTCAAAGCCAAAATCAAAGTGAGCTGAAAACTTCTACCGGGGCGCCGGGCGAAAATAATTAAAGCCACGGCACGATGGCTCAATATTTACGCAGAGCAACTTTTGCGCCAAATTGCGGGCGCATCAATACAAATAAAAGTGAATTTATGTGCCACGAAATAGGCAGTGATGGCAGAAATAAATGAAGGTTATAAATTATACCGTGGAATAATTACCAACTTAAGGATTTTATTTACTTGAAAAAATTTGTATTTAATAAAAACAATAAAAAATGAAAAAAAATAAATTTATAAAAAGTAATAATTAATAATAGAATAATTACACTTAGCTTAAAGATTTATTTTACAAGCAAAAAAAAAAATATTTATCTTAAACCTTAAAAAATCATAAAATTAATTAAGCTATTTAATTCGACTAATGTAATATTTTACAAAGATTAATAAAAGTACACTAATGACATTACCTTAAATTTAAGAAAAATTTACTAAAAAAACTTTCTTATATTTTTTTAAAATAGTTTAATTAGGTATCTATAAATAAATTGTAAAATTTTTGTAAAAAATATATATATTCCCTAATATAACACCTTTCAAGTAAATATTGCTTTAAAAAATCCTTGTATCTTATCTACAGGTAAAACCCCATCACTAAAAACCCGAGCTGAAGTGAAAAGTGGAGTGAAAACTGGCGGTTTGAGGACCCACCAGCGTTCAGGAAAACTGAAACGGCTTTTGTTCGCCTGAAACGAATTCAATTTAATTCAATTAGTTTAAATAACATTTGGCCTGCTCCCCCCACCAGTCTCACACTCGAATGGTTTTTGTTTAGCGCCGCGAAACAAGTTTGGTGCCTTTGGGCCCACACTGCGTATACGCGACGTAACCGGAAACGGCGCTTAAAAACTCAAAGAATGGCAGCGGCCTTCCGCATCTCCGGTTTCCGCCATTGATGTTGCCGATGGAGTTGGATGGTGGACAAGTGGACGGCAGATTTGCTGCAACAACAATTCAATTAAGCGCACTAATTGAATGGCCGACGCGTCGCCAGCGGATCGAATGGCAGTGTACAACTATTGGATTGAATTGAAAGCTGATGCCGCCCACCCAATGATGATCGATTTTGCGGGCACCCTGCGTTCGTGTTTAATTAATATTTGATGGCAGACAGACACAATTTTTAACTCTGCCGAGATTGTAATACTTTTATTCTTTTTTCCATACAGCTTTCCATACAGTGATATTATTCGAGGTCCTACATTCGACTGCAACATCTTTTTGTGCAGAGGGGAAAAAAGTGCTGTGTGAAATTATGTGAAAGGGGATTAAACATGAGAAGTAAGTGCATTTATACTGGTTTCGTATTTTATTTTCAGTTGAAATTGAAATATAACAAAATGTGTTATGTTAAAAATGTTTTATGTAAATTTTAACTAAATAATTTAATTTTTTTTATCCAATTCTAGTTTTTTTTACCGAAATTATCTCTTTTTAAATATTTTATATAATTCTTGTTTAAATAAGTATTTAAAATTATAATTGAAAAATTTTATTACACATTTGTAATATTTATTTTATTTGAAATCTAAATTAAAATGTTTTAAATTTATTATAATTATATTAAAACATACAATAAATAATTTTTGTAATTTTCTAGTTCTAGTTTACTTTACCGAAATTCTCTTTCCCAGTGTATTAACACCCGCGAACCGGATTCACCGCATGCACATTTCTTTCTCATATGCCACACATATGGTCACCATATGCCGGTCGGTCGGTCGTCCACTCCATCATTTACTCACCTTCAGCGTGTCCACCTGACGGGCGCACTCCGCCAGCTTGGACATTCCGCTCTGCAGACGAGCGATGCGCTCGGCGAATTCGCCGTTTTTGTCCACCAACAGTTTGCGGTAGAGGAAAATGTATTCCAGAAAAGTTTTCGGGGTCGTGTAGTTGTAGCGTTTTTCATTCTGCAGATAAATTCTCGATATCTGATTCACGGTACCGTGGACGTAAGCCATAAAGCAACCGATGGGCGGCACCAGTGCGGGCTGCATGGAAATTTCGGGGTTGGGGCGAAAAAGGAAAGAGGATGAAGGACATGGGTCAGGTCAGTCTGCTGTCGTCCTGGTGCCGGGGACTTAAAGTGTCCGGCGTGACGGTTTGCAGTTGTAAATTGTGCCCGACAGACGCATAAATAAAGGGTACAGTACACTTGGAAAATAAATCAGACTTTGGAAAATAATATTGAGAAATACAAAAACTAACAATAGAGTAAGGTATTTTTGTAACAATTTATAGAAATTATTCCGAACACTTTTAAAAACATCGCAAAATTGAAAAAATCAAGAAAAATTGTTTAGAGGTGTCTAAAAGTATGCAACAATATACTGAGAATTCGAAAGTTTCGAAAATAAACTAAACAATAAACAATATTACTAATAAAATTTTGGGAGTTACCTTTTTAAAATCTTGTATTTTCTTTCTATAGCAACATAATTATTTAAAAATTTCTTTTTGTGTACTAACCTCCAGAATGCCGCTGATTTCGTTGAGAAACTTCTGGGAAACGGACTCCAGGGCGCTTTTGGGCCACTCATGGAACCAGTCGATGGCCGTCCGGCTGATGATGGCCGGGAATTTGCGAGCCCGAACCCGTAGCGTCTGACCCACCGGCGAGAAGCAGAGCACCACTTTGAGCAGCCGCCTTACTTTCTCCACGAAATACCTCCAACAGTTCTCCTTGGTGTCTAGCGTACCGCTTTGCTTCACTTCGTTGCGAATCCCGTTGGTGATGGTGTCCAGCTGGTCGTCGTTGAAGAGCTCGGGTATCTCGCCGGAAGCCAGTAGATCATTAATGAGCATCAGGACCGATTCATCGGGAATCTGTGCATCCGAGATGAGGAACACGGAGGCCAGATTCTTGAGGCCCACCTTCATGTAAAGGCTGCCGATTTCCTCTCGCATATCTAGGAGACCAAATCCTCGCTTGATTTGGATCTGGGAAACATTAAGCGAGGATATGAAGGCAGCCAAACGGGCCAGGGTTTGCTTCCCTGAACCTCCAACTCCTATGAGCAGGGCATTTCCCCGGGGACTCTCGAGAATGCGATTAATGCTGGGAGTAACAAATAAATTAAAATATTAACAAAATGAATAAAATTACTAAGCTTTTGAAATATTTTTTTAAAGTAAAAATATGTGTCTAAAAGTATGCAGTGAATAAATTATAAGGGTTTGTCTGAACAGATTTTTGTTTTAAATTATATTGTTGCATACTTTTAGGCAATTATTTTGACGTTTTAAGAATCTATCTATTTCTTAATTTAGTCTTAATTTACCGGCACACGTGTATCATGGCATCTTCAAACAGAACCAGGTTCATATAGCCCACCACCTCATTATAACTGGCCTGGGCCTCTATAAGCAGTTGGTAAAGAGAGTCCCAGCTTTTCAAAGGCATATATTTCTGGTCCACCAGAGACTGGGCAAAATGACTGTATATTAGAGGCTCTGCAAACACAAAGTCCTCGTCAAAGTCCTCAAAGTCCTTCTTGAATATATCTCGAATGGAGGACTTAAACGATTTGATATCATAGGGATCCACCAAGCGATCGTGATAGACCCGATAGGCCTCGTGCACATAGAGTCGTATGAGTTCCGAGGGTCTGCTGCAGATGGTTCCGCCATAGCCCGATGCACCTCCTCCACCCGCCGCTGCCGGAGCACCCACGCTGTTCATGAGACCCTGATAGATGCCCGTGAGATCTCGCAGATTGAACAGATAGTGGAACTTCAAGGCGGTGGGCAAAAAGGCATACTCCACTCTGCGATGCAAGGCAATGCCCACTTTCACAAGCAGACTTCCTATGGAACGAATCTCCTTGCTGAATCCTTGGGCGGCGCTCTCCAGGTGACTACTCAAAATGCTGCCATAGATGTGCTGCAGCACATCCTCGCTAGGTGGAGCCACCGAGAAGACACAAAAGTGTCGCTGCAAACGCGGATCGATGGTAAAGGAGCCGGCCGTGGGATTCATGCAGGCGGCAAACTGACAGTGCCGAATGTCCTTCAGCTGCAACCGCTGGCGGTCGTACCTGCACAGAAAAAATGATTGAAAAATTATCAAAATGATATGTGCTGGTTAATATGGTATTTTTCATATCATTTTGATATGAATAAGGATTATGTTCTAAATTTGGCAGTATTTTTATAACTTATATGAAATGATAAAATATCAAGTTGATATGTTTGAATCATAAATTTGACATTATTCGGCGTCTAATTGATATGAAATCTGGTATAAATTACCCTATTTCGTATCAAAATTTATTTTCTGTGTGGTCGGAAGCTCAGATGAGAGAAGTCACCTCTAAATCACTGCACTTGACACCACTCACCATTGCCTGTAGTCCATGAACTGCCGCATAATCGTGTGCGGTTGAACGGTGCCATAGGCATCCACCTCCGGCATGTTCAAATCGTTGACAAAGTAGACGAGCCGTCGCTTGGGGCCACTGGGTGCATAGCAGCGACCCGACTTCTTCTCCAGCGGACGGTCGAGCATCTTCTGGAATATCTCCGAGCTGGTGTAGAAGTTAAAGTGCGTGGCCTGAACGGTGGTCAGCAGGGGAGTCGCCGAGGAGGAGGCCTTCCGTCGCACTGCCGGAGGATTCACCACCGATTGGTGCTGCTGACTTTGGCTGCTGTCACCTGCTAAGGTTACCGACGATGACACGGCCACCTCGAGGAGCTCCTGGTCGCCGGCATACTGGCTGAACAGCTCCCGGAAGATGGCACCCTTGCCGCAGCCCGAGTTGCCCACCAGCATGCAGGCCAAATTGCGGTCGATGAGCAGCTTGAGGAAGTAAACCAGCCGCGTGGTCTCCGCAGTGGAAATCAGCACGTTCTGGGAGGAATTATATAATAATTGAGATTAAATGGAGTATATTTGGGTGTCAAAAAAATAGAAGGATTTTTGAAATCACTTTTAAATTTTAAAATAGGTGTCCAAAAGTATGCAACAATATATTTTATCCATTATTTACAGCATACTTTTGGACACCTATTGTAAAATTTAAAAGGACTTAAAAAGTGAGCTACAAAACTATCGATATTTTCGATATTTTGACAAAATTGATTAGATAAAATCGATGTTTTGAAGATAAAACACAAATTAAATATCGAGAAATAGCAAACTTTCGATATTTTTTCAAGCTCTACCTAAAAACTTAAGTGATTTCTGTGGCAATCCCTATGAATTATTTTTTTTAACCCACCTGCAATGGCGTTTCCGAGTCAATTTGCCCCTCGAGCGGCTCCTGGGCGGCCAGTTCCGACCAAGGCTGAAACTTTAGGGTCTTCACATTTAGCTGATGGTCGAAAACGGTGCCCTGGCTGGGCAGCTTGATGTCCTTGAACTCTCCCGTCCACCACTTGTGGAATTCCCGGTGCCAGTCGATTATAACATCCTGACTCAGGGCAGATCCAAAGCTCCAAACGGTGGCGTACACAAAGATCGTTTCCAGGGCCAAGACCATCGCTTCGTGCGAGAGTTCACCGTGGTGTAAATTATGAGGATTTGCTGCTCCCACGGCTCCACTTCCCCTACCCCGTCCATCGCCGTTGCCCTCATCGCCGCTGTCCAGGAGGCACTCGAGCAGGTGGCAGGTCATCTGGATCATGGCCATGTCCGTAATGGGAGTGATTCGCCGGAAGTCGCGCTGCCGTTGCATCAGGCAGGGAAAGTACTTCTCAAACAGCGTGGTCAGGATGCCCCGCTCAATCATGTCCACACGGGTCTCCAGCCAGGAGGAGACGTAGCTAAGGGAATGAAGAGGAATATTTCTTTTAAAAATATATCAATATATCAAAAATAAAAATGTTAAATTTTTAAAGAAAATGTGAAAAAATAATAAGGAATCTTATAACAATAAAAGTAAGTTATATACTAAACAAATATTCGTCCTTAATTTTAGAAATTTAAAATCAATGGTTTTGTGAAAAATTAAAAATGAAATTCTATGGAATCTAATAACAATAAAAGTAAGTTATTTACTCAGAAGAAATATTGGTCTTTAACTTTAGAACATTTAAATCAATGGTTTGTTATTCCTTAAAATTAATAAAACTATCTTCTTTTAAAGAAGATTTTGTCTCATATGTAAACAAAAATCGCCAATAACTCAACGTTTTGACAGTTCATGGTGAATAATTTTTTTAAGTTTATCTTCAGTACTCACGGTGACCAGCCCAAGTCCTGTGGGTTGATGTACAGAATCCCGGCTCTGGAAACAGTGGCCGGAGTGGCGGCCTTTAGATGTCCCACCTCGAAGAGCAGGCGCATTTCGCGCTTCAGGGATATCCTCTCATTGCTGGCCAAAGTCAGAATCTTATTGTCGTCCATCAAGGTGTTGAGACTCTCGATCCACATGGGATCTATGTCGCCATCGAGCACAATCCACTTGGGATTGCCCGGCGGCATATTGGCCTGCTCCCTCATAATGGAGGAGAACAGCCCGTCCTTCCATTCCCTCGTTGTGGGATTAACAATACCGAAGAGCTCATCGTTGGACAGAGCTTTCGGGTTGAGCACATGACACACTGGCTTCAGCTTCTGGATGCGATAGGTTTCGCGCAGGGTTTGCCAGATCTTGGTCTTCCCCGTCCCGGCATTGCCCACTATGAACACCGAGTGTCGCACATCCAGAAGTTCCTGCAGCTGCACCACCTTCATGAGGAAACCCTCCTCCGGCTGCAGTTTAATCTCATTCACCGCCCTTCTGATGGTCTTTTCGAACTCAAAAACCCGCTTGCGGGGAACATCCAAGGCGGGAAAGAGGTCCCCAATAAGACCCATAAATATGGGCACATCCTCGGTGACAATCTTGGGTATATTGAAGTCGCGCAGCGCTCGCATCAAAACCTGATCCTCCGGTCGACTGTGGTCATCTCGCTTGAGGGTCCCTGCCACCACCAGTACCGACTTAATGGCCCGCAGACCCCAATCGTAGTGATCCTGCTTGGACAACAGCTCCTTGCACAGCGTGTACAGGGTGATAAATTTTCGGGCCAGCAGACGGGCATCCTGGAAGCCCTCGGCCATTAGCATAATCTCACAAATCAAGGCGAAGTCCGGCACAATCATGGCGCAGGGCCGGAACAGGGTCTTCAGGTTCTCCGGCAGCTCCGTGCGGCCCGCGTAGCCGGGATTCATGGTGATAAAAATTCCAACCGACGGCTCCAGCGAAATGCGCTCGCCCATAAAGATAAATTGGGTTTTATGCATCTGTAAACAGAGGAGGAGAAGGCGAGGTCCAGGAAAAGTAATCAATGCAGGATGGTGGACGGTGGATGGTGCATACACAGAAAAAAACAAGAAAGGAAGCTACCTTCGGCCAGCCGAAGCTTATATACCCTTGTAGATAAAAGAATACTCACTCGGTGCAGTTCCAGGGATTCCAGATTCAGCGTTTCGATTTATTTCAATTTTGTTTTTAAGTAGTCAAGAATCAAAACGCCTACTTCCTACAAAGTTACAATGAATTTTCTTATATTTGTTTGGGTGCCTTAAGATATAGTGGTCCGATCCGGCTGGCTCCGACATATGTACTACCTGCAATAGAAAGAAGACCTTCGGGAAAGTTTCATCGCGATAGCTTTAAAACTGAGAGACTAGTTCGCATAGAAACGGACAGACGGACAGACGGACAGACGGACAGACGGACAGACGGACAGACGGACAGACGGACATGGCTAGATAGACTCGGCTATTGGTGCTGATCAAGAATATATATACTTTATGTGGTCGGAAACGTCTCCTTCACTGCGTTGCAAACATCTGACTGAAATTATAATACCCTCTACAAGGGTATAAAAATTAAAATGAAATAGGGTCAATTTTACCTTATTTCATATCAAACCGACATCAAACATATCAATTTGATATTTTATCATATCAAATACCAAATTTAGTATTTTTTAAAAACAAATAATGTAAAATAACATAAACATAATCTTTGTTCATATCATTTTGATCTTTAATAAATATAAAATTGACCAGAGCATATCAATCTGATCTTGTGTCAATTTTTTTTATCTGTGTAGTGGGAAAAGAGAGAGACTGGGTGACTGAAATCAATTTGCAAGCGGACAGCGTACCTTTATCGCCTCCTGTATGGTCTTCACCTGGACAGCGACCACCGACAGGACCTCCACGCAGATGCGATTGAACTCGTCAAAGCAGCCCCAGGCTCCCGTCTGGGCGAGTCCTTTGTAAATGTTGCCACAAGATTTGTAGTCCATTTGCTCCGAGCAGTTGAAGACATAAACCATTACGCCCAGGGCGCGTCCCAGATCCTTGGTGGTTTCCGTTTTCCCAGTTCCCGCGGGTCCAGCCGTTGCACCGGCCAGCCGCAATCGCAAGGACTAAGAGGAAACGAAAAGGTGGCATATATGTAAATTGCTTGAAACATTTATTTTCCACTAACGAGTTGTTTAATTTGCCACTGCCGAAGGCGAAGAGGGTAGTTCTACCACAAAACTGATGATCGCCTTGTTAATGGCTCCTTTCGCTGCGGTTTTATGCAATCACCTCCACTCAATTCAAATTTATTTCTCAATTCTCTGGGATTTGCTGCCTCAAGGATGTTGTTGAATTGGCAGAAGTGTGTTTATTGAAAATACTACAAGTTATCCCAGGCTAAGCAGCTATTTGCCAAACAAAATTGTGGTTTTGTAAGAGCTTTTAAGCTGCAATTTAAAAATTATTTATGATTTTAAATGAACTAATTGTTAGCAAGTTTGACCTTAGGAGCTTTTTCTGTCAAGCAATGCCACAAATTTGTAATTTATAGTATTTACAAAATTTAAAGAAAAGAAATTTAATATTTATCATAAACATAACAAAAAAAATATTCATTTTTATTTCGAAATTATTTTATTTTTTTGAATGTACCTACTAATTGTTAGCTAGTTTGGCCCTAGGAATTTTGTCTGTCAAACTATGCCATAAATCTCTGCAAAAATTATTTATTCCGATAATAATGACCTAAAGCATTTCTAGAGCAGGGGAAATTGAAATGTAATACGAGAATATCATAATTTCAATTACCCATTTATCAAAAATAATTTGATGCGATATTTTACTGTTTAATGCAGAATGCACAAAATATGAACATGTTCATGTTTTGACATCTATGACAGCTTCTCCCCCGATATTAGTTTCACACCTTAGTTTCGGGCCAACACATTTCGACACATTTTTCCAACAATATGATTCGTAGGTGTCAGAGAGATAACGTCCGATTTGGCAGTCGAGCATGAAATGTGCGTGCTGTCTGTCGGAGCAAAAATCTGCGCTAATTGCACACGCAAATACATTTAATTTATTGAATTTCCGCCCCTTTTTTCCCTTTTTTTCCCTGTCACTCAAATTGAGTTTTTGTCTTTAACTAGCTGCCTGGTTTTAATATATTCAAGCCACGCGACATTGGCTTTCAATTATTCAAAGCCGGGCTACATTTGTAGCGGATTTCCGCTGCTAAATCCATTAACGCCCACTGGCAGGAGGCGTTGAAAGGGTTTATATTTAATTCAGCAGGACTCGTTAGAAGGGATTTTGCGCGATAACTACAAAGTGAAAGTGATTTTCTTTTGAATAAATTAATATTACCTTACATAAAAAAAAATGTGATATGAAACGACGATCGATTTTACATTATGTGGTATCAAATTGACTTGATAACCTCGAAATGTAAGCAACAGGGCGTTTCGAATTTCTTATATGTGTTTCTCCCTCCCACTCATTGAAATTTAGGCGCTATCTCGCTCTATTTCGAAATTTCCACTCTTTTTCAAAGTCATAGAATCTACGAGAGGTAAAAACGACATGCCAGAAATTTACCAAGCGCATATCGATTTGACCGCGTCGTGTTTTTTTTGTGTGAACCTCACCTGAGTTAGCGTGATATAACAGCGATCCGTTAAAGGGGTAATAACTAGTCGCGATGTATTCCCCAGATATTCGTAGGCATATCGGAACTCAGCATCGCAAATATTGGCAAAGCAATCCTCATCGCCACCGCCACAACTGATGGCCGTACTGGCCCTCCCACTCGAGCTTCCCGCCTGGTCATCGTCCCACCGGTGACGCAACTGACTTTGCCACTGGAAGGCCAGCGAATTGTCCACCTTGGAGGCTATGATCTTGCCCACCACATCACGCGAATGCACATCAATCGTGCAAATGGTCATGATCTTTTGCCGATCCCCCGGGGAAAGTTCCCCCAAGAGGAGATTAATCAAGGCATTCAACTGAGCAATCTGTCGCTTGTGCAGCTCCTTCATCACTCCCTCGTAGCCTTCCTCCATGCAGCCAAAGGATCGATTGACATCCGCCGTCCAGCTGATTTGGCTGCAGCATAGGGCCACCTGGGCAGGCCAATCGTAGAGCCAGAGTTCCCGAGGTTTCTCCCCAAAAACCCGCAGAGCCCGTCGAAATAACTCATGCAGGGTGCTCCTCATCTGCTGGATAATCGCACGCAGCCAGAGTTCCACTCGCCCGCCACAAACAATAAACGCAGGTTGATCCGGATCCGGGGAAACGAAAGGCACATACTCATCGTTTTCCTTGGAGTGCATGCCCAAGGCATTGGGCGTATTGGTTTCGTATTGCAGCCGTAGGATCGAATCGAAAAGTTTGATTAGATGTCGGTCGATTACCTGCGGATTGTTGCCATTGGAAAGGATGTCCAACAGGTCGGCGGCGGAGATGAAGTAGAAGCGCGGGAAGGCTAGTCGCTTGGTTTCCAGGTAATCATTCAGGGCCTTTTCGCAAATCGCCAGGCGCTGTTGCAGCTGCAGCAATTGGGCAAGTACATCCTCGTGGCGCAACACCACCTGCATGACCACGCGAACCTCACTAACCTAAAGAAAAATTTGATTTATGGCAAAAATAAATACACAAAAATCACTAAAGTTCTAAAATCATTTGTAAAGGTGTCTAAAAGTATGCAGCAGAAATTATTTTTTGTTACATATATTTTGTTATTTATTGCATACTTCTAGGTATATTTATAAAGGATCTTAAGTCTTTATAGTTTTGAAACCACTTTTAAAGGTGTCTAAAAGTCTAAAAGAATATATTTTTCTGATCTATGACTCTATGCTATTTCTTTCATACTTTTACAAATATTTATAAAGGATCTTTAATCCCTAGAGTTTTGAAATCACTTTTATAGGTGTCTAAAAGTATGCAACAGCATATTTTTACTGTCTGACCACTTTATGTGTTGCATTCTTTTAGACACCTTTATATATGATTGTAAATATTTTCATAACTCTACTTTAACTCACCTTAGCTAGAAGTTCCGTAAAGTCCTTATCAATCCGCTCAAAGTTCGCCGCATCCGCTGGCAACTGGGCGCGAATGTCCGCCGATCCAATGAAAATGCATTCCAAGTATATCCACTTCCTTTGCACCTCGAACCAGTTGACAATCAGCGTGTCTATGCCGCCCAGGACCTTTTGCCAGTGGCCCAGCTTATCCAGGAGATACTCAATGTGTTTCGAGGTGGAGATATTCTGCAGTTGCATTTGGTTGTCGTCCAGCGTTTCGATCAGTTCCTCAGATACCTTGAGCAACTGGATGCTGGGACGCGTGTGGTGCTGTTCCAGCTCGAATTCCAGATGGGACCACGTGGCCCTAATCTCGTCCAGCACTTTGGTCACCGTCATCTCCTTGATGGCCCGGTCCACCGTGTTCTTGATGTCCTCCTCGTGATGCTGCAGCTGCAGGGTCAGCAGCTGGGCCAATCTGGTGGATTTGTTGCATTTGAAGGAGAGCTGTGGTGTGGAAGGCACATATTACGCATACGCCGAGTGGGTCTAATTACTCAGCAATTTGAAATTTGAATACATTTCAACGGCTTCCAGAATATCTTGGCCCGTTGAACAAAGGACAGGGGAATCAATATTAATTCATAGCCAAAACACTAAGCTACAGCGTTTTAGTTCGTGTCTGCTAAACATTAAAAGTAAATAAAAATTGTATACCTATGAACTCAAAATTTTAAAATATTGTTTATAGATTTAAAATTTAGATAAATTGTTACATTTTAATTTCGCTATTTCAGTTAGACCTAGAAAATACTATCTCAAATAAATACTTAATATTTATAGAATTTTGTAGACTAGTGTCATGCCAGCTAAGATTTTCTCTGTTGGTCTGGATACACATTAAAAATTAATAATCTTAACAAAAAATATTCAATCTTTAAAAAATACTAAATATTTTTAGTACTTTGTAGACAAGTGTAAGCGATGGCTTTGAATGTCAGTTAAGATTTTCTCCGTTGGCCTGGACACACATTAATAATCACAAATTTTGACTGAATTTCGGCAAATTTAATTAACAGTACTGAGCAATGCATTCCTTTGTCGCCTCCAGCTGTGCGAGCCAAAAGCACCGATAAGCCAATTGTTAGGTAGTATTATGTATAATGGGAGCCAAGCCAAGCCAAAGGCCACAGTAACTGGAAACTGGAGGCATGTCGTCGCTCAACAATGCACATAATCCGGAAACCATGAATGACCGACCGACCGACGGTTGGCTTGTGGCAGTTTTCTGATTGGGCTTAGATGGGCATAAATGCGATAACTACATTTTAATTCATGATTTCGATGAAACTGATTTAGTTTGGATTTTCATTTACATTTACACACTTACCAGCTCCTCCATGGAATGCTCTCCACTCAGCTGAGCATAAAGAGATGAGCGAGAAATTGTTGATTAGATTTTAGTAATTAATGCGACAATGATCAGGGATTTAGGAATCTAATTGCTGAGATATGTAGTTTGTCCCTTTTGTTTGGGCAAATTACGGGTTGGAAATCCCCATGTGTTCATATCCTGGGAGCCTGCAGCTCCTGAGGTTTTCACATCACCCCCGCTAATGTGTTTGCCCAATGTGCGCGCCATTGTAAACTTGGCACAAAGACACATCAGCCAGCGGGCAGAATGCCGGCTCCATTCTATTGTAGTCCTTGCTGTACCGCCGCTCAATCATTTGGAAGCACACACAAACGCGACACCCGAATCCCTGTATTATGCCCACCTTTGTCAGCTGCATCAGCTCCATCCAGTGGCGCTCGGTAATTGCTGGATTCTGCAGCTCGGTGATGGCCCTCAGCGAGGCGACCAGTTCCCGTAAAACGCCCACGATGTGGACATAGGGCGCCCACTCGCGGATGCACTTGTCCAGGGTGCGCAGGTCGCGGGTGAACTTCTTGCACTCGTGCTCCATGTCATCGGTGTCGATGAGCAGCCAGGGCGTCGCCTGCCAGTCCACGATGCACGACTCGATGACGCGCACAAAGTCCCACAATTGCTAAGGGCATTCAGGATCAAGTATTAGTTTGGTTATGAATAACCTGTTTATGATTAAGACATTTCATGTCTTTTTTCTGTTTCTTTAAAAAGTTAAGTTATTAATACTTTCAACTTTATCATCTTTAACAAATGTAAACACAGCTTGCACTGCTTCTAGTATTTTCTTATAATTTTTTATGGTGCTATTTGAAAAATTTCTTTTACGTTTCGACAGGCATTAATAAGCACAACAAAATAGCAAATAAGAAAAATATAAGTGTTTGCTAGTTCGTTGTACTCATTAATCTAATTTTTCCGATGATAACAAGGAAATGTTATTTATGTAAGAAGTTCGGCTGGACTACATCGACTATCATATACCCATAACTCAGATAAGGAAGAGCGAGGGAGATGGAGATATGCATGCTGCAAAGCTGCTTGAATTTATTATCCAATATTTGCTTATAACTTTTTAATGTATGATTCGATTTAAAAAATTTCTTCTACATTTTCATAGGTATTGATAAACACAACAAAATAGAAAACAAAATATAAAATAATAATATAATAATAATAATAATAATAATAATAATAATAATAAAAAATCTTTGACATTTCCAGATAATATTTATTTAAGAAGTTCGGCTGGCTGAGGATAAATGACATGAACATGTACATAGACCTACCTTGACCCTTCTCAGTTCGACCTCGCACAGTTGCAGTGTTGCGGAATCTGGTGGCTGGATGTCGAGGAGTCGGGCCCAGCGGATATAGAGACGCTGCTGTCGACGGAAGCGGTGCAGCCGGACAAAGACCTCGTCGCAGACATCGTAAACTTGGGGGCAGGGCACTCGAAAGAACTAGAAGATTAGTTAAGATCCCAGTTAAGTTAAGATTATTATAGTTACATGAAATAATTATAGAATATATAAGTGATAAAGTACCGGCATCTTTTGGAACTGGCGGGCATAATGCTGCATGTGGCAGGTGTGCAGACCGATGAGAGCGGCCACGCGTTGTTGCTGATGGAAGCGAGTGTCCTGCAGCGCCTCCTGTTTAACGGTACTCGACTGCTTCAGCTGCTGCCACTGCTGCGGCAACTGCTCGATTCCGCGCAACAACTGCGGCTCGAACTCCACATTGTAGGTCTTCAGCAGACCCATGATGTCCTTCAGCGGCTTGAACACGTTATCGGCATACGGCTCCCGCTGTCGAATCTCCGACATGATGGCCAAAACGCGGAGCAGGGCGGAAAAGTCCTGGCGGGCGATATGCAGCTGCAGCGTCTCGTGACCGCGAGCAATGAATGCATTCAACTCCTGGAAAAGAAAAAGAAGTTTACCGCGATTTAAGGTGTTCCCAAACTTTTTCAGTGAGCAATAAGTGCTTCTGGGGCCAAATAGTTAAAAGCCAGTTAAAGCCAGTTATTTATTTTCGAATATTTCACGGAAAAATACTTTCTATTAGTTTGATTATTATTTTTACTTTAAAGTAACTATGTACCCAATTTGCAATAAAACATCGGAAGAAAATGTAATATTACTGCAATAAAAAGACATAAAATTGTATAGTAGATATTTTAAAGTAAAAATGTTTAAAGTTAAATAAAATTTTGTTCCTTATTTATTAAGAAATATTTAGATCTATTTTGCAGTTTCAATTATTCCTGGACTAAATAAACATAATTTATAATTGATTTATAATATTTTTTAATTTCATGGATTTAATATCATAAAATTTCCTGAGGATGGGTAAAATTAAGTATTTTTATTATTATTATTTATTTATTTCTTACCTTAAGAGTTCCCTGGACGTATCGGAGTAGCCATTTCTTGCAAAGGTGCGACCACTTGCAGGCCAGATTGAGTAGGCCATACTTGAGTGGCTTGATATCGAGGGCTAGCCATCCGTTGATGCACTCCCGGTTTTCGCACTGGTCGATGGCGTCGTGCACCTCGTTGTAGTTCTCGATCTGTGGAACATCCGGTAGGTTAGGGAGTGACAACTTCCGTTTGACTTGGTCCTACCCTAATTTATTTGCTAATTTGCCACACATGGGTGTGTGTTTTGTATACACACATGTGTGGACAGGCTAAGCCCCTATATGCGATGTGTATATATTATAGTATTTGTACCGCTGCCGTCGGTTTATTAAGCGCACCAGCTGCGCCCAGAGGCAACTCAATGGCTAGTCATAAATAAAATGCCGGCCAGTGATTTTTCGTGCTCTATTCCAGGCGCAGGGTATCACTGAATTTATATCTTGAATAAATTATTGAATACTTTTTTGAAAAACTATACATAAATTTACAATTTTAATTTAAAAAGTTTCCAATATTGTCTTAAAATTATTAAAATGGTGTCGAAAAGTATGCATTGAAATGAATCCTATTGGAAATTTTTTGTTGCATACTTTTAGACACTTTTATAAATGATTTAAAACCTCTTATAACCTTTGTCTAAATATAAGTAATATCTAATTATGAATTTACCATTTTTACACCCAACATCCTAGAATTCATAAATTTCTAAAACAATACCATTACTAAATCAGATAGCCACTAAATATCATGTCCTTTTCTATCCCACCATTGGCTTTCTCTCAGGAGGCTAAATATAAACGTGTTTAGCATTTGCAAAATAAAAGGTTCCGCCCCGCAAAAAGATGAAATGTTTAAGATCAGACCATTCAGACTTCGTTGCTTTCCTGTTTGGCCATGTCTTGCTGGCGAATTTCCCTTATTTTATTGGGCAACACCCAATTTCACGCCATGTCCGTGCACTTTGACCATGATTTGTTGTTTAGCCTCTGTGTGTGTGTGAGTGCGAGTGCCTTTTGGGTAATTTATTGCATACTTTTCGGGGCGTTTGATAATTGTTTAAAGAAAATATTACGCATACGTCGGCGATTTGCCTGCTGTGCTGCAGGAAGTGGCTCCCAATTGCCCCCGAACATAAGTCAACGACGCCATGCGGTGGTTAAGCAGTTGTTTAGTGTTTTGCTTTGTTTTGTTTCGGGGTTCTGTATATTTTTTCTGTTCTGTATATTTTTTCGTTTGCCCTGGTCAGTTGCCACACATTTGACCCTAAATGGTTGGCATTTATCAAGCGTTATTGGTCTCAGGGGCTACATGGCGTAAATTGTGTGGCTGCCAATTGAGCAGCAGCCCAGTCTGCGTCCCCGATCCTTCTCCTTCCACATCCTTATCTGCTCCTCCCGAGTTGCTGGGTGTGAGTGTCGCCGGCACTAAAGCTGTTGGCATTCAGTGCCCTGGGGTCTCCGGCTCTCCTTGTTTGCCTTTTTCCAACTCACCTCCTTTTTGAACGTCTCCATGATGGCATAGCCGCCGGCGCTGACGTGGTGCGTCTGCTCCCTGGCCGTTTGCATGCAGGCGGCCAGCACGTCGCCGCTCTGCTGGGTCCAAAGGAATGCATAGGCCTGGAATTTGGCAGCATATGCCGCTGCCGCCTCAACCGTATCCGCCAGGGCATCGCGTATCGCCTTCTCCAGCATTTCCAGGCTATCGACTGGGATGTACAGAGAGGAATATGGGAAAAATAAGTGAAAAACGGTAGATAACAGACAATCAAGACTTTATAGCGAGTAATGGTATGCGGAACCTTGTATATCCTAACAGGGGAGTTTACAAATTAACAAGTTTTTATACAGAAACTCTAACAAAAAAGGAAAATAAATTTATTTAAATTTACGTTTAATGAAGCTTTTTGAACTATCTGAGAGAATATTGAAGACAAATTATTCCAATACATTTCGAAAACATTTAAAATTTAATGAAACTCATTTCATTCGAGAATATTTTATATCAGGGGTTTTAAAATCATTTTTAAAGCTGTCTATAAGTATGCAATAATGTATTTATAGAGCAAAGGTCTTTCAAATTAATCACAAATCAATGCAATATTTTTTATAGCATACTTTTAGACACCTTTAAACATTTTCCTATCAAATAAATGGATGCTTTTAAAGGGTATACAAAAATGCAACAACTTATTGGTGTTACGAAAACTATTTAAAGCTGTCCAAAAGTATGCTGTAATTTATTTCTTCTAAATGAATAAAAATCAATGCAATATTTTTTATAGCCTACTTTTAGACACCTTAAAAAATATTCCTATCAAATAAATGGATCCTTCAAAAGGGTATACAAAAATGCCACCACTTATTGGGGTGTCGAAATCCATACCAGTGCATTCCATTTTTTGACTATACGCCTTGGCGGCTGCCAGCAGGTTGAATTGCACGGCCTGCGGCTTCGATTCCTCCTGCTCCTGTCCCTTCAGTTCCTGTTCCCGATCCCGATTCGGTTTCTCTGGCTCCTGTTCGTCGTCTTCATCATCCTCCGACAGCGCATTGTCAGCCACAATTCTTGGCATGCAGTCGCATGTCTGTTTTATATCGAGCAACAGCTGCTCCACAATTTGTTGAAAATTATTTTCCACACTTGCATCAAAGGCGGGCGAAAAGCGTATTTCCGTTTCCGTCAGCTCCAATTTAACTTCGAAGAGTGGAGCATCGTTGATGGCTGGCGGGGCTCCCCCAGATAGTCCTCCTGGTACTCCTCCTCCTCCTCCTGTCGCCTGTGGCGTTGTGATTTGCTGTAGGACTAACCTTGCCATGCTGGCTGAAGCACCGAGATCCACTGGAATTGTTGCTGTTGTCGTTGCCTTCGCTGTTGCTGTTGCTGTCATTTCTTTGTACAAATACTCTAAACTGAATTACACGGCGTATGAGTAATGTGAAAATTAAATTTAGTGTTCAGTTTGTTTTGCAGCTTATTTCGTTTGCAGGTCTCAGTCACGCCCCCTTTAGGGACTGAACCCCCTTCCAAACCCCCTTCTGAACCCCTTATTTGTCTGACGTTGTCTGCATGCAATCACGAAAAGTGCCGCTAAGTGAAACATGCAATTGACGCATGAATGCTCGGCCCGCGGCAATTTGTTGTTGCCATTGTTGCCCCCATATTGCTGCGGTCGTGAAGTGTGTGGTTGTTGTTGTCAGGTGTTGCAGGTGTTGCTGGTGTTGCACTTCTGCCGTTCTGCAGGTGTCTTTCATTTTTGCGGTTGCAGTTGTGCGATTTCGTGCTCATTTACTTGATTAGTTCTGATGAGACATGAAAGGAGCTGCCAGCGTGCCAAAATGTAATGAAATAGTTAGCTGCCCTGGCAGGTGAAGGAGTGCAATTGATTGGCGATGAGTGCTACTGATAAAACTGATCATAAACATGATGATGATGATTATGATGATGATAGAAATTTAAGTCAGGCTGTCTAGAAACCTTATTCTCATTGCCTCGCGAACTTCGCGGCATATTAACTCATCCACGCTGGCCAGGTATTTGTTGTACTGCCGCCGCTGCTCCTTGGGAAATTCACGAACAAACTAAAAATAATTATTTAATTCTTAATAATCAGGTATTAATTATAAAATAATACAAATTTACCAAAAAAAAAAACTTTAAAATATTTTTTAAAAATGTCTAACATTATTAATTTTATCATTAAATTTGAAAGCAACAAATAATAAGAAATAACATTAATTCTCAGAAGTTTTCCACTTCAAAATAAGGATCGATATTACCGGAATCCCAAAACCCTACACTTAATTTTTATAGTTAAATGCGAATCCTACTCTTAAATAATGGCTACTGATTATTACTCACCTCCTGAACACTCAGATCCCTGGAGTACAGCTGAAACTCCTGGGCCTCATAGTTGAAGAACAGACAGAAGTTGGCAATCAGCAGGCGATTGAGCAGCATCTTGGTCTCGTCGCACTGCAGCAATCGCAGACGCACTCGGTCCTGCTGGTGGCGCAGATCGAGGAGATTGCGACCGTATAAGCTGCGCTGATGCAGTGGCTCCCGGCTCCAGCGACGCATGCTGGCCAGGATGGCATCCAGATTGCCATGCGACTGCTGCAGGCGGGCAAAGAGATCCCGGCTCTGCTCAAAGATGTCCGCCACAAGCGGATCATCTGGGGGAAGATGTTACCGATACACAAGGAAATAAAAATATTTAAGCTAATTTTCTTTTTACTGCTAAGTACGCATCTTAATTTAAAGGGGAATAAATATAGCCAATTGAAGGCATTTAGTCCTAAAATCATAAGCTGAAATTAAAATTTCAAAGAAAATGAAAATTGAGCTTGTAAATGACGTGAACATGCCTTGTAATGTGAGTAATTCATTAAATGCTTATTAATTTAATCAGGTGTGTCCCTGAAAACTATAACAATCAAAAAACAACTCAAAAGCAATTGTTGGGTTCCTTCAAAAATGTTCCGACATTTCCATAGCTAGAGGCGTTTTGAAGAACATTTCAGTAGGCTTTTTAAAATTTTTTCCTTTGTAGCCCATATTCAAAATCTTTTTGACATAAAAAACCCGACATTTGTATTGCTAAAAACAACCCCCTGAAATGTCGGTGTCCCCGAAAAAATAGAGGTTTAAGTTTGCTTTTTGACACGCACTTGTATGAAAAACAACATAAGGGCTACTCAGTTTCATCCGATACATTTGAATTTCTTTCGATCAGCATTTAAAATTAAGCCGCTGAACACATAATCCAATGCATTTTGTTAAATCTTCTTCAAAATTAATTCGAAAAAAGGTTACCAAAGCCTTGGACATTTATGAAAATGATGCAGATATTTTCAAACTTACAAACTGAACCAAATGTAGGACGAAAAAAATTGACATTTCAAAGCATCAAATTCAGGTTTGAGGGAACCCGACAATTGTTTTTATGTTGCTTTTGATTGAGAAAACAAGGAAAACAAGGGAGTTTCTTAGTTGTTTGTTGTTTTTGAAAGCAACTCTCCGAAAAAACTCTAGTGTTTTCTGGGACACACCTGAATGAACATTTTTATGAGATTTCAATGGAAATATCCAATGATAACTAGATTAAATTAGTGTGTCCTAGGTTTTATTTTTACAGGGTGAGTTCTGGTAATTATTTTTGGTGCTATATCTTCCACTCACCGTAGTTCCGCCAACTGAGCTGCTGACAGGCCCGTGCCACCTGTTCGTCGATGGTCGCCAGGTCATTGCTTATTAATTGCAGCTCAGCTGCGGCACATTCCCCCGAGCGAATGCCGTTGTAGAACTCCCCAATCTTGATGAGTCGTATGCGACGCTCCCAGTAGGCATCCCGCTGTCCGTAGAGTGTGAGCAGTGGCTCCGGCAGCTGGAAGAGATCGCCGGATAAGCTGCCAGTGGCCTGCAGGGCCAGCAAATACTTGGTCTCCTTCAGCAAGGTAAATAGCACCGGGGAGAAGTTGAGATAGAGCTGACTATTATCCTCTGATCGGGAGAGCACCGATTCATCTAGTCCCCGAATGATGAGCCTATCAATGCTCTCATGCCAGGAGGTCCAGATTTTCATCTGCAGATTAGTCAGTTTGGTGGTCAAACTATTGCGACGAGAGAGCAAAGCAGCCCACTGAAGGGGCAACGTCTGCAGCTCTGATTTCTCTTTTAGTCTGGGAAATTTAAAAATATTTAAATATGTTTATGTTTATAATTATACCATATTTCTAAATATTAAAAAATATTTAAAATCGGATTATTCATTTAAAAGTTATGAAGAAATAATAGTGGCACGCGTGCAAGCAGTGCAAGCAGTTACTTTACTAAATAACGTATATCTGATACTCTTTAAATTTGAGAATATTTTTTTGTTGCAAACTTACAATTGTTCAATCAGTTGGTTTAACTCTTTTGCTCCAAATTCATCGCATCGACTGATATGCTGTTCCAGCCACATCATCGCATTGGCGATGGGTGGAAAATTGTTGGCCATGGGCAAGGCGGTCAAGCCTCGAATTTCGTAGCCCAGCAGAACTTCCCTGACATTCTCCTCCAGCTGCTCCATTTCCGTGTCGTAGATGAAAAGGATGTGCGGAAGGACTCGAGCCAATTCCGGTCGCACAGCTGCACGTTGCAGCAGGCAGCCAAACATCAAGGTCAGCCGGAGCAAGTGCGTCCAGCTGTGGCACTGTTCGAAGGCCTGGAGCAAAACGGTGGCCAGTTTCTGCTCCAAAAGTTGCATGCGACCGAAGAAGAGAACTTGTTCGCGGCGAAAACATTTCCATTTGCTGGCCACCGAGGCCGTGAGATCGATGTCCACGTTGCTCCATTGCTCGAAAAGTAATTTGAATTCGCCGAAAATCTAGGATAAATATTAGATAGCAGATAATTCTGGAATAAAACCTTTTACCAAGTTATTAACCTCTCTAACGCGTTCTGTTAGCATTTTGCCCCGCAATCCGCCCACTTCGAGCTTTTCGAGCTGCTGAAACTGCACTGCCGCCTCGAAAACCTGACGCAGCTCCATCAATTGGGCCGAGAAGCCATCGAGTGTTTGGCCAAACACATCCTCGTGGCAGAAGCGCCACAGCTGCTGCTGGTCATCGGGTGAGGGAGAAGGAGCCACTGCAGCTGCTCCATCGGCGAGGGCGGGCAAGAGGACCTGACTGCCGGCATAGCGCTCCTTGTACTCCAGCATTCGTTGCCTGGCAAAATTAGGTTATTAGAACTTCACATTAAATATTTATGGTAATACCTAAAAACAAAATTCTCAACTGTCTGAGCTTTAAATTCATAATTTAATTTTGGCAAATTTAATATATTCAATAATAAATATTTAGGAAATTAGCCAAGTTAGGAGCTTATATAACAAAGTAAATCAGCTTTGCCGACACATACTTAAACTTCTTTGGTTTGATTGCAATTAATTGATTTTCTATATGATTTTACGTAATAATAAAAAGAATATAATATTTCAAATGAAATTAATGGTTTTAAATAAATGTGTACAAAAGAATACAAATAGTTTCCGTTGCTTAACTTAATTAAGAATGTATTAAAATGTTTAGAATTTAGTTCCACATTAATGAAAATAGGTATTTGTAGATATTTTAATAACGGTGCTTCTTGTATTAAAAAGATTTTCCACAGAAATTTTTTTAGATTTTTTAAAAATATATTTTCTTTGCTTATCTAGCTATTCTCAATATTATTCCGCTTAAAACTCACTTGAAAAGCTCCAGAACTTCGGTGGTTCGATTGATTTTGAGTAGCCCCTCGTCGGCGTCTCCCTGGAAAAGAAGCTGCAACTCCAGATCCTCGGCCGCCCGATGAACAAGCATATTGCAGATGCAGCGCAGCAGGACACTCATCCGCTGGGTGCTGCGATAGTACCTGGCATTGCTCCACACCAGGTGGACCACGTGGACCAGGGGAGCCACCAGGTCATGGCCGTTGCTGAACTGCACCGAATTGAAGGCGGAAGTCTGGCGGAGCAGCGGCTGCAGCCAAAGGGACACATCCTGCGCCTCCAGCCAGGCGGCCACTAGTTTCCGAAAGGCAGTGGCATATGGCACATAGTAAACCGACTCGATTCGCTCCAAAATCTGGGCCAGAGTTTTGTGCGTCGCTTCTCGCAGCTGCTCGTAGATATTTTGCAAATTTAACTTCCGGTTTGTCCAAAAGCCAATCTCCTGGGCGGGCAGCGAAACGAGTGTCAAGTGCTTGGGCGGATGTCCGGAGGACAAGGTGGCCGATCCCAAGGGTTGACACTCGGAACGCTCTAGGACAATGTCGTGCATCTGGGTGGTCCAGTTAATGAACATCTCTTCTAGCAAGTTTCGGAATTTGGGATCCAGTGCTGGCCTTAAATGACTAAAGAAATTGATAGAAAAAATCTTTTAAATAATCAAACAAAATTTTTTTAAGAACTTAAAATGCTTTAAAATATAAATCTTTTCATCCGAACTAGAATTCTAACTATTTAAGACTAAAAATGTTTTTAAGAACTTAAAATAATTTCAAATGTTGATCTCTTTAACTGAACTAGAATTCTAACTTTTTAGGCAATCCTACAAGGTTTAAAGTTTCTCAATTGCCAGTTGTATTATCGGCTTTCATTTCGAATTCTATTCAACTAAACTTTGGTCCATGGGGAGGAACTTTTATAATGAGCGGAAACATTTATTGACCTAATTCTCAACAAATTTGCACTTGACTTCGTCCCCTTTTCATGTTGCTATTTGTTTAAAACTTTTTGCCTTACTTAGTTTTCAATACAAAATTGATACCAATCAAAATGACTTTATGGTTTATTTTGATTTTTTCCCCTGCTTGGCTTTTCATTTTCATTTTGTCTTCATTGATTCGAATATTGTGAATTACTGAAGCAAAAATCTCTTAATACATTTTTAAAGGCTCTTGACGTCGTGTGTGTATCGATAGCAATTTTGGCTAAGTTCTGGACAATTTTCTTAAGAATGCTGATGGCCAGCTGAAGATTGCCTTTTCTTTCTTTAATATTTGTAATTTAATTAAAAGCATTTGTACGATGGGAAAATAATCGAAGTATGCCACCAGTTTTGTGCGGCCAAGGGGTAAACAACTTGAATTTACCCGGAATTGCAAGCTAAATAAATTTCGAGCAATTCATGCGAAAAGTTATGCCAATGAAAATCAATTTGGTATCATGAATAAGCCTATCTCTTTCTGTCCTGTTCACATAAACAATGCCAGTTAGCTGTTGCTGGGGCGACATCTTCAAGGAGCCCAAGGAGCTGAACTGGTGGAGCTGGAGGGCAGGGGCGGAACTGTAAGACAATGGCCATCGAATGGCTGAAACTTACCCTTGGCTCACGTGGGCAAACACTTCCTCGACGATTGTTGGCGAAACTAATAACGATAAAATTGTGCGATTGTTGGTTTTGCCCTTAATCTGTGGGGATAACAATAAAGTATATACAGACACTGAATGTATACGTATTACGTATCGCCCGTAGACACATGAAAAGTTTTGCCAATTAAGCGAAATACTTCCAAGACAATGGGACGGAGTAGCTCCAAATGGGATCGGTTTGAGGGGGAACCGACAACCGACCAACCTTCCCACTCGAAGCCTTCGCCCCACTGCACTCAATTAGATTAATTTGATGAGATAGCACAGCTGCCAGCGGCACTCGCGAAAAAATCTACTATACTTTGAAATGAATTTTTAAAAAATAAAAGCTTTCAATAGTCATTTTTAAAGGTGTCTAAAACTGTGCTGTGAAAAATCAGTCAGATCCGAAATATATTGTTGCATACTTTTAGACAACTTTTAAAACATATTTTTAATTGAATTTTTAAAAAATAAAAGCTGCAAACAGTTTATATTTTCATCAAATTTTACAGAGTTTTAAAATCATTTTAAAAGGTGTCTAAAAGTATGCTGTGAAAAGTCATTCATATCAGAAATATATTGATGCATACTTTTAGGCACCCATTTGAATGGATTTCTTTTTAATTTCCCTTAGAACATTCCGATTTCAAGTAGATTTTTTCCCGAGTGTACCAGCTTAATCACCCACCTCGGTCAGCGTGTTCCGCACTTCCTTGATGCGCGCCTGCAGATCCTTTCGAACAATGGCGGGCCACTGACTTTGTGCCTCCTCCAAGAGCGGCTGCAGCACCTCGTCGAACAGCAGCGACATGGTCTCGATTTTGCTGTGCACCGGGAAGTCGCCGTACAGAATGCTCTCTGCAAAATTGGCTGCCGTCAAAGGTCCGTCGGAAGTATTACGGCGAACGAAGTAGGCGCACTTGCCGCGCGGCACGCCGTCCAAAGTCGTGAAACTGGAGGAGGCGGGTGGCAGGGGGATGAGCAGGGCACCGGGCGTGGCAGATACCACGGCGGATACGGCGGCCGTCACACTGGCCATGGCTTCATCTCCATCCAGAGGAAACCCAGGGGAGGAGGAAGGTACAGATCCACGAGAGCTCTGCACCGAATACGGCAGGTACAGGTCACTGAGGCAACTCCTGGGCACCAGATCTCCGCCCGGACTGAGTGTCATCACCAGGACGCGACTGTGGCCACTCTGCCAGTCCAAAACAATGCGCTGTTCACAGAGGCAATGGTAAAAGCACAATGGGAACTTCAATACACAGCTAAAATTAGAGTCCTGCATGAGTACACTTGAATTGACAAACAAGTCAACTTTTTGAAAATAGAGTGAGTGAGTTCAGGTGAGTCAACTTGGATCACTTGTTTCACTTTATCACTCGTAAAAAAAAATAAGTGATACAAGCACAGAATAAAAGTGAGTGGGAGTGATAAAATTACTAAGCAAATTATTTAGGTGATTCGAAATTATTTTATATCTATTTATTTTATATTAAATCACTTGTTTTTTCCTTATGAAAAAAAAAATGAAAAAAGGGATCCAAGTTAACTGATTTTAAAAATTGACTTCCAAGTACACTCATGCAGGACTCTAGACTCTAGACCAGCGGTCGGCACACTCATACAATTACATTTTGTTTTATATTTGTGTGAGTAAATTGTACGGGGCGGCTTAACAGTGTGTGTGCGCAGACCGCTGTTCTACAGTATACGTGGAGGCAGCGCTCGAGCAGAACAATTTCCTATGCTCACTTAATAGGACGCTGCCGACCGCTGCTCTAGACTCTAAAATAGAAAACTAATCACTTGCATATATTGTTTTAAATTGGCACACTTTTGCTTTATTTTATTTCAATTTCAATACAAATCTACTGAAATGTTTAGTGCACTAATAAATTATTTTTATTATCCAGTTTTATACATCCTTTGTAATTAATATTTGCACAATCCTTTTAACGCTTTTGTATAATGAACTGTTTATTTTATGAGCTTCAAATTCAATTAGGTCTTGGTAAATATTATGAGTAAATATTTGTGTTGGTTATAAAATTAAATCCCTTTTGTATTTCGAATAAAATATATTCCGAATGCTTACTTATTATTTTTTGACTTGCGTGAAACATACAAACTTTTTTGTAGCAAATATTTTTAGAAAACTTTAAACTAATTTTTCACGTATTTAAAAAAAGTATATTTTTAAGCTTACACAATTTTATAACATTTTTTTTGTTTCTAATTTTAAACTTTTATTAATTTTTCATTGTGTAACAGTCGCAACTCACCCGCAGCTCATCGCTGGACATCATTTTGGTCCATTTATCAGGTTTGAGGCGCATTGTGGTCGTTGTATAGCTGGCCACCCGTTCCAACCTCGAATCGCTGTAGTCCCGCTGGACGCGCTGACGACCGCCGCTGCCTCCGGTGGGCAGACCCTCCTCATCACTGCTGGCCATTCCTGCCGCCAAATCGGACATTGGTCAGGAGTCCAGGATTGAATTCGGGAGAACAAATGAATCAGCGGCTGCGATGCGGCAAATCAAACAACTCGCCGCGGCAACTGGCGTTAAAATGATGATGGGCCCGCTTCGTATGACCTCTAATGCCGGGCGGCCAGTGGGCGGCGGCCGCAGCGCCAGCCACGCCCCACATATCGATCAAACTTCAAATTCGCATTAACAGAAAAACACTTTAAAATGTGTGTGCCCCGTTCGCGCTGCAATTTCAAATGCAAAATGCATAAGGCTAACTATAAAAGGGGGGAAAAGTCTAGCCCGCTTTTCCCGCTACCCATTCCACCTGGCCAACTTTAATTGCACACGAAGTGAGCGAAATGTAATTTCCGTTTTCCCAGAAAAGTTCTCAGTTCTCAGCTCAAAAGTGAGCGGCCATAAGTCAACATCAGATGGTTTGGTTAAGGCCGCCAAGCATTCAAATGATGTGCTGTGGATTTTCAGTGTCCAACGCGGCGTATGCTTAATGTTGATCGAATGTCCTGGCACTTGGTCCCTTGGCAGTTTAAGTGCCAAGTCATCATCAGCAGAAGTCGGAGAGAGTGTGTATCACAAACAGTGAAATTTATGGTAGCACATCCTGGTTATCCCTTGCCTGTGAGTGAGTGACTGACATGTGTCAAGTAACAGCAGCAGCAGCAAGTAGTTGCAGTTGCTGTTGCAATTGCACCCGCAGCAACAAAGGCCGTGGAGCATAGTTAAAACGCTCTGCAATTACAGGAAGTACACATGGTATCCTTTACGTAGTAGTACTCGACCCAAATTATTCCCTTTAAAATATTTATTTACCATAATCATCAGACCAAGGGATACCTTCTAATTTGTACTTTAAAGAGACTTTGTAGGTTTTGAGAAGTAAAAAAAAGGTTACAATTATAACAAAAATTTTTCACTTAAAAGGACATTTAGCGCCCAACGTGGGGCCTTATTGAACTGTAAGGAAATGATTTGGAGCATAGTTAAAACGCAAGAACACATGGCAGCCTTACTCGACCCAAATGATGCCCTTTAAAATATATATTTACCATTTCTTACATTACTTACCTTCCTTATATTTTATTTTTTCTCTGTCATAAGTAGCTTATGTTGCATTGACAACTAAAGTAAAGTGTGCTTTCCTGGCCACCAATCCCATCCTTTGTCCTGCTGCTAATGTACCATGGCGTATACCTACCCCAACTGGAAACCTGCTGACTGCGCATTATGATGATGGGGATGATGTTGATGGGGATGATGATGACAGGGATGTCGGCCATTCTGGACCGCTGTGTAACTTTGATGTGAACTCCACTTTTAAATATCAGCGTCACATCAAAAACAAGTGCTTGGCAACCCGCAGATCTGCTCCCATTTCTGGTGGGGATTGGTCTCTGGCACTCTGGCACCCTCGGGACAAATGCATTGCCCTCATTTTCGGAGGCGAAAGGCAAAAGCAACCGCAACTGTAGCGCTGAGCTCCCTTTTCGGTTGGGCGGGGATTTTGGATTTGGATTGGGATTGCGACTAAGGGCGGCGGTTCTGTTGTTAATGAATTTGCTCAAGCTGTTTGCGCGCAGCTTAAAATTCACTCTTGCCCCAGGCTGGCAGCTAGGAAACGGAGCCACACGAAGAGAAATAAAGCCAAATTATATTAATTTTTAATGAGAACTTTATGATTAACTGCTAATGAAAATTCATTTAGAAATACCTTATTTAATTTACATTAATTTATTAATTTATTTAAGTTTTATTTTAAAACCATTAAATTTATACAAATAAAATGTTATTAATTATTATTATTAATGCTTTACAAAATTTTTATATCTGAAAACTGTAGTTTTTTTTGTTATCCACAGTGTACATTTTTGTATCGTTTAAATTTTTTTTTCTGTGCACAAATCCCATCTGCTCCCGTTTGATCCATAAACTTGTTAATATAAAAACATATTTGAATAAACATTTCAGCAATAAAAGAGATTATTTTACATAGTTTGCATAGCAGGCAGAAGTGGGGACGACCTCAGGTCCCCCATGTTTCTCCGGTCCAGTCCGCTGCCTTCTTCTTCCGCCTGCTCATCGGCCATAATGTCCTGGCCAAAGTGGGTCCTTGCTGTCTGCGGAGCAAAGACGTGCATAAATAGTGCGACAGTCCAAGTCAAACATTGAAAGCAAACGAAGAAAATATGCGATGGTTGGGCTGCCGCAGAGCGAAGAAGAAGCCACAAGAAAAATAAACTTCGAATTGATTTTAAAAGGAATGCCTCGATGACCCCGGCACACTTCAAATTAAGTAAATCGCACAAAAGCCGAGCTGTGGATGGCGGACGGCGGACCAATGGACAGAGGGACGGCTGGACAAATGGACAGTGGTCGGCAGTGAGTCGTGGAAAATGAAACTGTAAAATGCTTTTACTACATTTTCCCGCCGAGTGGCCGTTGGGTTCTCGCAGTCGTCGTACTTTTTGAATTTATGCCAAGCCTCGATCCGAACAAGTTGGCTTGTACTTTATGAGCGAACCCCTTTGCCTCCCGACTTCCCGCCTTTTTCCCACTTTTTCCGGGCTGCAGCTGCTGATGAGTTTCATTATGTGCGAACAAATCATCACATGCCACTGGGTGGTGGATGCTGGATGGAAAATCTGAGGTTGGGGAGGCTGAAGCTCAGAGGCTGGGCGGCAGACTGCACGGCGTCGTCCTCGTTTAAAAGCAATTTCGTGCATTTGTTAAGGACACGCGATTCGATGTGTGTGCGAGCGAGCGGAGTGCCAGTGTGAGGAAAGTCAACACTATTTCATTACGGACAAAGACCATTTCCATTTGGGCGAATTTATGAGAGTGCGGGCATGCAGCGGTGGCTCTTAAAAAACAAAAACGACAAAAAGAAATGCGTTAGGATAATGGCCGAGGCACTCAATGAAAAGCCAGGCCCAACAACAAATCGATCAGCGCACAAAAAGATAAATACAAAATGGAGCGTTTGACAGGGCAAACAATGTCAGTCCTAAGCCGTCCGCCAATGTCCAAACTTGAAACAAACAGAATTGGGGGGAAAAACTAGAGAGAAAACTATGATCAAAGGATCAGACCACGGGATACCCACTAGAGACCTTTTTTAAGTCGTTAAAAAGTTAAAAAAAAAACACTTCTCAAAATATGTTGGTTTACTTGAAAGGGCATCTGGCGCCCAACGTGGGGCCTAAATAAACTGTTAAAAAATAAACTCTTTTCCTGTTTCAAACGTTCTATAGAATGCTTATACCCTTGTCCCCTAAAAAGGGCCGCTTTCGAAACCCGAAAAAAATCGCCAGATAGCCAGAAAGGAAAAGCAAACGAAGCCAAACCGACAACTCCTGCCCGGCTGTTAGCGGCATTGTGTGCAGTCTAACGACAACATTCAATAAACAATTCACAATTGATTGACAAACGGACGGGCGGTCCAGTGTTATTCGGATTCACTGCTGACGACTGCCGATTGACGACTGACCAGAACGACTAGCTGCTGCTGCCGCTGCTACTACTGTTCTGTCCAGCGGACACTGTGAAAACGGCCATGAATGAGCAACCACGACAAGTCAGCGGAAGGATGTTAGTTCGAGTGGATGAGGAAATTGAAAGCGAATGCTGACAACAACAAAGTTGGCTCAAACAAAAAAACCAGAAAAAAACGCTAAAATAGAGCAGAATAGGCGACAGAATCGGAATCCCCCGTCTGAAAAACAGGCAAATATAACGAGAGTCCGGCTGCTGGAACAAAAACAACGAAAGCAAATTTCTGTGCGGACATCCGGCGGCGATTAGACGTGGACACTGAGCAGTGAACAGTGAAAAGTGAACAACGAACATCGAAGTCTAAACACTGCCCGTTGGTAATTGATTGTGGTTGGGTGGCAGTTTCGGGGGTGGAAAATTCGTAAATATATTCTCTTTCTCAGTTCCCCAAGTGGGATTCCCTGAAAAATCTGACTTTGATGTAGGTAGATCTACGACGAATTTTATGCTTGGTTCTGGGAACTGTTTTCTCTTAAATTTTGGTCACGTCTAAGTGGGTCACTTCCGGTCTAAAATGAAACACCAATCTACTTTGGGATTTAAATAAGTCCTTGAGGGTTAATCATCAACTATCTTAAAAAAATAATTTCCTAACAGTTTAATTAGGCCCCACGTTGGGCGCCAAATGTTCTTTCAAGTGAAGGAATTCATTGGTATGTGGTTATTTTCTTTGGTCTATTAATTTTATGAGTCTCTTAATGGACTTTAAAGTAAAACTAACTTTATAGAATTACAGATCTCTTACTTTCTAAAGTATTTCCTTTCAATATCTGACCCATAAACTGAGAATATTAATTAAATGATCTTGGGACCGCCCTGGATCGTTAGGTGGGTCCTAATTAAAATCCCTGCCCGGCTAATTGCGGGCGTGACTCTTGCAGCTCATTAGCTCGACGCACGTAGTGCCGTGTTCGGCATAGTTTGGCAATTGCTGGCCAAAAGTTTGCAGCGCAACAGCAACAAACGGCCGGATAAAGATAAAGATAGCGATGGAGGTCAGCGCAGAACGTTATGTAAGGCTGAAGTTTTGCAAATCCTTTTGGCAATTAGATCCTTGTTGGAAGGGGACAGACAGGACGAAGGACGAGGGACGCCCACAAATATTGCACAAGTATCAAGTATCGTCGCTGGCCGCCGTGGCATTTCGCAGTGCAAATATCCCATTACTCGGATGAAACTTTTAATTAAAAAGTTGCCAATGACAAACGGGACGAGGTTTGCGGGTCCTTTCCTCCTGCGACCCTGCTGAGAAATGCGCCGTAGTCTCACCAGAAATATTCGGTTCAGTTCAGTTCGACCAATGGGATATGGTATATGGGCTGGGCTATCGGGATGAGCTGCCTCAGTCTGGCACGCACGTAATTGAGACAAACTTTGAGACAGTAAAACATTCGAGTAGCTCGAGATGCTCCTCCACCTCGGGCGAGGGGTTTGCC